TGTATCACTACTGCAGTTAAAATAAGCAAGCCAAGGTTAACTGCATGTGCACATGGATTGACATGTCAATACTGTCTTTCACTGTCATAACCTAGTTATTTCCTGTATAACCTGATTTATTGTGTGCACATGTAAACATACAGACTGTAGGGGATACACCCTCATTTTTTTTATATGAGTAAAGGACAAGCTGAAATTAGACAAAAAAAAATGTTGGCGCAAGGTAGCTCAGATATGTTGGAATGGAGACGAGTAACATCTTTAATTTTAATGCTTGTATTGGTATGTTGTACCGGTTGTTCTTGGAGGGGATATGTAACCACAACTTCGCCAGTTTGATCTCAGATGGGGGCACTTTGTTGCATGTCTGTGTCACTATAGCAGATGATAAAAACACCATGAAGTACACAGTACAAAAGTAGAATCAAGAGTAAAAAAGAGACAAAGCCACTCATAAAAATAAATAAACACAAATGCCATCTTAGGGCTTGTATCAGAGGTACTGCTGCACCATTAATTCTATGATCGTGTCACAGCCTCTTTAAGTTACTTATAGGTGGCTGATGGAAACGCACAGCGATTCACATTTTATATTGCTGGCATTTTATATATTCGCTCATAACGTATGGGGGGAAAAAAAGAGAAAAGATTGAAGATGAAGATTATCTCTCTTAACACGTTTTTCTGTGTCTGTCTGCATAGCTGGCCTCGTCCAGCCTGTTGAAAATCGGCCAGGAGACGGACAAGATGACGACGCGTAACAGAGAGTCTGTCTACCTGCTGCTGGACATGGTGAGAGAGTGACTTCACACAGTTGGTTCAGCTGGTCCAGATCAGGGGAAAGAAAACGGCCATTATTGTATTTTAGTTGTGGTTCAATTCATTTTACACAATCACTTTATTTACCCACGTGGAGAATCTAATTGCAGTGACTGACAGCAGGTAATGAGTATATTTCTATCTCTGGTGTCACAAAGCGCTCACTAAGATAATAGCTGATTTATAAGCATTATTAGTATTAAGTATACAAATTTACTGCGTATTACAGGATGAGAAAGACGCCTCTTGTACAACACTATTCTGGAAGGTATTACTGTGAAATTGTAGATTTGCGGAATAAAAGCAGCAGCCTGTCTTCACCAGAAAAATGTCTGTAGAGGTCGTCTGTGCAAGCAGCTTCTTATGACCCATATTTACATTGAGGCACTGTCCTCTAGTGGCCGTAGTAATTATGGTTACAGATTCCAGGTATTCGAGACAGTTAGGGTGGATGGACGGGTCAAACACAGGACTTGTGTTCTGTCTTGCTGCTTCAGCTGCAGACGACGCTCTTTTCTGTATACTGGGCTGCTCAAGCGTCCCATAGAGCGACCGGCCGGCTGGGATTTCTCCTTTGCTCCCTATGGTCAGTCTCTTTTGAACGAATGGCAGCGTATACGAGAGTGAAATACTCGAACCGTAGAGCCCTGTAATGATAGTTGGATGACGTACCCGACACAAACGAACCGACCCAGCGAGTTCAACCTCAGTCCGGTTGTTTGGTCTGCACCCGTGACAGCTTTCACTCCAATCCAAAATGAACCGCTCTAACCTGGTAAACACAGTTTGTTTAACCAAATGAAAACAGTTAGGTGTGAAAGAATGGTTTTACATGTTGATATGTTGCTTAATAATTTTGATTGCGTGGAAGAAGGAACCAACATGGTTCTACTACTGATGCGTTAGGAGTGACACTATGAAAATAAAAATATTAATATTTCTGACCATCTGTCTGTGTTGTCTCTTGTGTTTCAGATTGTGCAGGAGTCTCCCTTCCTGACCATGGATCTGCTGGAGTCCTGTTTCCCCTATGTCCTGCTGCGAAACGCCTACCACGCTGTCTATAAACAGAGCATCAGTGCTAACGCATAGACACACACTAAACACGCAGCGAAGGCCTACAATCCTGTCTGCCATCAGAGCGTCAGCGCTCGTATATAGATGCATACACAGCAACAAATACACACTAACAGCATACACTAAATACAAACTAAAAACACTAAACTATGCCTACAATGCCTCAGTGTACTATTCAGACAAAAAAATGTTGACACACTAAACGTGTTTTATTTAAACCACTCCAAACACAGAACAAATAACACTAAACGGCAAAAGGACATAAAAAACACCTACAATTCAGTGCACAAAGATGTCGAAATCTGACGAAATTGGACAAATATGAACATAAACACACTAGCTGGATGAAGTTGGGGGATCAGTGTCTTTACTTTAATCATTGTACTTTTTCATGATGTTGCCAGGGACCATAACCACAGCAACACATAATATACCATATGTTTGGTTGGTATAAAAGAAGAAAAATATATATATAGTATATATAGTTGACACTAAAATATTATTTTCTTTTGTTCCTTTTGTTTTTTCGATGAAAGATTTGAGATTTTTAGTGGCCAGCTGACATCTTCTATGTGGTGATGGGTTTGGATGCTTACTTAGGGAATGCAAATGGTTCTGATGTGATGTGGGTTTTTGTTTTTTGTTTTTTTTTGCGGGTGAGGATTCCTGTGTTGATAATGAAAGACATGTTGCTTGTTAATGTAAGTTTACACTTATACACACACACACTGACAGACATCCTGCGCAGATATAAAACTACAACATTTCACAGGTAACACAAACACACACACACACAGACTTGTATAACATGGTGATGTTTTGGTTTTTTTTCTTTTTCAAGCTAGTTGTAACATGAACATTTTGTGGGTAAAGATATAATATCTGTATTCTACTTTGATGTGAACTGAACTCGTCTGTTTTTAATGTTTTTTTTTGTTATTCTTACGATGACGACAATGAATATGACAATTTGCCAAATGTGTTGACACTAAAAATTGTGTATCAGGGCTTGGAAGTGGTGGAGTGTTTGGGTGTTTATGGGTCATTTTAAGTGTCGGGATGGTTTGGACGATAGACATTCTGCCTCTGCGGGCCGATCGCTAAACATAAGTGGTTACACTAGAACTTTTACAGTGGGAACAAACTTTTAAAAATACTGCAGTAGTACTACAGTAAAGGCGTGGAGCAGGCGCCCCATGCTGCAGACAGAAACCTGGCACACCTGCAAATATTCCTCACAGCTGTCGTTAGTCAACTTTCCCAATTAAGTATTGGTTCAGTAGGTGCTACTCTTTTTCTCCAATGATGTAAAGTAGAAATAAACATGCCAGTGCAAAATATAATTTATATGATCTCTTGTTAAATAATTTCTTGCACCTTCTGAAAATACGAGGAAACTTTCATCTTTATCGAGGGAAATTTAGCTTTTCTGTGTCTTAATTTTTAGTCTTGTACTGCTGGCCACCGACAGGCCCTACTGAAGCAGCAGGGGGAATAGTGCCTTGCTCAAAGGCACCTTACCCCAACAGCTGTTGAAGGTCTACCATCAACATGCAGTGGCTAGATAAATGTGTTAGTAGTAGCTTGTGACCAATTCCTCCACAGAGAAAGTAAATCTGAATTGATCTCAAATCTGGAGCTGCAACATATGCACACACTTGGTGATGTTATTACTGGATCGATAAACTGGTCGATGGGGCATCCTCAAATGATCTTTCCAGATGACCGGATAACGTTTTTGCAATGGTTGTACGGGACCTTTTAAGAAAGACGGCCTCCAGCTAGACAGACGGATGACTTTTACAAGGTGCAGTCTAATTTATTTTTTACATTTTTCGGTCCTCAATCAAGTCATGGCAAGGGCTACATATTGAGACACATACACAAACCATGCTCCCTTTATGCCAGCCCTCTGCTAATGTATAACTAACTCCAGGCCTCCATCTGAAAGCTCATACTGCGTACTACAGAGGACTGTTTAAAAGTTACAATCCAGAAGCAAAGTGAAGTCACATTTGCAGTATGTAGCAGGAATACACTGAAATGTAGTAAATGACGTGTCTACACTTTACAGTAGATTACATGTACTATTTCTACTGTATATTTTAGTCAGTAGTATGCATTATAAGCATGTGAGGACCGATTCACAGACACATTCTGCCATTTGATGTTGAATGGTTGCTGTTTTCTTTCTAACCCCTTTTTTTTTGTCTCTTGATTCCACCATGTAACTTAAATGATATGAATAAAATAAATTTTAGGGCTGTGTCAGACCTGAACTGTGAGTGTGTGAAGGTGGTTCGCGCGCATGGACACGGCTGACATGTGGTAAAGTGAGAACTCGTAAGTGGTAACGCTTTAATTTGAACAGACTCATTTTGATAATTAATGCCATGTATTGTAAGCCCAATCCTTGAGTACATTTCAAAAGGCAAATATTGTACTTCGTACTCTGCTGTGTTTGTTTGACAGTTTGGAGTTAATCTTCAGATTTTACAAATGAAACTTGATCAGTTTTATAAAGTATGAAGATTTAATTACCCAGAAGTAAATAAAGTAGTTAAAATTATCTCCTCAACCAGCTATGACATTAAATGTTTTACATACATCCATAAAAATGGTCCATTAATATGCTACAATACTGACAGGACCCATTCTGACAAATGCATACTTTTGATACTTTAAATATATACTATATACCTATATTTACAGGTAATCAAGTGTTGCTAAAATGTGTTATCACTACTGTTTTACTAGAGTAAATTATTTAAATACTGGTAACACAAAAAATGTCTCAACAGTGCCACTTTCATCACTTAAAAGTAAATTTAACTATTTCAAAATAAATGCATTAATAGCCTAGTAGGTGTATTTGGTTTTGGTGTGAAATTAATCTTACAACACTCACTTAATTGACAAAAGCTAATAATAAATAGTAAAATGCCTTTAGAAAACGGCGACTTCACCAGTTTACAACATCAAATATATTTAAAAAAAGAAAGTGGACCCAAACAATAACTAATACAGGTGTATACATTTATATTTCCCTGTGCATTGCTTAAACACCTGGTATAGGTACCTGGAAGGAATATACACTGCACCTGTTCATTGGCAAGTGTTTATTTCATTTTAGGTTTTACACAAAATTTGTCCCCATTTCATGGCATCCGTAACAAAATGTTCTACTAGAGAAAGCACTGTTAGCATGTGACTGATCATTTACATCTGCGGCGGCATTATGAAACTATTTAAATCCTGCTGTATCTTATAGAGGCCACCAAAAGGGGGCATCCCAAGAAAACACATACCTTAAAACTGGAATGAAGGCGAATCGGTGTTAAAGATGTAGATGTTAATCTATTATGTATAAAATCTATCCTGACATTTTATTGCTGCTTGTGTTTTGTTGTTGTTTTTTTATCACAAGGATATATACTACAGATTAGAAAAATAATCCCCCTACCCTTTATTGACAAAAATACATAGAAATAATCAGATTTATCACCTCATCCAGTTAATTTAAAAATGTAAATCTGTGCTGGTCAAATGTACACTTATATTTTACTTTGCATGTTGCAGAACAGCCTGCTTGATAAATGGCAAATTCTACACTGTGAAACTCGTATTGTTATTTTATCCAAGCTGGAACAAAATAACTAGAACATGCAATCTAACAGACTTGTTTCACACCAGACATTTTGACTTCAGGAAAAACACAGGTGGGACCATTAGCATAAATGTAAATATGTCTGCACATTCCTTCAGAATCGATACTGACAATGAACTAAAAGCTTATGGTAGTATTTATTGCATTACATTTGTATTGTATTCCAGTAGCTACAGTTGCCTATATTTTCAGGTGTTACTGTTTTGTTAACCACCTGTGAATTCCTGGCATTTTGAGGAAAGCTTGAAGAAGGAAGTGACCCAAATGATTAGCCACCAAATATGGTTATCCTGGAGAACAAAACCTGCATTATTTCTACAGGTGAGCCATCACAATAACAGTCGCTAGCTGTCATGAAATACTAACTAGGCCTATGTGAATGTAAACATTAAAGTTAGCTGGTTTAATTTATTGCCATCAACATTTTCATTGTATGTTTTTAATTTGATTTTGAGTAAACTGCTCAGTCAACTGTGAATAAGCTTAAGCTGTTTGCTAACTAGCAAGCAGGTGTAGTTCACCCTTGCTAGGTAGCTATCTTGGCTACACTGGTAGCTAGCAGTTAGCTAGTACACAAATATAAAATTGAACTTAAAGATACCTTTTGATTTTATTTTCAATGTGTAAATTATGAAATGACAGCATCTACACTCTATTTTTGTTGGTTTCTCAGCATCAGAACAAGTTACTCCAAAGGTTTCTAAGTTTCCCGCCAAAAGTGTTAAAATGGCGGCTGCTGTGCGTCTGTTAGAGGTTAACTGTTGCGATGGCAGTGAATTGTTTTCAGTTTCGTTAAAGGGAAAATCATATTTCCACTGTATGGATGAACTAAAACACGGCAAAGGATGGTAAGTTTTGATTGTGTTGAGCATGATTAGGCAACCGTAGAGTCAGTGACAATTTGTGTGGAGTCGTGTTGATCAATGTCTTGTCATGTAGGTGCTACACTTGGATGGATGCCAGAGTGTGTCCAGAATATCAAAGATGAGTTTGCTGGCTCTTTTGTGTTGAGATGTCTCTCCTGGATCAATCGCCCTGAGGGTTGGTTTCCTCCTCATCCTCCTCGGGTACAGAGCTTTTCAGCTTACCTACACAAGCACACAAATGTGAAATTAAACAATATTGATGGGCTTACAAGAAGGCAAAAGAAAACAAAAGGAAAGAATTCAAATACATATTAAATACACTGTACATATCAGATACAGTGGTGAAAAGTAATTAAGTACATCTACTCAAGTACAATACATTCAATTTTGAGGTATTTGCACTTTACTCGAGTAATTCCTTTTGGTGTTACTTTATACATCTAATCAACTACATTTCTGAGGCTTTTTACTTAACTGCATTAAATCTTAAATTACTAAATGACCAAATGACTTTGCAGATTTAGATCAATTCAAATTACAATCAACTAATAAATCATGTATTATTATAGATTAAGCTACACCGCAGAATATTAAATCATTAAAATCAGTTCCACAGGCTGCAACATTAAAGTGATACCATGCTGCACTATTGAGTACTTTTACTTTTGATGCTTTAAGTATATTTCACAAAATAAACCTTAGGAGCTTTTGGCGCTAAAGAGTAAAATTTCACAAAGTCCCTCTATAAATCCTCAATTTTCCAGCTGTTCAGTGGACGCAGCATCGACAGGAAATACCAACAAAATCCAAGAAACGGGCAAAACACCAAAGAGATTATCATATCTATCTATGATGGAAAGCAAGAAATAAATCACTTCAAAACATTTGAATCCAAAGTATTGATGGATTGAAAACACACTGCGTTGTTATGGTGCATCCCATTTGTTTCTTTCCGTCCTCTTCTTTCACGTTTCTTCATCCCATCTGTGGACATTTTGCCTCTCAGGGCGATGTGATAAAAACACCGAGACTAGTGTTGCACAAATCACACACTCATTCACAAACACACCATGAGATTTCAGCTGTTAATGCAGTGACAGGGGATGTTAATCTCCAAACAGTAGGGTCGCACAGATGCAAGGAGGGTCGGCATGTAATGCTATTTATTGCTGCGTAAATGGTACACAAACAAAACTGTACTCTTAACGTTTTAATCTCTTAATGGATGTCCAAATGTTCAGTTTTATCCCCTTTGGGTTTATGCTACATTTTTTAGCTTTCAGACTTGAGTGTATTAATGTCCTGTTGCATAAAAGTGCAAAGACCACCATGAACATAAAGCAATCCATCAAATACTACAATACGTTTAGCATTAAAATGAAGGACTTAAACTAAACAAAGACTTTTATTAAAGTTTAAAGAATAGTCAGACATTCAGTAAATGTTTCAATATAATACATCTTTATTCACAAGCAAAACTTCACCATTACAGTCATTTAAATTTAGACTGATAGTATATTTAACTAAAATCTGTGTGTGTGTGTGTGTGTGTGTGTTTGAAAGAAAGTACAAGCTGTTGCCAAATCAAAACTAGGGTTGGGTATCGAGAACCGATTTGTTACCAGATTTGCAACTGTTTCCATTCCTGGACCATGACGGACCGCAGCAAACGCTCCAAAGTCGGGCTTAGCTTCACTAAAAAAAGAAGAACGACACAGCAAAATGCAACACCTGCAGTAAGGAGATTTGAGGGAGGAAGTAGCTCCAATATGACATATAACAATAAGTCATTTACTTCAACACGGCATGAATCTGGAGGAACACAACGTGTTCAATGTGTTGCAGTCTCCCAGCTACAGTTAACAATAGCAATGTCTCACGCTCGGCTACAAAACACAGGTGAGCTGACCTGAACGAATGAATGATTCCAACATATATTTTTCTTAGATGCGAGTCCCCAGAAATGCTTCTCTAGTACAGAAACGCCTTTCACTTTAATCATGAAGGGGAACATAAAGATGAAGGTTTCCGAGCGCTGGCAAGATCTGTGGTGAAAGGAATCGGAACCGATATTCGATAAGTAAAATCTGAATCGATTAAAATTTAAACGATACCCAACCCTAATTAAATCACACGTTATTTATGTGTAGCTCAAGAGTGAAGCAGTGGGTTAATGAGGTTCAGATGAACAGCAGTGAGCAAGAGTCGGTAAATGAGAGACGAAGAGATGAAAAGTGAGCGAAGGTGGCTATCGGGAGACGGAGTCGGGACTGGACGCTTCCTTTTTGTGGGCACATGACAAATCTGAGAAAGATGGAGAGAGAGAGAGAGGTGGAGGGGTTAATAGAGGATTTAAAAAAGGGGTTAGGAAGATAATGCAAAGCCACAAGAGGGAGAGAGAGAGAAGAGTTAGTGCTGTTAGTAGTCAAAAGAACAACATATAGTGTTATTGTGGAAATGTAAAGAGAGAGAGTTATTAGTAACAGAGTGAGTGTGTGCATTGTTTATTTTTCAGAGATTGTTATTTTTTGCTTTTTTTTGAACATGGTCTTGTGGGCAACAGAACCTTAAAGCTGCATATATCAATTTTAAGTTTAATAACTAACTAGGATATTGTGTTTATGGACACGGAGCAACATTATTCATTTGGAGTTGAGTTTTTATCTGCCTGATTCAATTTTCACTCTCCTCTCAGCTCTTAAGCTGCTAGATGTTCCAACTGTGACTGTCTATGGTTTGGTTTTGGGCAGGTAATGTACCGCAGTGGTGCAATGTAACCAAGTACAGTAAATTTGTGGTACTTTTACAACAGTCTTTGCTTTTTATGCCACTTTCTGCTCCTACTCCCTGCATTTCAGAGGCAAAAAATACTTTTTGGCTACATTTATCTGAAAGCTTTACAATTACTTTACAAATTAAGGTTTTTAAACACTAAACATACGAATAGTTTGCAAAATATGATGGGTAGTTTAGTTTGTAACAAAACTACAGTTTATACAAGAACAAATGTACTGGCATCTCTTTTGATAATTTAAGTTCTCAAATGTGAAGATTAGCTGCTTTTCCTTTTGAATTTTTTTGTAATGGCCTCTGGGTAACTGTGAGCGGAATTTCTCACTATTTTGCAAATAAATAAACATCAATTAATGGAGGAAATAATCAGCAGATTAATCCATCATGAAAATAATCTTAAATTGCAGTGTAGATATAAAATACTTCCACCTCAACCAAGTACAACAGTAAAATCCTGCTTTAACAGTAATGAATGAGAAACAATAATCTCATCATTATAATAGTATAACATTAACATTTTTCTGCATTGAGTACTTTTAATACTTTGTGTATTTTCCTGATTGTGCTGACATACATTTACTTGAGTAAAGAATCAAAATCCTCCACAACTGGTATACAGTTACTTTATCAGAGCTTCTTTGCTGCCTGCAGGTGTTGAAAAGAGTGTAAAGAGACTAAAAACGTCCTTTTTAAAGCTGCAGAATTTTAATTAATCTTTGATTTGGGCGCCACAAGCCTTTCATGTTACATTTGATTCCATGTTATTATAAATAAACATTGGTTAATGCAGTTTTAATTTGTATATATGCAAACTCTTTCTGACAAAACGAAAACACTGAATTAGTGATTTGTGAAAGATTTTCGTGCCCAGCTAACCTTTTCTTTATTGTATATGCTTTGTTTTGTATGTAAATCGTCAGCTTCACCAAATGAAATGTTGTTTGCAGCTAACTGGTAGTATCTTTTTTTTTTAATTATTATTACATTTTAATTAATTTGGATATAATTAAGAAAAAGATTGTCAAGCTTGTTGTTGTCAAGCAAAATATTATAGTGGTTGCTGGTTATTGTTCAGTGTAATTTTGTCAATGAAATTAAACGTGTGTGTGTGTGTGTGTGTGTGTGTGTGTGTGTGTGTGTATGCCAACAGTATACTCCAAATAACCTAACTCCTAAAAGCACTGCCTTTGGTGTCATTTACCACAGGCTGGTCTCTGCCGCTGACAGACCAACGGTGTCATGTTAGTGGTTGCTTGCGGTGTGTTTTTGTCTTACTGCCATGTAATAACTCAAATCGTATATTTCCCTAAGTATTTTCTTTCTTAGTGCTGATCGGAGAAAACAAAATGTGATTTATTTTGGAGTATTCTGCCGGCCAAAGTGTGTAAGTTTTTCCGTCTAAAAACAAGTTTTACCCCCTGAACTGGCGCTCTCTGCCACTCCTCTCTCCTGATTGGCTAACAGCAGACTCTCCTCATTTCCATTGGCTTCCTCTGGCCCATTGTGATTGGCCCACAGGGAAGCGGACGCATAGAGCTGTGCTGTGATTGGGCTCAGCTGGCCGTCTGTGTCACAAAGCCCCGCCCCGAGAAGGTGTTGCTCCACCCCCAGCTGAAGCTCTGAGGAGAGAAGAGCACCTCTAGTGGAGAGATGCTTCAACTACAGAAGGGTAAAGCTGAAATAGCCCAAAATAAATCAAAAATTTATAAACCAAACTAAATGAGAAAACATGAAAGAAAAAAATTAAGCTGATTGGAAAAATAGTTCAGTAGCCTTTCCCTTAATTAACAAAAATAAATATCCCACTCGGCCAGGAGCTTCAGGGGAAGACGCCAGAGAAATTACCTGTAGGTGTTGCTGATTTACTAAATAAATTCCTCTGCCATTAAAACCTTTTCTGTTGTTCCACGGTAAATTTCCCTAGTTTTCCAAGAGAATGAGAACATCACAAAACTGTAAAATGGACCCAAACAAAGACAAACCATAGCTGTTTTTAAGGTAGTAGTTTTCTTATATGGTAGAGCTACTATGAGATATAGAGAGTCCTCCTTCCTAATCCCCTCCTTCCGCTTCCACCCCATGGGATATTATTTCAGATTGGCTCCCTGTTTGTTTTAGGACTGATTTTAAGATTTATTGATTACTTTTAAGGCTCTCCATGGCTTGGCTCCTACTTATAAATTAGGCGTAATTTGAGATCTTCCGGCAGGGGTCTAGCCTGTGTCTAGACTTTGAACTAAAGGGGGACAGAGCTTTTGCAGTTGGGGCCCCGAGGCTCTGGAAAGACCTGCCCAAGGAAGTAAGGCTGTCTTAGTTATATAAAGTTACTATTTATTCTGGACTTTTTATAGTCAATCTGTTTTTACTTATTTATCCATTTTTGTGTGTCTTTTATATCTTGTATTGTCATGTATTTTGTCTTTTATGGTGATGTTACGTGGCCTGTGTTTCTACATCTCTCATCTAAAGTCGTAATGCTAAGCTAACGTTAATTGCTTGGTTGCTACTATCTAGTGTGTGGTTAATCCAACGACCCCTGGTCCTTTCATCACATCATATTCTACTCATGGAAGTTCTTTGACGTTAGCTTCAGTAACGTTAGCTTCAGTCACTGAGAGAAAAAGTTACATATGCAACGTTTGGGTTTGTGGTCTTTCTAATTTTCTTATACTTCAACAGTTTTACGCCAAATTTTCTTGACTTGCAAAACTATAAGTTGACAAGCGTGTAATTCAGGGCACAATTAAAACAGGTTAAAAAAAACTTGGACTTGGACCTCTTGGATCAGTGTTAAGTTCAGTTTGATTTGTAGATCTGTCCGTCCAAACTCTGCATCTGAGCCAGCAGAGACTAACTAAACTAACTAATTAAGGAACTTATTTGTATAGATATCACCTTCAACATGGAAACTAAATGATATAAAACCAAAATGTGAGAATAAAACCCAATGAGATTAATAAATAAAACACTTTTTTTATGATTCTACTGTATGTAAATGCAAGCATTCGGTGCATATAGGCAGTAACTCATGAGGCTAAAAACACACACACACACACACACACACACACACACACACACACACACACACACACACACACACACACACACACTCAGACGGGATCAATAAAAGAAAAGCTTTTACTGGACTTCCTTCCAGCACTTCCTGGAACCAACTCAGTGCATCACTCACTGGTAGAGAGCTCTGCGCGCGCACACACACACACACACACACACACACACACACACACACACACACGTATGTGCATAAACGCAATGCTTTCTTTTCTTTCCCACGAAAACACGCACCTTTTCCTAGAGACTCATTAAAAGAGAGTTCTCAGATAATTTCATATGATAAGTCAGCCTCTCTTTACTTCTTCCTGTGGCCCCTGTAATAGATTCTGAATAATTTCGTACAGGCGAAAATGACAAAAGTCTATTAGAGATAAAAGCCATCATCTCTGATCCCAATAGTATTCACTGTTGCGGAAACAATATTGTACACAACATACACTCACCTAAAGGATTATTAGGAACACCTGTTCAGTTTCTCATTAATGCAATTATCTAATCAACCAATCACATGGCAGTTGCTTCAATGCATTTAGGGGTGTGGTCCTGGTCAAGACAATCTCCCGAACTCCAAACTGAATGTCAGAATGGGAAAGAAAGGTGTGAATTAAGCAATTTTGAGCACGGCATGGTTGTTGGTGCCAGACGGGCCAGTCTGGGAAAAACATCCAGTATGCGGCAGTCCTGTGGGCGAAAATGCCTTGTTGATGCTAGAGGTCAGAGGAGAATGGGCCGACCGATTCAAGCTGATAGAAGAGCAACTTTGACTGAAATAACCACTCGTTACAACCGAGGTATGCGGCAAAGCATTTGTGAAGTCACAACACGCACAACCTTGAGGCGGATGGGCTACAACAGCAGAAGACCCCACCGGGTACCACTCATCTCCACTACAAATAGGAAAAAGAGGCTACAATTTGCAAGAGCTCACCAAAATTGGACAGTTGAAGACTGGAAAAATGTTGCCTGGTCTGATGAGTCTCGATTTCTGTTGAGACATTCAGAATTTGGCGTAAACAGAACATGGATCCATCATGCCTTGTTACCACTGTGCAGGCTGGTGGTGGTGGTGTAATGGTGTGGGGGATGTTTTCTTGGCACACTTTAGGCCCCTTAGTGCCAATTGGGCATCGTTTAAATGCCACGGCCTACCTGAGCATTGTTTCTGACCATGTCCATCCCTTTATGGCCACCATGTACCCATCCTCTGATGGCTACTTCCAGCAGGATAATGCACCATGTCACAAAGCTCCAATCATTTCAAATTGGTTTCTTGAACATGACAATGAGTTCACTGTACTAAAATGGCCCCCACAGTCACCAGATCTCAACCCAATAGAGCATCTTTGGGATGTGGTGGAACGGGAGCTTCGTGCCCTGGATGTGCATCCCACAAATCTCCATCAACTGCAAGATGCTATCCATCAATATGGGCCAACATTTCTAAAGAATGCTTTCAGCACCTTGTTGAATCAATGCCACGTAGAATTAAGGCAGTTCTGAAGGCGAAAGGGGGTCAAACACAGTATTAGTATGGTGTTCCTAATAATCCTTTAGGTGAGTATATATAACCTGCATACCCAAAGGTAAACAAACACAGTTCTACTACTAACACCAATAAAACCCCCAAAATAAATGAACTAATTGTCAAACCATAAAACCAACTGTCTCCAGTGTTACCAAAAAAAGGAGCTTTTAATTCACGTTTTTGGTTGCACATTTCAGCCAGATGTGACGCTCATCCTATTTAAAAGCTGCTATAATTTATAAATAAATGGACATGTGGCGGTTTTAAAAGTGCATGCTGTAATTGTTTGACTGCATAAATTTACATTCTCTCTCCCAACTCGTCACATGTGGACGCTTGGTCAAGACTCCCTGGCGTCTGTTTTTGATGCCCTGGGTACCCTACAAGTGAGAACAGGTTGTATGTTCACATAGATAAAGAGAGGTTGACTTAATAATGAAAAATAACAACTAATCATTGACTCACTGAAAATATAAACATGCTGTTTATAACCCTGACTGAAGAAAACAATAACAGTCTGCGCTATGGATTAACAAGCACTCTTACTGAGTACAAGAGAAAAGGAAAAAGCCACCTTGTTCCTCAAAGCACAGTTTAAGAAACCAAATCATCATGAGTAACCGCCACAGCCCCACCACCGTCCTGCCAGCTGAGCCTAGATCTGAGACTGAAAAATATTGAACACTAAAAAAACAGAAAACAAGAAAAACCAGAAATGGCTACCGCTAAGACAAAACAAGCAGAACTCCCTAAAAACAAAAAGCAAACAACATATAGATACCATAAAAACTAAGGAGGAGACTGGTGTGTGAACAAAACCACCAGTGCACGACATTACAGATCCAGGATCAGAAGAAATTCTTAGTGACGTATGCTGTAATTCTTTTGCATGTTTACCTCTGAACAAAGAACATCCTGTAGTGAGTGAAAGAGCATATGTAAAGAAAGGAAACTGATGCATCACTGCAGTAGGCATTTGTTTGCCCGGTCGCACTTTAAATCAGTTTTGACACTGAATTTCTGAAGGACAACAGACGTTGCAAATAATCCAGATTAAGAGATTTTTTCTGAAAAGTCTGAAAAGACTCAATGAGCAGCTTCTTTCTGTCTTTGTGCTTTCAAGGATCTTTTCACAGGCACTTACAAAAACTTTTCTATCAATGCTGCCATATGGTTGTAAAATAGTTTGTGTTTTAAATGCTTGGATTGGTGTCTTTGTTGTTTCTGGCGTTCTCTGCTTTCCCCTTGTCACCATTTTCCCATTTGGAGGCATTTTAATGGTGATTAATTGTTGTAGATTGCAGAGGGACCTGAGATGCACCAAGTAAACCCTCCTTATGATCCTCTCCTCCAGGGGAAATTGATTTCTTCCACTTTCCTTGCACACAGCATCGTTTTATATGTTTTCAGATATTGGGCACATTTTGCTAAGTGATTGGAGATCGGGCTTAAAATTGTGTTTACCTTTCATGGTGGGCGGGGCGTAGGTGCTCTGCTTCCTCTGAGAGGCATCTGACGCCTGCAGAACAAACAGAAAAAACATATCAGAAGCTGACTTAACACAGTCACGCAACTAGACGATGAAACAATATGTCTGAGCTGTGAACTTCCATCTGCTGTCGAGGTCTTTCTATCGCCCGTCTGTCCTCGTTTACCTGCATGCATGTCTTAAATTGTGGCTTTGCTTTTCTCTCTCCTTTTTATTACTGTTCTGCATGCTTATAAACGATCAAAATAACTTATACTGGTGCACTTACAGCAGACACAAGCTGTTCAATTCAGAGAATTAAGTAAAGCTAAATTTGCAATAAAAAAAAAAAAAAAGCTGACTCACACATCATTGCAACAATTAGTTTCATTAAATGATGATTTAAAAAATATTCTTAAGCCAAGCAATGTACTTAATAATAATGTAATGTAAAAATGATGGATGTAAGGTGGAAGTGATGTTGCTTATGCATTAAAAAAAATAGCCAATAGTAGACAAGATAGACTGTGTTGTCCTTATTGATCTCAACATCAGCTTCACAATCATTTATCTGGCAGATTGTCTGACGGTCTGAAGTTCTCATGAAATGAAGTTCTCATGAAATGTGTGTGTGTATATGTTACAATATTTAGGAACTACAGTAAGGAATTGTCTTATCTTTTCACTGATGATTCACATTTTGAACTGTTCATAATTCGAGTTTAATCAGCTGGTGGCAAAAATAATAAACAGTTTGTTTATTTCAAAAGCTTACATTAGAGGTTGCTGCAGATAAACACACCTGAGCTTAATGTCTCTATGTGTTAAAGTGGAAGTTCATTTCCTAACACTGGTGTCTGGTTCCTGTGACTCCAGCAGATTAGTGTTTACCTGCTGGTGTGTTTCCCCACTTCTCTCTTGCATCTGCATGTATAACAGTACAAACCTGTGAGTCTCCGCTGGCGTTGTGCTGATCTCCAACATCTGCAGGAGAGATGAGACAGCAGCAGTGAGCTCTTTCTGTTTTTACTGATTTGCCGCTATAGCTCAGGTTATGTAAGTTGCTGGCACATCGCCGTTTCCAAATCTGCACGACAGATGTTGTTTAGCCCCAACAAGCGAAAGTTTGAGGATCTAACAGTGTCAGAGGGTCTGTTGCTGATCAGCCTGCTAGTTGAAACCACATTGGTCAGGCTGGGTAGTGTGCATTGGTAGTCTTGTTTCTTCTGGGGCCTGAAGCCGTACCGTGATCATGTCGAGATCAAGCAGCTTTTAGATAAACGCCATGTGATCAGAGCGGCACTGTTCCAGTTTGTAAATAAAGTTTGGCAGTTCCCAGTGCAGGACTTCCTGGAATCAGTGTTTAACAATCACCTTTTTAACACCTGCGGGTGATTATGGTCTGTTTTGTTAAAGGGGCCATTGACTGATGACTCAGCAGGTACTCAGCCAGATGCTGAGATATTTGGCTTACAGAATACATTTTGATCTTTAGTGGATTAACTTTAATTCACTTTCTCGCTGCTGTTGTGTTAAAGCATAAGGCTAGCAGCAATCTTTATTTCAACAAATCGCATAAATAGAGTAAAACAAACAATCTGTTAGTCCAGCTTCTCTGTGGCACTCGTTCCTACTGAAGACGTGAATCTTTAAAAACAGTTCACAAATATATACTTTCCGTTTTTAAGAAAAAGGTTAATAATCTTCTGAGTCAATTTTCCACTGTAGTTTTGGCAAATACTTCTCAAACGGGAGTAAATTTTTTGGGGGACTCTTTTCAGCTGAGGATTAATCCACTTTTTTATTTTCCAGCAGCAGGAACATGGGACTGAGTCAAAACAAACTACAGTGTGTGTGTGTGTGTGTGTGTGTGTGTGTGTGTGTGTTTTTATGGTGATGAAGGAACATGGCACTCTGTGCACCACTGTGACTCCCCCTCAGCTCAGTGTTGATGTTTTGAATATCAGCCATGAACCGTACGAGTTTAAAAACACCACCTGTGAGCTGGAGGAAGATTTTTTTTTTTTTGGGGGGGGGGGCTCTGATGGAAATAAGACAATATCAGAGGATGCACCTTTACGAGAGAGCAAACATGATTCCCAGAGGTTGCCAGAAGAAGTCTGTAAAGGTCCTACATTACTTAATGCCTTCAGAAAGTATCAGCATTTGTTGGAGACAAAATGACCAACTGTTGTTTTCTGAAAATACAGACAGTAATTTAACAGCTGAAGATATAACATCTGCACTTTTAATGTCATGGTGCTCTTCTTTGTTTCAAGGCCAAGAGCGCGGTCACTTCTTGTTTTTGCAGCTGCCAGATGGTTTCTACTCTACAGACTGAATGACAGTGCAGAGAAAGTAACAATTAAAATGCACAGATCAACCATAGAGAGAGATAAAGTATTCCACATTCTTGGGGACTGATTTCTTTCATACAATTAAAGATGCTGATGTTGTGTTACGGCCTGTCCATGTTTATGTTTCCCAACATCGTTGTTTTCTCTTTTTTTACTTTGAGAAACAGAAAATAATGGCTGCTCGAAAACACCTCAGGCACCTGCAGAGCTTTATACAACTGTACTGGAACCAGCTGAGCTGAGCTGAGCTGAACTCACAAAATGGAATCAGGCCGACGATTATTCAATCGGTCATTTCCTGTGTAGAGGGATTTATAAGAGCTGAGAGCCGACACACGCACATACACGCACTTTAGGCATCCATCAGCCCAGTCTGAGCACTGATATCACTTACCAAAAGCTGCAGCGCAAATCTAATAAAAGTTCCATTATAGTTGCTGCTTTTCAGCTCCCCCCCCCTCCCTCTCTCTCTTTCAGTCTCTCTCTCTCTCTCTCTCACCTGTGCCAGGTTGTCTGTAGATCTGCAGAGTGGCAGGAGTTGGTCTTCTGCGACGGATCTGAGGTAAACACACAACACACACACATTTTCATTGTTGCTTCCCTCAGTCCTCTTATCATCTTGAACTTGTTTTCATTGTTACTGTAGACATTAGAATAGATCCTTCTCTGGAAACCTTTCAAGGCCAGACTCACTTGTTGTCTCTGTGCTACACTGTTTAATCCCCTGTAACCACCATTGCTGGTTTAACACCTTTTTAGTGCCATTGTTTCTAACATTTTATCTCTACATATTTTAATTTATGTTTCATAACAGCCCATCTATGGTGAGACACTCTTGTGTGAAAATCCACTTTAAATACATTTTGACTTAACTTGACTACGGCTCCAGTAATTAGACTTTGAAAACACAAAATTTAGCTCACTATCCAAATAAAAGTTCATTAAAAATACCAACGGGGACTAATTGCCCCGATTCTTACGCTGTAAAAACACCCTCCTGAGAATTTGTGTAAACTTAATTAAGAGCATGTAATTAACTGCCTCAATGCTTCAGGCTTTGGATTATTATTCTTAATTAAAAATATAAGTATTCACATACAGTTTTAGTACCTATCTAAAAAGCACACCTTTCCCACATACTGTACTGTAGCAAGTGGCAACATTTACTGTTGTCCAAACATTAAATTTTAGGCTGTAAAAGGACATTTTAACATGTTAAACATGACTTAAACTCCTAGTGAATTACAGGCACTTCTTACAAGGATCGCTTATAAAGCCATTATAACTAATGTTATTGAGTTTACTGCCACGCAGCAGGAATGTAAATGTTAATTATCTTCTGTAAATGCTGGCCAACACATGGACTCCCCAAAGAGCCACAAAGGGGCCTTAACCTGTCACTGTTCATTACCAGCTTCCTTAGAAGTAAACAACTTCCGGTTTCTGTTGACTAAACGGTTCATAAAGACGTCAGCAAAGCAAAGACCAGTACCAAACACTCTGGTCTCACAGGGACTCCCAGATGCAGTGTTTAAGCTTGTATGAAAGACCAGCTTCTGTTTGTTTTTACTTGTAGGAGCAATTCAGAACCAGTTAAAGGGAAATTACACCTCAGATACTCTGTACAAGTTATTCATCTGTAGTGTTCGGTACATTTCTGGACTTAAACCGGCCTTTGTATTGCTCTGCCTTGATTTCCCACTTTACTTGAGATCAGTTAGTTAGTGATAATCCATGTTTCCTTGAATGCCTGTATACACCGTCCCCAAGAGAACGGGCGTAAACCTGTTGGCAGAGATCGTCCGTGACAGGAGTAGGCTACATTTAACGGTCACTTGACATTTCTAGGTAGTCACGTTTACATAACCAGATGATTATGAAGTAAACATGCAAAAAGCTAAATCGTTTGTGCTCAATAGGAGAGAAGAAACTTTTTCTGAAATTTGAAACACTGAAACTTAAAGACTAAATCACCATTGAATGAGGGTTTTTTTTTCAGTGTTAACTAGTTTTATGGTAGGTATTTTAGTTTATTACATATGCTCACAAAAATATTAAACTCTTTGCCAATAGACATGAAAACAAACCAGCCGGCAAAAACACTCAAACGTGTCAAATGCATGGCCATCAAATATGACAGAGCTATTAAAATGCACATGCTGCCACACAGATACACAAACAGCAGTTTTCACAAGATCAACTTATGCACACATGCTGGTCTGCACCCACACACAGAAAATTCTAGACAACATCACAGATTCAGACACACAGCCCCATTCAGCCGTCACATTGGTGAACCCGCACTGTTCAGCCCACTCTGTGACACACACACATGCTCAGATACACTCACATGTTCGGCAGCCTGTGGGTCCAGCTGTCCCTGCAGTGGAGGTACAGCAAACTGGATCTTCTTCGGACTGCTGGGCTCCATTATTACTGACTGAGAGATAGAAAGACGGACAGAAAGAGAGAGAGTGTTTGTTTGTGTGTGTGTGTGTGTGTGTGTGTGTCAAGGAGGGAGGGAGTTAAGAGGGAGGGAGTGGTCTTCTCTTGGCCGACGGGGTCCATTATCACTAATTGACAGACTTAGAGAGAGAGAGAGAGGGAGTGAAAGAATAGTAGCCTAGTCATTGCAGCATTTTCCAAACACATACACTCTGATTCAGAGTGAAGTCATGTAATAATGTCAGAGGTGTTACTTGACTTTTTCAAATCTTGTGATGTTATTTTGCACTGTAAGAACCAGGAAAGTGCAAACAGTGACTACAACTGCTTAAATTGACATCTTTCAGTGTCAAAGTTACACACAAACCTTAAGAGTTTGAGCATATGTATCTTCCTCATGGTTTGAATTATTGTGATGATAGAAAAGACCAAATGACTGATATGTGTGTTAAATAAGAAACAAGGTTGAGAGTCTACAGCCTTGCAGCTCTGTGAGACTCTCTGTGATTTGAGCTGAATGCTAACGCTAGCACGCCAACATGCTTACAATGACAATGCTAACTGTTAAGCAGGTGTTCTGTTTGCTGTGTTCACCATCTTAGGGCCACATGTGTGTACTGCTTTGTTTCCACTTTCAAACTTTTAAAAATGGTTTAGCTGAATGTAAATATTGTCTGATTTATGTATTATTAAAGAGGCCTGAAATTAATAAGGTGAAAAATAGATTTTCATTTGAGTTTGACTATAAATAACATGCAGAAATTATATAGTAATAGTTATGTAGTAAAGTATAACAAAGTAAAGAAAGAAAGAAGTTCTTTTGTCCATTTCCATTTTCTACCCCCTACTCAGAAACCTGCATCTTTTGCCACCAATGACATCAGTGTTTGTGTGTGTTTGTGTGTGTGTGTTGGCAGTTGTAGTGGAAACACTTTGTCTCCGTGGAGACATCTGGAGAGACTTATTGGCTACTGTAGGTGGAACAAACCACGCACACATCATACAAAGAGCCTCTTGTTTTTTTTCATGTGTTTGGAAACTGTCCATCTCTGCTCTGTGAAGGTAAAACAGAAAACATTGCTCTGTTGTCGGTGGCAAACAAGCCCGTGCATTTACCCCTCATTAGTCAACTTCCTCTGTTTAGGACAAGATGTGAGATTCTAGGTACAGATGTTAGAGCTGAATTAAGCAATATTTAAGTGACATTACTAAATTATTAAATTATTCTCTGTAATGTGAGACGGTGAACAGCAGGCAATACTGCCGATCTCACTGAGAATCAACACAACTCTATGCAGCGTTAGGCTGATTTTTTTTGTTTGTCAGTCAAGATGACTGAGTCCCTTTTGTCTTTCACCGGCCTTAATAAACTGTGGACAGTCTACCCCAGTTAATTACCTCACATAGGTTTGGTGCAAACGTAAACAAGCAGCGAATGATGAGAGTCAAACATCTAACAAGCCGATAATTTTTCTTTATAGCTGACAAAATCAGGAAGCTTAAAGTCCCAGTGAAACGGCAGATAATGCATCTTTCGTTTCTGTAATGTGACGTATTTGAGAGTGAAATGGAGGTCAGGGAATTTTGGGAAAAAATATCTGATCACAGGAGTGAATATTTCTGGAGCGTGAGTTTCTTAAAAAAACACTGTAGCTGTAGAGGACTGATGTGTTGTCCTCCATATTCCTCTTATCACTAATTTAGTTATGTAATTTCATTACAAAATAAATGTAACTGTAATCGTTACAGTTACTGGGAAGAAATGTGTAATTAAATTACAGTTTCTTATGAAGATGTTCATGTCTCAGCATTAGATCAAATTTGACCTCCTCACCTACGCTGTTTTGGAAATATAAATTTTATGAAAACCACACCTCTGACCTATAACATAACTCCACTAGCTACTGTGATCACCCACAAGCTAAAGGCGTGGTTTTATATAATAGCAGGGATGAACTGGTCGGCCCAAATCACATTTGATTGGATACATTTATGCGTACAATCCAATGCAGGATTACTCAACAAAAATATTAAAACATCTTACAGTTTTACACATATTTGGCATAAACCAAGAGATACCAGTTACATTACGGGAGTAGAAAAGGTATTTTTTACTTGTCTGCAAAGCAAATAAATACATGGATTTAGCAAGTCTCACGAAAGAGGACTCCAATGGGATGCCTGTCTCGCATTTCAGTTTCTGTTGGACACACAGTACTTAATAACATAATATAGTGAAGCCTCATTGCAGTGAGGTTATAACAGAGTCTTTGTAGTGGATTAATAAAGCAACAGGAAAGAAAAGACTCGGATAGAGTTGACAGCATTTGTTTTCATTTTTCTCTATTTGGTTAAGTTACAAAACGTTAAAAACAATTGCAAGGCAATACATAAGATGTTTCAGGGTCTTACAGAGTCTCAGTGGTGAATGCTACCTAACCTTTTAACACTGTAATGTGAGTGTAGCAAAACAAATGTCACTAATGAACAAGAGAAACTTCAAATCTACGCATGCTAAAGGCTCGTGTACGATCACCAACATCCCATTAAACTCATATTCAAATCTTTTTTTTCACATATTTAATGACTAAATTCAACACTGCAGAACTTAATTTGATTCTTATTATCCGGAGAACCGTCCACTACTCTTAATAACTCCAGTATGGAGAGTAAGGAAATTGCATATTGTAACAGCACCAGCATGGTTGTGGAGTGAGTGCGTGCAGATGTTTCTGAGGTGAACTTGGGACCTGCAGGGGTGTGTGGAGTGTCGGGGGTTGCAACACAGGAAGTGTGTGCAGGGGTGGTGGTAACCTTTGACACTGAGCTGAGGGAGGGGAGAAGCGCGGAGGTTGTTGTTGCTGATGTTGATACGACAGCTGATGTGGTGTTTGCGGGTACTGGTGTGACAGCTGGTGTTGCTCTAATGTTGGTAGTTGCCATGAGAACGCCTTCTGCTGCCACTGAAGCGGCTGCGGAGGCAGCAGATAGTTCATTCCTCCTCGTCCTCCTCCATTACTTTCCTGTGCTGAATCCTTCTCTGTTTTGGCCAGGTGGTGTATGACGATGTTGAAGGCGTTGTCGTCGTCGTGTTGCTGGGTGAACGCCTGCAGGTGGAGGGTGGAGACAACTTTATGAGGGCGGGGCAGGAGGGACAGGGGCGTGAGGTGAGGAGCAAATGAGGTGGGCAGGGAGTAAGACTTGACAAGTGTAGCTCTTCGAGTTATCCCCTTTGTCCCGCTTTTATCTCCCTGGCTCTCCGACGTCTCTCCTGTCTCCTCAGGTCCGTCACCCTCTTTTCCTCCAGGTTCAAGTATTTCTGATAAATCCTCCCCCGAGCAGCAGCTGCTGCTGCTGCTGCTGGAGCTAGACTCTGCTTCTGACTCCCTGTCCACCTCTGGTCCAGAGTCTTCTGCTGAAGAGCTGGACTCCCCGTCACCCCCGTGCCAATGCGTGGAGCTCGCTTGCCGGTTGTAGCAGGCGGCACAGCGAGACAGACCAAGGAATTTAGGACTTGATCTGGACTGGACAGAGAGGGAGATGAGAGTTAGATATGAGATGCATCAAATAAATTATTTATGGCTATTTTTCCCTGGCCCTGTAAAGCATCACCGTGGTGTGCCAAGTCCTCACACTAAAACAGCACAATACTGCAGGTCATCAGATCAGAAAAAGATTCACATGAACCTTTAATCCACAGTTTTCTATGGTTCATGGTCATATTTCAGTTGAGATTGTGTGCCCCAAAAGACGTGTTTACATTCGAGTAACAAAGCCCGCTGTTGTCTGTCTGCAGGAAAGGAGGAAGCAGTGGGATGTTATTGTGGACGTCAGGGTGGACGGATTGGTCAACGAAACAGCAAAACACTGTTTGTTTTCCTGACAGTGACCACTGCTGTTTCCTGACCTTAACCAAGTTGTAATTGTTGTATTATGACAAAGGTCCCCTGACCTTAATTTGAACCCAAACCACAATGTTTCCCATCTCTAAACCTTTACCACAGCATCGTAAGTTCAGAAAACAATGTTGTTTAGTAAAAGTACTAATACCTTACTGTCCTGTGACTGTTATATGTTCATTATGTAATAATCTGCTGATTATTTCCTCCATTAATCGACTGTAAAATTTCAGAAAATAATGAGAAATGTTGTCACAGTTGCCCAGAGCCTAATGTGACACCTTCACAAAGCTTTGTCAGTCCAAATGTTAAAATAATTAAAAATACACAAAAATAATCAAAAGGAAAAGCAGCAAATCTTCACATTTGTGAAACTACAACCAGGAAATGTTTTACATGAACAATGACTTAAATGATTGCCAAATTAGAAAAATTAAAGTTCCAATATATATTTCTGCTAATTAACTAACATTTGAACCAAAGTCAGCCAAAGCTCGTGTTTCATCTACGACCTAAAACCACACTGACCTCTGTGACATTATAGTCCTGCATGCACGGTCAAATCATTATGGTCTCTGCCTTCAAACAAGCTGCTTGGTCATTCAGCTGACTCGAGGAGGAAGATCACTTTTTAAAAAGATTTCAGTGTTGTGTTTTTTTAGCTCCTGTGTAACATACTTGTGAGTGTTTTGCACGTTCTAACAGGCATCTAACTTTTTTTATCCGCCCTCCTACAGCTCCTGTTTGAAGTTACTCCTGGTTAGATGAAGAGGTACCGACAACACTTACAGCTGTTTGATCAGTCAGTAAGGTTGGTATTTGTTTTGTTAGTTAATAGATTAAATGAACTAATGAAATGCCTTTGCTCTGGGTAAACATTATTGTACTGTTTACATAAGCCCCAGCTGAAGTCTGACATACTTCTTGACCTGTTTTGACCCAATTTAAGATGTAAAGTGAGGTTTTGCCTCAGTAGTTCTTTGGCAGACGAGAGCAATGAACCTTTCAGGGCCAGCAACAGGTAAAAAAAACAATAGCACCCTACATGCAGAAGTAGAGCACCACACACTTGTCCAGGTCTATCTTAAAACAATGCTCACATGTCCATATGTACATGGAAACACATTTCGGTCGCTTAAATTGCTTTCTGATGTCCATACTGGCTGTGAGATCTGTTCCTAACACAATTCTTTCAGTCCTCTTTGTGTGAAAAAATACTTTTTAAAGTGCAGCTGATTCTGATATGAGGCCTCAACAGTCAGGTCAGTCATTTATTTAACCAAATGACCTCTTTGTGCTTCCCCAGACAGCGTTATGGAGAGGTTGTAGTAATAGAAGAGGATTTTTTTTTTTTTTTGTAAAAAGACTGTAACTCATATGAAGTATAAAATCATACCTTTGATTGGTTCAGACTGTCCTCATTCTGGTCCTCAGTGGAGCTCATTATTCCACCTTCTTTGCTGCATTGATCCCTGCCCTACTGGCAAGGGAAAAAGTTTTATGAATCACCTCTTAAAACACAAGCAAGGGAGAACAAATTGCAAGGACAGGTTGAAAAAAACCTAAGCAACAGGAGATCGTCTTTCATTTGTGGCTCCCAGTTACAGTATTCATACTGGTCTTCTCAGTAAAGCCCCCAGTTTACTGCAGGTTTAAAAATCACTATTTAGTCAGTCATTTAGTGCAAAATCTTCTAAATATCCCCTTTCATGAGCTACGTGTAAGAAAAAGAACAATGCATTTTTCAGATAATCCAGTGGGTTTTTAAAAAGAAACACATGAACACTTTATCCTTTTGTTTAAATGAAAACTTCAAAAGAACTAATTTGAAGATGCATGGATTTAAATAGACAGTGACAAAATGTAACAGACTTTATCACTATTATTTTGACCAACTTATGAGGTGGTTGTAACGGTTTCATTATAAATAATCTCTACATCACTGCAAAACGTTTTCCTAAATAGTTTTAAAATTAATCTGTATTTACAACAATTACATCACACTAACACATAAGTCTGCATGTTCATTTCATCGTATAAAATATGGGGGGAAAACCCAAGATTATTATTTATTATTTTAAAGCTTGGCACTTAAATTATAAGTGTCACTGTCCCACAAATACATGTACATCCACTACATGTTCATGGAGTTGAAACAATTGTAGAGCTGACAGAAAAAACATTCATCAACTAATTTTTTATAATCGATTAATTGTTTTGGTAATTTTCTAGCAAAACCAGACAAAAATATGCCTCTCTGGTTCCAGCTTCCTATGCTGCTTTTCTTCACCCAAATATTTATTTTTGAACTGGAACACCACGTTCAACTCCCTTTTTATAACCTTAACTCTTTATATAATGTCTGATATCGACTATGAGATAAATAGTCTGGAGGATATGACTCCACTGTTAAGCTACTTTCAACTGAAAATTATTTATTTATCAGAAAAGGTGTACTTACTTGTACGTTCTCCTCTTCAGGTCCCGGGATGCAGCTCGACGGGTCGTGTTGACCTGCATTTGTTCATGTAAAAGAGCGTTCACGCCCCGGTGAGTTTGCGTGTCTCTTCTTATGTCCGTTGTTGTGAGAGCACACAGTGGTTTACATAGATCACAAATAAGACACATACACGCACACCCTCTGTAAACACACAGCAGGAAGATCCTTCATGCCGCTCCATAAACCCCCAACAACTAAACAAACTTATTTTCCATCCATCATCATCCGCTTATCCTGCGTACAGGGTCTCAGGGAGAAACTTATTTTATTAGTTTTATTTACCCTCCATACACACAGAATAGCTCTAAAGCTCTTAAATAAACAACAACCTTAAATTCATTTCAGTTTAAAATATTTTTTATTTAGACAATGAAAAGTCTGATACAACCACACACGTTAACTTCGTGCAGAGACACTTAAGGCATGAAAATCTCTCCGCTGGTTTGTCCACAAACTGAACAGGCTGTCATTAATAACAGAAAATATGATTCAGTCATAAAAGCAGCAGTTTCTCCTCTAAAAAAAGAAGCACAGCCGTTTGTGTCGACCAGAGCTTCGAGGCAATAGCTTGACATTTTGGCAAATAAGCTTACACACTTTATTAGATGAGAAGATTTACACCACTCTCACCCCTATCTGCACTGTAAATATGAAGCTAGAGCCAGCAGACAGTTAGCTTAGCTTAACATCAACAATAGAAACGAGGGGAAACTGCTCGCCTGGCTCTGCGCAAAAGGTTACCGGCACTTCTAAAGATCAATAATTAACACTTTATATCTTGTTTATTTGATCCTTACAAAACCATACAGATTACAGATGAATTACCGGACAAACATGAGAGAGGTGTGAGTCTTATAACTCTTGGCAAGAAAGCAAATAAGCGTATTTCCCAAATGTCCTACTCCTTTTTAAGAGACAATCTGTCCAAGATTAAATCACAATGAACTGCCAAAACACTGGCTAACCTTCATTTTCTTTTAGTTAATTTATTTTGGGATGAATCTTACAGCAAGTTGCATATTTGATCTATTCTCCCTGTGTTTTCTTGTATTATTTTTCAATAGATTTTTGTTCATCAATTAATTAATTTGAAGCTCCTGTAAGTGCTTGAACTACAAAATCCACGTTGTGTTTAAGTCAAATAAAATAATCTGCAAGAGAAACACTTCTTCACAGTATTTAGAAAAAGAAAAGGATGAAAGGAAAAACGAAAACAGATACTGAACACACATTTTGGTAAAATAGAAGAAGGAAGTCTTGTATGTTTACATACTGTTTACTGGTATACAATAAGGCTGCTGCAACTCCAAAACTTCCTTCCAAAAATAAGACACTGACTAGGAACAATGATATATCTTTATATTATTTTTAACATTAGAGGTGGGATAAGCGATTCTGGAGAAATCCAACTCCATGCTAGTCACCTGCTACTCACAACTCACTTAACGTTACCTGACACGCACATCATGGCCGGAGCTACTTTGTTTGTTTCTCATTTACAGACTCGCAGCTGTGTACAAACACCGGATTTATTTCAGCGCACATGCAGAACTGACGGCTAGCAGACCGCGAGGAAATATTTGGCGAACGCGCACTGGGTAAGAACCACATACCCCACCTTTAATGTGAGTTTCACAATCATCATCACTGTTCTCCACCACAGTACCTTCATCACTATAATCCTTTTCTCAGAAGATAAAAAAGGACATTGTCTTTAACTTGAAAGTGCAAAACAACCACATTTACACATGTATATTGGCAAAAAGTTACTGCAATTCCTTTTTATTTTTGCTCTCTAACAACTGTTTGAATGTGAAGGGAACACACCTGATTGGTGGAGAGATTCGACATTTAAAAAATCTTCTTACTTTTAGGAAGTTTAGGATACAACAGATGTGGCCAGTCTGTTCGGACACGATGATTCCCCTTTTAAAATTTAATAATAAAGTGTCTTTGATGTTATAGTACGTTTGTAATTACCTAAAACTTGTTTTTGGCCAAAGCTGACATTTGTGAAGATCTGCCCTGTTCAGTGTTGCCACATATTATGATTATATTCTCATTCTGCAGCGTACCACAGTACACCTCTCTCCCCAAAACAGAAAGAATCCACCAGGAAACGTAGTCCATATTAGTCACCGTGGACGATTGTTTACATCGGTTTGTTCAGATGACGTCTTTTGCATGTGTTCAAACAGCAAAGCATGTGACAAGACAACGATGTGCAGACGTTAAGAGGTCATTTAACAAGACAGGAAATACGACTCACTAATTTCAGCTTAGTAGTCTGACTGACTGCTGCAAGCTAATCATTAAAATCACTAATAGAGTCATAATACTTTACCTAAAGACTGATTTGTTCTGTAGCAACCCCAGAATATGAGACTACCTACAGGTTTTAGAGCTGAACGCTGATCCACTGATCTGCACTACACTAACGCACAAGTAGAAGCAGACTCAGACGTAGCACAAGATTGCTAAGTTCTAGACATTGCTAAGTGCCTCTGCAGAGGAAAGTGCATCAATTGACAGGGAAAGAAAACAAATGTGTGCAAAAGGCATCATCTGAACTCACTGGTGAACTTCAGTCATCATCCATGATCCTTCATTTATGCATTTAACTCACGGCGGCGTCTGAGAGCTCAACGTACTGCGAAGGGAGTGAGACAGAGAAGACAGATCAGTGTTGATCTCTCAGGGCCACCGTACCTTGCTTTTCTTTTCAGGGTCACGTTGGGCTGGAATTAATCACCATTAGGCGAGATACCAAACATTTACAGGCAGTCACTTGCACACATTCAGGCCCATCTGTAATTTTGAGACTCCGTTCACATGATCTGACTTGATTGACAGGAGGAGGCAGAAAACAACCAGGCACATTTGTGCAAACTTCATGGCATTTCGTCTCTCTGTGTGTACGGCGACAGAGATAACTGGCTTCAGGACCTCGCAGAGACGCCGTTCATCAGTCTGGTTTCATCCTCAGCTATATCAGACCTCGCTACTGAAGACCTCGAAAGACAAAGAAGCTGGCAGGAAGAAGGGACGGACTACTTCTTTTTTTACCTTTGCTTTCAGCAGACAAGCACAACTATGAAGGCCTGGAAGAAGAAAGCAAGAAGATGCTTGGCAAGTTTCCAAGGAAAGAAAAGGTTAGGCAAGTATCTTGAGTATGTGGAAAAGGCAGAAAAAACTGTGCTAGAAGATGATTTTGTTCTACGTTTGGAGGATTTCAACACCCCATCAAAACGCCAAACATCAGAGGACAACATGACGTCCTGAATTCAACATTTCCTGCACATTCTCAGGTACAGTAGTGAACCCCGGCATCTAAGCAGTCCAGAATACAAGAATTCACAGTTATTCGTATTCATGCCAGGGAGCAAACATAGTCCTCACCTGCTTCCCACCAAGAAAGTCCAGGTTAATTGCTGTAAGTGCAGTTTTCATTCACTGATTCTTTGAGCTTCAGGTCACGATTCCTCTAAACTCCATCGAGAGTGTGTCCATAGATTGAATGTCCTCGCATCTCAAGGCGTTAAAGCTTCATATATTTTATACTCACAGCTGTCAGATGTCTCTTTCCGGCTGTCTGTCCAGTGCGTACTGTGCAGCTGAAACACTTAAAGACGGCCTCAGTTAAGGAAAAATTCATTACGACTCCAAAGTGCATGTGTTTGGCAATCAGCTGACAGAAAGAAGAAGAAAAAAAAATAAGCACAAGAAGGACAATCCTGGAGGAGGTCAAAAGTCAGTCAACTCCGTCAAATCCTTGGTTTAATGAAGACGACGTCAATATTTTGACCGGATGCGGTCACAGTCACTGACATCTCGCAGAGGGCAGCAGGTTCGGGTGGACGTCAGGTCATCAGATGGACAGGTCGGTGTCTGTGTCGGTGGGTGTGGTCTTTGGGCTCACACTGCCTCCTCTCTCCTCAGGAATGGAGGACGAGTCGCCGTTGAGGCTCGGCAACACGCCTGGAGAACACACGGGGAGTAAATACACACGTCAACTTTCACAGGTGAGCTGTCTTTAGTCAGGAAGCGCCACACAGAAGTAGTCGAGGTTCAGTATATGGGATGTGCCAATCCAGGGAGTTAAAATCAAAAAGTAAAAGTACATAATAAGCAAAATATACTCAAAGCATCAAAATTAAGTGAGTATTTAATTTAGTATAAATTCAGTATCGGGATATTATTACTGATTAATTTACATGAGGGTTAAGGGAAGGTTATTTGTATAGCACATTTCCGCAACCAGGGAATTCAAAGTGTAAAATCTTTCCCTCTTAATAGTGGTGGAGTGGAATTATAAAGTATCATAAAATGGCAAATACTTCTGTGTTTTGTTTATGTATTTTACTTACAGTAAGTACAGCTCTTGAGTAAATGTACATAGTAGTTACATTCGAATTTTGACCAAAATTGCTTCTTTTCTGGACTATCGATGCAAGTCAACGACTTCTTAGAAAAGGCAAAAAAAACGCACTGACCCGCTTTGAGTGTTTCTGTCAATCTGAAACTGAAACGGCCCAGAGCGAGCTGCCAGGCAGGTTAAGCCACTTTATCCTGTCAGCTTGTCTCTTTACAAAGACAAGTGTTGCCGTATGAGAGTCCTGCCTGAAGAGAGGCTTTGAAGTCTTCATGTTACGCAGTACGAGAACCACACATGACATTATTTATCAAACTCGGTCGGACTTGATGAATTTAGCGCGAGGAGGAAATACATGTGACAACGTCCGGTTTTCAAAATAAGGTGTCTATACAGGATGATGAATAAGATTAATTGGATTATATTCACAGAAAGAATAAAACCTATTTACATGTTTCCATTAAAAGTAAATGGACACATGTAATTTACTTTACCCACCATAGTCTTTCCAATCCTGTGGGAAACGCTGAGTAAAAACCACATTTTGACTATTTAATTTATGCAATGGTAACAAAAGGCAAAATAAATGGAGAAAATGTGAATGTACTTGTTCGGTGTTTGGCAAATTTTTTCATTATATTCGGTTTCGGCTTCGGCCAAGAATTTTCATTTCGGTGCATCCCTACTTCCTGAATCTTTCTTTAGAACTCGTGAGTACGTAAACGTTCCCAACAATGTGTTTATTTCCCCATATTTCATACTAAATGTCCTCTACAGGAAACTTACTAGGAAATTATTAAGAATAAAGTTTGATTTTAGCGCAGTGTGTCTAACTTACGTTCAGTATCATAAACAGAGCTGTCGGAGCACGTCCGGTTCCTGCGCTGAGTTGACCTCTGACCTCCACTTAAGTACTCCTTAAGCACACCTGACCTGAGCGGAAAAAACAAAAGAATGATAAAAGCTCAAAACAGGAAACTTTCTCACCTCGTTCGACATTCTTAATTCAAAATACATAATGAAAACACAAAGAGAGAAACATATTGCCAGCTGTGTCCTAATAGCATCCCCTAACCCTTTTATTTAAATAAATATATGTACACCCTTATTCTGTGACTGAGATCACATTTATTTTCCCTGATGTCTTCCTCTTATATAGATAATATATTCATTTTGCAGGTAAAGGCTGAGATGATATAAAAGTCATCCTCCCTCAAAGAGATAAAAACTTATCAGTGATAAATAGAAAGAGTTGCGATGTTTATATCTAGGCTTGCTAAAAGTCCTATAAAACTAAAAAAAGGTAAAAAAGAGGAGCAGTTTTGGATCCTTGCTGTCCTTTTATTCGTCACATTTTGGGTTCACAAGGTCATTTTGAGGTAGAGGAATCAAAGAAACTACAATGTTTCTCCTTCACCTGACCTTGACAGCTCGCCTTTATCTGCAGCTCATGAAGAATCGGCCCAAACAAGAGCAGTTATCACAGTTTGGTTGTAAATGTCAATGAAAACGTTACTTTTCTGTCTTGTTCGCGACACTATAATGTCGTGGCTTTCCAGAAAATCCAACATGTAACCACAAAAGATTTTTCCTGAAACTAAAACTAATGAAAAACACATTTAGTTCTTGTGAATAATCCTTTCCATTAGTAACTTGTTTAAAAGGAAGCGTTCACAACTTTTCAAGTCTGTCTTATAGAAAAAGCCAGGTGTCAACATGAACAGGTTTACCTTGCTGTAATTTTTCCTGCTGTCCTTGCTGTACAAACATGTCTTTATGTGAAGTTAAAATGAGGCTTCAGAACTCTTGAATTAATCTGATCAAGTGGGTATCTTTCAAGGTTGCAGCCTTTCTAGAACAATTCCTAGTTTTTGGTTCCATGGACAGCGTTTACTTACCAAGCTTTAGTGGAGCGACACTGACACAAAAAGGGGATTTCATTGTCAATTAAATCAAGTTGAATATTTTCCAAATTTACAAAGATGGCTGAAGCCTGTTATTAACAATTAACAATGAAATTGATTTAGTAAGGCACCGTTTAATGGCCTGAATGAACAGGTGGAATGATGACAGCAAGTAAAATGTGTTATATTGTACATATGAGCAACTGACGTTTTTCCATATTTTCGTTACAATGTCAGATGTTCATGTTACACATGGCCAAAGCTTCAAATAATGAGCTAAGCATATTTAAAAGAAATCTTTGTGGGCCAAATACAAGACAGAAATTATTTTATTTAATTTTTTAATTTAAATCATGCAAAGCTAACATACAGGAGTCACAGAACCACGGAAATGCAGTATAAAAGGTCTCCTTTAAGACAGACCTCTGGAGTATTTAAGGCGTTGCAATGCCGCCTCCTGGAGGCCGTAGTTAATATTAATTCATGAATTCAGAGAACATGACATCCAAGCAGCCAAATTATGTTTGTTTTCTGTTCCTATTGTTGATCTGAAGATTAAATAAACCGGGTTCAACAGTAAGTACATTTTTAATCCGGCTTTTTATTTGCAGTGATTTTTATTCTTTGTGTATTTATATAATTTGTTATTGTAAAATTGTTTTCTGCTTAACATTGTTTAAGTACTTTGTGCTGCATCTTTGACACACAAAGTTATAATTACTAATATTATTATTACTACAACGAGGAGGAGGGAGGCTAGTTAATAAAATGTCCACACGCGTTTAACTCACCTGTCAAAGCTGTATGTTCCAGGGTGACTGATTGACCTCTTCATCTGGGCGGACAGACATAGAAATTACTTCTTTCAGTTTTGCAATGAAAAAAAATATCTGCATGTAATAAAAAAGAAGGGGTACAAACGATGTGTGCATCAGCTACAAGAAAAAAAGGGTCACTAATGTCGCCTCCCCTCCTTAAACTTTTGTTTCTTCTAAATATCTGAGTGTCTACTACCAATAACAAACAAACAAGAGTACAATATAATGTCTCAAAGACTTGCAACCAATTTTCATCTAATTTATTTCCTCCAACCATTTTACAATGCATATATATATATTTAATTGGATTTTCTTTGTTGGGATTGTTTTCTTGCAGAGCCCCCTGTATCAGCCTGCAGGCGTCAGGTGACTGATGGTAAGCAGAGCGTAACATAATGTGCACAGTGCTATGGGGAAAAAAATTACAAAGAAATAATAAACAGAAGCGTAGCTGGAAACAAATTAAATCTGTGTTTACTGTGATTGAACAGTTTGGGTAAGTTTTCAGGTCTGTATAAATGTGTCTTTCACACTGTGCAGCCACCACCGCGAACAACGAACTGAAGCAGTTGGTGCAAATAAAAACACATTATTTGCCTTTAATTTTAATAAAAACACATATGGGATCTATATTGGTCACAATTCTCTAATAAACAAGTTGTTATCAGTAATGTTTATGTTGAAAAACGAAAAACGAAAATCGGCCAATTTATCATCATCGACACAAATGTTGATCTCTTAATTAGAATTTTACTTAAGTAAAAGTAAAAGTCCTGCATTTAGTAAAACTAAATAAGTATTGGCATTAAAATATACTAAAAAGTACTCACTAAGCACAATGGCCCATTTCAGAATAATGTCTATTAAATTACTACATTATGTAAATAGTAACTAGTATTGTAAGGTTCAAAATGTAATGGAGTAGAAGTATAAAGTAACAAATGGAAATACTCAATTAAGAACAAGTACCTCAAAACATTTCACTACTGGAAACTGAACTATACTGAGACAAAGCACTGACGTTCAGGGTTAAACATTTAGCAAAAGTAAAACTATGTTTAAAACAACAATAAAAAATATTTAGTGCATTTCAACAGGATCTTCTGTGGGGTTTTTTTTTTACCACACTGAATATCTGTTGGTGTGTTTCTTCTTTCAATGTCACCAAAACACAGTTCTGTAGATGTTTTATAATGGAATTAGCTGGAGACAGTGTAATTACCCTTTCAGGCGGACGGAGGTCAGGGGTCAAACTCTGGTTGGCCAGGGTCATACACTCCTCCAAAGTCCTGATGAAAGTTGCACATGTTGCACTGAGGAGAGAGGCCTGCAGAGAGAGAGAGAGAGAGAATAATAATAATAATAATAGCTGTCTAGTTGTAACTGCATCAGTGTTAGAAGAAGTCCTCTCAAAGACACAATGGACACATTTTTTCCCCATGTTTTTGTGACATCACAAAAGTGCTTGTTTTCAATCCCGACAGGCTCAAATTGTTATTACAAGTGTTATTACAAGTGTCTGACAACATAATGGAAAGGATCCATACTGTTCTTTTTTTAAACAGTAGGTTCTTTTTTATGACTATATTGCTCTCGTCAAAGCCACCAGACTCCACTAATAAAAACTGTAATTTTACCTTGCAAAACACGGGAATTGCTGGATGACCGCTGCCTCGGTCAATTAGTTTGTTTGTGTTCATGTGTGACTTTGGTGTTTTAAATGGTTAAAAACACCAAAGTCACACAGTAACAAACTCACAGATCGCGGCGGCGGTAACCCAAAAGGTCCATTTTTGTAAAGGGAGTCAGGTGGCTTTGAGGAGATCAATATGCTGGTTAAACAAAAAGGATCTTAAAAACGTCTTATCTCTGTAGGGATCATAGCCATAATAATCCAGACGCTTGAAACAACAATCTGAGCCTGTGCCTAACAGCCAAGCACTTTAGTGGACGTACTTTGACGTCGCATCTCTGTTAAACACTGGAAAAGTTTCAAAAAAAGTTGTCTCCATTATTCACAGACACTTTGGAAAATGGGAAAATAGGGTCCAGGTTGAAAAATACTGAAGTTACACTTTCAGGTTTAATTATTTGATGGTACAAACCCCTCCTTGATAAACATTATCTCTTGTACACTTGACACTTGATCATGACGTTGCCCTGCTATAAAATAAAAAGTGGAGTATGTTTCTTAATTGTGATAAGAAAATAAAAATGAAAACCTCAAGAAAAATGTCACTTAAAATGAATCTGAGGGGAAAAGAAGAAGCGTTACCTCAGAGATGGGCGTGGCCTCCGTGTCGGCGGTGTGTTGCGATTGGATGGTGTGGACCTGCTGGACGAGGAGGTCACAGTACAGACGAAGTTCAGACATCTTTGTCTTCAGACAGTCTGGACCTGGTGACACACACACACATCACAAAGAGCTAAATCTACAGTCAGAAATATAATGGCTTAAATAATGTGCATGCATCACCCCTAACTGGACACTTCCTGTTGATTTTTCACAATAAAAGTCTTACCACCTTCCCTTTATCGGTACGTTTTTTTCTGAATTTTCATGTCATGAAGTGGTCTTAGTATTCTACAGGTAAGTGTTTTATTTATTTTTTCACTCAACACTGGCCCCTGCATCAGCTTTTATAAGAAGTTATGATTAACTACCACTTTAACACACAATGTGCAGTATGCCACAATTGATTAATCCAAGCTAACAGTTAACAATAAGTGTTGGTACTGTATTGTTTCATATCTATTGTTTTACAAATGTAGTAATTTACACACTTTATAATATTTATTTAGAACCTTACTTTTTTCTTAAAATTTATATATTTTATTTTGTCGTTATATTTGTTTTATTTGTTATGTGGGACTGGCACTAACAGGACTGCGCTTTTGTTGTACTCAATGAAAAATAAAGGAATCTGAACCCGTTTCTTTCCCCCTGATTGTTATAATGAGCTGCTCGGGCAAAAATTACTTTCACAGTAGAACAAACTATATTTGTGAACGTTTGCCAAACTGTCTTACAATGTGTGTCAATTTGTTTAAAAGTTATCTTTCACCAGACAGAGCTTCAGAAAGTAGAAGAAACACAGACGGACAGATTTATATAAAAGCTGTGTGTACCTCTGTGTTTGTGACTGTCCAGTGTTCCAGCTTTGGATGAGCCTAAAGCCACCAGCCACCTCTGTCTCTCTGCAGCGTTCACAGCTCGCACGTAGAAGTGCTGCTCGCCGGGGATTATCAACTCCAAGCGCGTTGGATCTGACGGATGAACTGAAATACAGAATATTAACAGTGTTTGATGGAGGTGTTTACCTTTAAAGCACCATGACTGAGTACAGGCACCATGAAGTAAAACCATCTGCCGGGGCGGTCTAACCTTTAATGTCGCACACGGACATCTTGATGGATCCTTTGCTTCCTTTCCCAACGTCATCCTCGCTGTCATAGTAAGAGATGACGCCGTTCTCTAAGACGAACCAGCGCGGCTGCCAGCCTGAGGACAGAAAACAAACTCAAAGCCTAAGAAACAAATGTGTGTCTTTATCTGGAGTTTTTATTGTTCAAAAAACAAAAGTGTACATTTTAAATATAAGGTACTCCACCGATGTAGTAATGCACCATAAGGAAACTGACGAGAAACAGATAATAAAATGGATTCCTTTATTTTACCAGGCAAGTCAATTAAAAACAGATTATCATTTACAATAACGGCCTGGCAGGAGACAAAGGCCTCCTGTAGGGCAGTAGTAGGATTAAAATAAAATAACATAAACAACAGACAGAAGACGCAGGACAACAAGACAACACCAACAACATACCTTAAAACCAGGCACAAGAGACACCAAGAAACAAAAGGGAAAAAATATCTTAATAATAATAATAATAATAATAACACAGACAACGAGAAACATGATAAAAGACTAGGACATACGCTAGTCTACAGAGAGTGCACAACGCAACCAGGGCAGTTAAACAGCAGCAGGGCAACAATACAAAACCACACGAAGCATGAAAATTGATATTGCAAAAAATGCTGGATCTAATGGTTGCTTCTAATTACTATTTTCATTGTCGATTACTCTGCACACTTTTCTCAAAGAACTGATCACTTGTTTAGTCTATAAAATGTCGGAAAATTATTTAAAAGATGCTACTAAATCCAAACATGACATCTTGTTTCACTGTTCAAAACCCAGACAGTCAAATCATTCTCACATAAATCAAAGAAAAGCAGCAGAGGAGAACCTGGAAGAAACTACTTCTTCATTTTGACTTGAAAAATGACTTCAAAGGTTTATAAATTACAAAAAAAAAAAAAAAAACTAATAAGCTCTCTTCTTTTCGTCACATTCTCTCTGACTGGTAAAAGCAAATTGTCTTTACAAACTGCACACCTCCAGTTTGTTAAAAAGGTGTACACTTTAAACTGAAGCCGAGATAACCACGATAACATCATCATGTTCTCGGACTTGACGAAGCCAAGCTACAGGAAACGTTAACCGTTTTCACAGGATGAATACTACGTCCCTTCAAATAAACACAAGGTAAACTGTAAAATTAGTGCAGTGCTTCTTTAACAAAAGCATTTACAGCCTCCAAAGAGGTGAAAACGGGGCTTGGTGATCTGGGCAAAAGGAATAATGCATCAAGAATAAGATTAAATATTCTATGTGTTTCATTCTGTAAATGAAACGTGTTTGTAATCAGACTACAAATTTGTACATCATGACTATAAATGTTAATATTATACATTATGTGCCAGTCCTACAGTTGTATGTATATAGTTTTATATTGATAATTATCACTATAAATGTCAAATCTTTATTTCTTTCAAGTTTAAAGGCAGATTTTTGCTCCTGAGTGAAGGAGTAATTGTGGTTTTAAACTTTTCTTAATGGTCAGAACAAACACACAGGATCACTTCACAAATCTGAGGCAGAAAATTCTAAACTATTAGGATCAAATCTTTTTTCACTCCCTTGTCCTCAACAAAATGAAGTGCTGATTCTTTCATGACTTAAATGAATTAAATCAAACATTTATTATATTTTTATTGAGGAAAATTCTTTCGCGATAAATATCATTCTTGTTTTATTGCCCAGCCCTCGTTAGCGTGGCATTTTCCAACTTTTGTAGCAGAGCAAACAAAATGTGAAGCATCGAAATCAGGGGTTTTCAAAGTCACAACCCCTCTTAGTTTACTTGCTTAGTTTCATTCAATTCCTGGATGCCTGAGATCATGATTATCTTATTTGATCCCATAAACGCTGGAGAATAGAGCCAAATACACAACCTAATATTGCTGTTTGACATAACTTCAGACTACACCAAATACATATATTTTACATTATTTAGTTTTTTTGTGAGATTTTTATTAGCCTCTGACCGATTAAAGTAAAACTCCTGTTTATTTAAATTTTCACACACTGTTTTATGTGATTTCCTTTTGATAACTTATGTAATATTGTTTCACTTCCATTTACTGAGCCTTCCCTGAAACGGTTAGCATCCTCGCCGAGGAAGCTCGCTTCACACCTTGAAAAAAAAATATCACAAAGCAAAACATACTCAAATACCCAATAAACAATGCTTCATCTCAGCTGTTTTAGACCTATTTCCATTTCGGTGCATAATTATAACTGAGATCTTTAAGCGCGAGAGAGATCATATGACACAGTAGAGTCAAAGAGAAATGCAACGACTAACTTCCCCAGTGAAGTGCCATAAAAGTTGAGTTTTGACTTCATATAGAGCTGACTGCTCACATGACTCACTCGCAGAGTTAAAGAGGGAAGCAGTGTATATTTTGTCCTCTACCACTATTATTTATAGACACGCTGTGCTGCCATCATTAAGGTCAAATGCTACAAAAGTCCCTGTTACTGTGTGGTATCAGCAGATAATGTGGCTCTACAGTTGTCGTCAGTCCTCCTGTCAACAACGCATTACTCTCAGAGCCATATTATGTGCAAAAGCTGCAGATAAAATATATAATACAAGTTTATTGAATAGGATAAACCTCAGTGTGAGAAGCATTTCCTCCAATTACATGCCACAAATACCAAGAATGTGATAACTGATTTGAGAAGGAAATCATCCAAACCACCATCTCAGACCTTCATTGAAAGGAATTGAAGTACAATCATTAATAGTGGCCTGAAACTGGATGAAACATTCTGATGCAGTCTGTTTGGCTTTCCTTGAATCTGTTCTTACGTTTTCTATGATCGCACGGTATGGTATCCTGAACACCGGGGACTATAACCATAACTTTAACAACACTGTAAAGGTGGCGGCTTGGGTTAGGTTAGGTTATAGGTGTCTCACAGACTCGCCTGACTGTCTACATTAGACTTCACACACACCATCTTCTTCATTCTGAGTTTGAAACCCTCCCCTCAGGTCGTAGATGTAGAGATACACAATTCAAGTGCAATAGGAGCTATATTCCTTTGTTCCCTGTGCAATCACCTTTCTTAATCCTGTCAGGTAACCTTGAATTTTAGAGGTTTTATGGTGTTTCTAGTGTACTGGTCACATTTTATTTTGTGTTTTTTCGTTTAACATGTCCCACTTGGAATAATAATAAATGAACTGTACTAAACCCATTGAGTCCTAAATGTTGTAATATAATAAATGTTTTAATATATACTGACATAAACAAAAGTTAAATTATGCTGTGCCTGTTTGATGCTGATACGATCATCGAGCGAACATGTGCTGGCTGCAAAGGCTGATCAGGATTATATTTTCTGGCTAAATATTCTATTAATAGCTTGAATAAATTAAATCACCGTTAAAACACAGATGTGACAGGGCTGTCTTTTCCTTATGATACGTATATTAGCCTGTTAGCTACGGTGGTGAGGGCGAAATGTAAATGTAAGAGAGGATGTTTGACAGGCTGTTAGCATTATTAGCTAACACAAACACCGTCCCTCGTCATCCAGTCTCTGTGTAACACGGCTGGTCAGAAAGACAAGTTGCATAAAACAGATGTTAAGACGACTCACCTGTCATGTAATTCGTCCATTTGTATAAAATCCCCTCCATTGTTTCACTGAACATCGGCTGATTTAGCCTGTTAGCTTCCCCGCTGTGGTTAGCTGCTACGGCCGTTAGCTTAGCTCGCTCTCTCTCAGAAGTGAAAGCGGGTTAGAAAATAACGCCTCATCATCATCATCATCATCATCATCATCACACGGAGCTGCTGCTTCTCTAAAAATGTGCGAACTGTTTGTGGTTTACGCGAGTTGAATGGCAGGGTAGCGTCATGCTGAGGGTTTGTTTGTGCTGAGCTTTTCCTAAACTGTCCAGCTAAACGTTTGGGAAGTCAGCTGATTGGAGAAAGAAAAAAATGTCAACAAAACGGCGCTTTTCTACGGAAGCCTGCTGGGGCCATTTGACATGTTACACTCTTCATTACATTATTATGTTTATTATCTTTATTTATGTATTTTTATATACAGTCTATGGTTATACTCCTACTGCCAGTGATGGAGGAAGTACTCACATCCTTAATTTAAGTAAAGGGACCAATTCCACACAGTAAAACTACTCTGTTAAGTAAAAGCCCTGAACTGCAAAGTTTAATCAGGAAAAGTACTAAACACAAATATACTAATATTGTTACTCATGCTGTAATGTTCAAGCAGCATTTTACATTTGGTCTAGGTGGAGCTCGCATCTTGATTTATTTTATTTTGGACTGCAACTAATGATTATTACATGTAAATATGATGTAAATATCACTGCACAAACTGCCATACTGAACACATTCTTTATTATCCTTTTATATATTGTACTTCATTTATATAAATACAATCCTCTCCACCATATGTTTGGACAACACAAATCCGGAGTAATGCAAGTGTTTAAACTGCCACATTGTTTTGTTTTTCTATTACACATAGTTCTATTGTTCCTGTTACTTGCATCTGTTTATTCCATATATATATACACATGCATGTTTGTCTAGCACCTTATCACCTCTATACTATACTATCCTCTATACTATACTTACTACTACTTATTACTATACTACTTGGCAATAAAGCTTTTTCTAATTCTGATTCATTAATTGACTAAAGCAGCAAATCTTCACATTTGTAAAAGCTTGAATCATGAAATGCTTTTGGTGAAATAATTCTTAAACAATTATCAAAATAGTTGCCATTCATTTCTTTGATTAATCGTTTCAGCTGTACTTATTATACCGTTGGGTAGTGTTATTTGTACAAAACATAATTTATATATTTTTTAAATGAGTACTTTTGATACTTTATACATTATAATACATTTTTGGGACCAAACTGACAAAACCGTGGTATTAATTCTGAGAATTTAGGGGGTTAATAATAATAACCTGAGCACCCATTTACATTTTACAATTACAAACAAATTACAAATTATCAGTCTTTTAAGGCTGATGATATATTTTAGAGCCAATGTTCTTAAACGGGGCCAAAACAAACACAGAACAAGGCTTTAAAAGGTAATTTTTACAAATAAAACCTACAGAAACTACAATTTAACAGTGATATTGATTCATAAAAGGTGAAAAAAATTTATTATTAATTTTGGTGGCTTGTGGCAAATGTCTCAGTGTAGACGTTAAGCTGTTATTTGTAATTAACATTTCCATTGTGGTATTACTACAGTGGCACACAGTGAATCTCATGATGAACTCCCGCAGCAACTTTGGCATTGCAGTGTTGGAGGACCAGCTAGCTGTATGTGGCTGAAAGTGCTCGACACCATCAGACAGAAACGTGGTTCGTCGTCCAGGACATGGAGATGCCCAGCAGAGGGCTTCAGCCGCTTCATGTGTGTCATAACGATCAACTATCAAATCAAGAAATCAAATCATGAAACATGACTCTTAACTAATCTGTTTGGTGACACTTTGTACGCTTTATGTTTAAAATGTTCTGGGGAATTCTGGCTACCTGATCGGTTGAGAAGTTTGGTTGTGGAAAACTAAATGTTTATGTGCCTGTACGGACAAAAAGGTTGATTCATTGTAGTTTCCTTCTTCAGAGGATAAACTTAAAAGTACAACAAGTCAATGTAAGAAACCAATGTAAATAAAATTATATAAATCAATCCAGTTTTCATAATTCTTAATCTCTCTTTATTGCATTAGAACATACATTTCTCATATATATCTATATATATATATTATAAATGTGAATTTGTACACTACAATCTTTTATTGTAACATGTTAGAAAATACTCGTAACGCTCCAAAAACATAGCACTAAAAACAGTTACCAAACAATGAATATTACATTTCCTCGTTTTTGTTTTGGCCACCAAGGACAGAAAAACAAGTTGGCGGAGATGAAACTGCCGATCAGGAGGAGAGGAGGGGAGCACGGTCGGACGCTGGCGGTTGTGCCGTTGCAGTTTTTAGTGGCAGCCATTTTGTAACCAAAGAGGTGATGATGAAGTGGGGTCGCAACAGGTACAGCGAGTAGGGTGAAATGAGGGGGGAGGCAAGCGTGGACAACGAAGAACATCAAGCAAAGCCACGTGGGAGGGGAGAGGTGAAGGGCCTCATCACACAGGACAAGTTTCACTGCTGCTTTTACAAGTTGTTCTTAAATGTGAGTGAAACATTTAGATTTTAGAGTCCTGCTTGGTTATCGTTTGAATCACTACTTCGCCACTTGGCTGCTGTGTTCAGTTTACTTTGTGTCGGGTATTAATCACAAGCATTAATCACACACTTTACACCAGACTTAAAAGCGTAGAAATACTCTTTACACTGCCATTGAATTAAATGTAATGTGAAAGAGTTAACAATGAAAATTAACATCCCAACTCTGAAGAACCTAAAAGTACCAGATTACCTGAAATTGTATGTAGCTCAACTGCTCCCTGCTCAGCACAAAAGGGACCAATGAAAGCTGAATATTTAGCAGCATAATCTTCTCAGGAGTTGGTGGAGAAAACTGGTTATAAAATGACAGGAAACACTGGCGTCACATTTGACAGGTAGACACGAGAACTCCAGTGGGATGCCCATGTTTCTGCTGGATATGTATGTAGGCTAATTGTTTCGATATATTCCACTTTTTATTTCTGCCACAGGAATTTCGACATAGCCCACAAAGGGATACTAACTCCATCATGAAGTCTTTCAGGTTGCACTACCGTTGCGGTGGATTGTGGAAGTCAAGTAAATGTGTCATCACTTCACGTGAAACAAATATGAAATATTTTGGGTGACAATGAGACAGCCTGCTTGATCAGGCCCGAAGGCAAACATGTTCATTAGTTCATCAGTAACCAGCAGCCAGTTGCACCAGCTGTTTGTAAGCTCTGACTACTTATCATAAACGAGTTGCACCACACAAACTAGTCTCTAAATATTTACAGCCAGTAACTCACAAAAATGTATTAACACTATGCCAATAACATCTGGCCAATAGACCAAATAACGTCATTTAGGTTAGCTTAAGTATTAACTTCACATATTTGTAAAGTTAAAAAAAACAAACATTAAGCTATAGTTTATTGAGAGTTTATCTCAACGCTGAAGACTTAGAGGAGGGTGTGGTTTGATCAGATTTGATTGACAGTGACCAAACAAACCACCAACTGTCAGAATCCGATTCTGGTGAAAGTAAAGAAAATTAAAGAAAAGCATAGAGAGCCCAAACTGTTCCAACTTCTGCAGAAGATTATTGTGTTCTTGTGAGATCCTACTGCTATTTGTAAAATTTAAGAACATCATTTTATGTATGTTAAAGTATGTTAAAGCTCATCATGTACAGCGACTTCCTGTCTTCATAGCGTTTGATTGGATAAAGCAACAGATGTTTCTCAGCTACCGATTAAACAAGCCACAGACATTTCTGAAGCTCTAATGGTGCAACTCGAATTAGTACATCACAAGTTTGAGAACTTTCTGCACAATCTTAGTGAAAGATTTACGAAGAGCTGGTGCAACTCGATCCAGATGTTTAGCGGAGGAATCGGATGCGGTGAAGGTAAACAAGGCAGCAGCAGCAGTGAGAATGGAGGAAGCGTTACTGAAAGCACGGTGAGCAGCAGCTTTTTAAAAAAAAAAAAACAAGAGTGCAGGGAAGTTTAGTTGTATCACAAAAGACACAGCAAGCTAGTGGAGATAGAGGCGGGGTGAGACCAGCACTGGAACAGAGGTGGGGACAGTAGTGACTATCTAGCAGAGAGACTGGCGGAAGTTGGCATACAGGATAACCATCTAACACACAAACACACATAGCGAGGCGAAGGTTTAAAAACTAGCGATACAGACACAACCACTGGCACTGCAGGGAGGCGGGTGGACAGCTTTAAAGAACAGATATATTTGCATGTGGATGGGAGGAGGGGGAGGAAGAGAAACAGGGGATGCGAGGAGTCAAGGAAACATTTAAGATTCAATCCCCCGTTTTAATCAAGTCCAGAACAAAAACAATGTATTTGTTTAGCAGATATGGGAAAAGGAAGTCGTCTAACGCTGCGTAACATCACTGAATGATTGTCCTCTTGAACATACCTCCCCTCCCCTCCTCATGTACACCACTCCTGTCGTTTTCTTTTGCCCGCCACCTCCTTTGTACCCCCCCCCTGCTTTGTTAAGTTTTACTTTTCAGGGATTTCCTCTGTCATTTCACATGCATGCACACATACACACAAAACCCTGTGACCATAAAGGACATTTATATACACGTGAACATACACTCGCTCACACACAACACGCACAGACACAACAGATAGACACATTTTGACCCAATAATACGGCTGACTGGTTTGTTAGCAGGAAGCAGAGGATTGGATCGTGCACATGTGGATTATAGCAGAGCTTAAAGCTGGGTGGCCAAGCGCACAGACAGAGGAGCCTGTTTTTGATATGACAATCAGTGCTACAGTGGCACAATACAACTGTACTGGTACAAAAATTAATATTAACTTTTGCAATTTTTTATAAATGAGAGTGCATTTTTTCCACACATCATCAGTCCATCAAGAGGTGTTTTAAGATTACCTTTGAGTCTCTAGTCTTTAAAGTCAAGATGCAGAAACAGAAGGAAAAGTTTTAGTGCTCTAATGATAAAATCAATTAGTATTTCATTTTGAGTAATTGTTTAAATCTTTTATAAAGCAAAAGTTCTTTAGGTTTTAAAATTGTTAGATGAAAAGTAAAATCAAGGGATTTGGAGGGAACTGTAATTTCATAAACTAAACGATTAATTGATTGAAAGAAAAATCTAATCACATTAATGGATAAGAAAAATCCTTACTTGTAGCCCTAAAAAATAAAAATAAAAATTATAGCGTCAAATAGAAAACCTAAGGCTATGCAATCTCATTTCTTTCTCAATTCAGGTGCACCTGAACAGAAGTTTGTAGTTAAACAGTACCTACGTTTAAGACATCTCATGTTTCCTTCCTTCCCCCTCCTCCTCCCTCTCCACCTCTCCCTCAGTAAGCAGTATTGTGGTGTTATGACGTTAGGTTCCTAAGGCAGTATCACAGTACAGTCCATAGAGAAACAACAGCAGTACAGAATTACACTGGCCTGCCCAGAACCTTACATCCAGCTCAGGTGGGACACTGACGGCGTCTGGATTTTTCTTTTTTTAAGCCTCCGGGTTATTTGGTTTACACTTTCCAAAACTGTATGCTTTTGAGTTAGCTAAAGTTTGATCTTCCTGTTGTTAAACGATTACTGAACATTCAAAACAGGAAGCAACGACGGAGGGGGGAGAGAAAAAAAAAAGATCCCGATGTAACTTAAATATGTTAAAATCTCATCTCCTGTGGTGCCCTGGTAGCTCAGCGGGCTAAGGCACGTGCCAAGTTCTCGCGACATCATTGGTTTGAAACCGGCTCATGACCACTGTCGCATGTCATGTCCTCCTCGCCTGTTTCCTTCTTGATTCCTGTCCTGTTAAGTTAGCTAGTTTAGCAGCTAGCTAGCTACTGGGGGTATAAGATTGGATTTGGGGGGTCTCCTGCTGTGATGAGGACTCCTTTTACAACTTCTTGAGGCCTCCAGTAAATTCAGTGGCACAACTCACACAGATATATGGTTCTGGGCCAGAGCTGGACCGGGAACCGTCCGGCATGATGTGGGTTGGTTCTGGCACCGAGGTAGCCGATTTCTGATTGGTGTAGCACAAGTAAAACTGGCCAGTGACGGCTCGGATAGCTCAGGTTGCCCATTTTTCTTGGTGTTGAGATGAAAGAGGTTAAACTACATGACTATTTGACAGTTAGCTATTACTAACATGTGACAACGACTGGAGCCACTGGAGCCTCCAGGAGTGCCAGAACCAGCCCAAATGTCTCTGGTTTGGGTGATATTGTAGTGCATGTGGTCTATAGTACAGTAGCATCAACACAATGGTCCAAGAGACAGATCAGATAGAAGATATCATACAGATGGTCCAATACAGTTATAGTACAACATCTATACATCAACTATACATTGTGCGTTTTTTTTTCCTTTGTTATATTTTCAAGGGGTCTCAGGGGTTAGACTTGGTCACCATTACATCACTGCTGTAAGATGGGGAGGGGTTGAAATAAGGGAGGGCAGAGCCATAGATATACAGTGTTTGATCAGTATAGTTTTACAGTACCACCAATGTTAGTGCTGCAATCCTGCTACTTGGCAAGTGGTGTGGAGGACCGACCACATGAGTGCAACTCTAAGTCATTTGAGTGGAGTGGCAGTAATAGAGCAATAAGGTAGGCAAGTTTATATTTAATATTTTAGAGGTAGAGTTTTGGAGATAATTCAGCAGACATTTTTGGGAGGGGGACATACTGCATGTTGCTATATCAGAACTTAGATTTTGTGGCTTTGGTGTCTTAGTGCCATATAACAAAACCATTTTTTTGCTGACTTACAGTGGTTTGATTTCTCACCTCACTGCAGTGATGTGGATCTGTACTCCTGCGTGTGTCAGTACACAGTGACATCACTGTTGGGTGGGTAGCCCAAAGACGGAAGCAAAAAACTGCTTTTCAGCGACGTGTGATGTGTCTTTATCTAAAAAGGTTAGACCTTCTCTAGTCCCCTAGTGTTTCTCCAAGAACAAAAACCTGCTCTAAGTTATGCTATAACAAATAACATCACCTTTTCCCAAGTCTGACTTTAACAGCCCCAAAACAATTTCTCTGCCATGCTGATGACTATAAACCCTGAATGTGTTTTCAGTTACCCTCATATTTTGTCTTAGTTTGTTTTTTAACCTTTAGATTTGGCATATAATGTGTTATGCTAGTGGAACTAAGTTGTATCTTGTAAACCTTAGCTGTGTGACCTGTTTGGTCCAACCTGATCAAACATTCAGTCTATCCATGGCTCTATTTCTAAAACAGGGTTTGGGTAAAGGGTGTAGGAGTTACAGGTTAAGGGGTCAGGACACTGAGGACTTTAACGGATCAAAGGTTCAGGGTAAACGGACTAAAGGGTTTACAATACTAAGGGGGTTTAAGGAGTCTGGATGATGAGTTGTTGAAGTCACGGTTTACAGTTGTGAGAGATTTACCGAGTTACTGGATTTGAGAGATTTATAGGTGAAGAGGACAAGGTTAGTATGAGTCTTATGGGTGGGTAATGTTAGGATATGACTGTGGCCTCCGTAACTATAGCAGGGTCTTCTATGTCAGCTTTACTTTGAACCATCCTCAGCTCAAGCTGGGGCGGACTGGGCCTCCGACCAGGACCTGCTAACTCTGAGACAGAGAGAGGGGTAGGTAGGGGGAGTGGGCAGACAGAAATGCAGAGACGAACAAAGATAAACATTTATTTTAAAGCAACGTTAAACATTTTTTTAATGTAATAATAGTTTGCAACCTAAACCAGGCTCAGCCAGCTCGGACCAGACAAACCTGAATAACCTACAGCCAATAAAAGTAACCGCAGCAGAAGTTGTGACCTGCAGATATAAACTTTTGGCAGGCAGCAGGAAATGATTCTTACAACTGTAGTTTTTCTTTTTGGCAATATAAAATGAGTACAGAGTTCAGAGATTTCTGAGCGTCATCATCTTCTCTTCCACTGTAAAATGTAAAAACTTTAAAAATACTTCTTATCTGCATTTGGTGTTAAAATGGAAGGCTATTTATTTTCTTGTCTGAATGTGGCAAAGTCAACATATCTGTAGGTCTAAGCTGCTGCTGCTGGTCCTTTCTTTTACTGTAGGTTGACATGTGAAGAACCGGTTTGATAACCCTTTGTAGAAAATCTGCAGCCTGCTAAATGTAAGTTACAAGTCAGTTTTATTTGGTGCTTTGCATCTAAAAATACAACCCTCATAGTGTTATGCAATTGTGATCGCAATCATCCCTCGCCCAACGTGACAGGCAGGGGAAATAAAAGTGATAGTGAAGCCAGAAAACCTCAAAGAGAAAATGGGGTCCTTGAACAGTCATTGAAGATATACTTAAGACATTTACAACATACAGACAGGGAACAAAAAGACCATTGACCGAGGACCATCATATAAAACCCCAGTGTTACTGTCCATTGTGATTATATTATTTATTTTTTCAATAACCTACAAAACTGTGGATTGTGGACTGCGGATGTTTGATTGCATCAAATGCATGATTAAGTTGCAATAGAAATCAGATTTTTGTTCTCCTGTCGGGCTTGTTGGTGTTTTTGTTTGTCTCTAAGGTAAAAAACGTCTCACAGCTTCAGGCATTGATAACAAGCCCTACTGTTCTTACCGTGAGCATACGAAATGGTCCTCTGGATAACATGGTGCATCACTGAAAATGTCTTCTCACAGGCCATCTGAAAGAGAGAGAGAGTGAAAATAAGGTAATTATTATGTTTTATGACTCTGCATATATGTGCGTCCTTGCCTGTAGGTCACTGGGGTAGCGTGTGTTATTTTCAGTGTTCAAATTACTGGGGTGTTGGGCCCAGAAGTAACAAAAGACTCCAATGAATGATATTAGAAATACAGTCAAATAAAAAAATCTCATGTCCCGTTGTTTGTCTTTTTAAATGTGTGTCTGACTTTATCTTCTCTCAACTAATAACATGATGTGCAGGGAGTTTATTATCTCACAAGTTTACGTCTCTCACGTGTTGTTTTGTATATGGAATTGTTGTGTGTTGTTTTGGTGTCGGATAGATTTTCAACAATGACCACTGCGTGCAGTGTTTACTACTGAAGCGCACCTCCTGTAAGCAAATTCACTCCAGCAGCGTCTCTCCCATCATCATTTCTGATCTGCATTAAAACAGAGAATCCCCTCTGTCTACCCAAGACTTTAATGCCCTTCCCGCTCACACATCTTTATAAAGCAGCTCCTTCATGTCATACCTCCCAAAGTCGTCCATGGTTCTGACAGCACTAACCTTAGCTCTGAATTTTAATAAAATGCTGTATTTGAGCTATGTCAGCCATATGTTTCTGTTCACATGTTGGTTGTTTTTTTTAATCGACTACCATTGGGGCGCAAAAAAAGCCACAGTAAAATCCAAGCAATGGTGTTTTGTACCTTTAGATCATTGGGATAGTGGTGTGTCCACGCTAGCAGCATTGCAGCAAACAAATCTCCAGTTCCTACAAAGACGGCGTCCACTTTAGGAACTTCTATTCGAACTCTCTGCGTCGTCCTGCTGCCATCGGGGCGAACTGAACAACACAGCAAAGACACATGTTTAACGGTTCATTTTGGTTAGCTTGCAAGTATATACATACAATCACGCATGTGCATACGTCGCCTACCATGGCGCTGGCTTCCCAGCGACACAAGGAAGCGGTCTCCCAGTCTGGAGGGCAGATCAGAGGAAGTGATGACCACTGTGTCTGGGCCCATAGCATGGAGAAGGTCCATAACCTACAGACAGTCAGTGATTGAGATATTGGTGTATGTATCTCGTCAGCAATAAGTGTATAAAGTAAGCAAATTCAAGCAAAGTAAGATGTCAAAATACTTCAATAGCTTATTCTGTTTTTTAATTTAAAAAAGTATGCAAGAAAGTAAAGAAGGATTAGATAGGGACTCATCTATTACCTCTACAGCATCTTTCTCTGTGCTGATGTTTTTTCCTGTCAATAATCTAAAAAAACAAGCAAACAAATTACCATTATGTCAATAGCATTACAACACAAACACTGGAAATTAAGTTAAAGACGACTTATTATTAAAACCTTGAAACACACAAGTGCAACAAAGGTCAACATCCACAAAACTTATTGAGTTATATAGAAAAACTTTAAATGTGATTCTGCAGTGACACAGAAACACCACTAGGCGGAGGTACATGACAGTGAAGGTGAAACGATACGGGCGTTGAAACAATTATCTCTTCATAATGTTTGTGGTTTTCATAGATGCAGCCATTTAGTCAATGCAAGCAAAAAAAACATCCAATCCATTGTTTACTGATGCACCTGGAAGCTATATTTGCCATAAAAAAAACATAGTGTCTCAACTTAAATAGTTTCAACAAGACTATGTGTGATCTATTCCCACACAGTTTTGAAAACATAAATCGTGACTTAAAAGGGTAAAACAAGAACGATAAGAGGGGAGCTGAGGCTTATTTTCAGTTAATTCTTTCCCAAATTTGTAGCACAGCAAAATGAGGGCATTAGATAACAGCATGAGTGGTATTACATAAAGATGTTGTTCGCTAAGCTACTCACACAGTTACAAACTCAAGGTTTAAGGTAATTCAAACTACGTTAAGTATGTTTATTTTGAGCAGAAAATCACACACCCGATACAGTTACAGAAATGTTATGCTAGATTTATTGGATTTAAGAATTACATCAATATGATTTAGCACATTAAAAAAAAAAGATAATTGTACTCACTCAGCCTCAAACTGGTTAGGAGTAATAATGTCGGCAACAGGAACCACCTTGTTCTTGTAGACCGGATAAAGATTCTGAGGAACGTACTGTGGAACGAAACACACAGGTTAGAGAGTCACATAACACCAATGAAAACACATAAATCCTGCAATAAAGAAAGGACTACACAAACACAGACACACATGTGTAGGCTCAGTTTCATCAAAGCTTTCCTCTGATCTTTGTTTTGACGGTTTTAAATTATGAGCGCTAACTGACAGAATATGATCTTAATCCCTGAAAATGCACGTCTGCACAACGTAATATATACACAACACACACACACACACACACACACACACAAACACACACACACAGCAGAGTGAGTCATTGTGTATATGTAGTTCTGGCAGATCGCAATAATCCCTCTGTCACTGAGAAATGAGCCTTGTGACACCCCCCCAGAACACACAAACACACATATATATTATATATACAGATAAAAACACACAGGGACGAACACGCAAACCCTCCCACACACATTAACAACAGACATTAACACACACGTAGCTGTAGACACACAAACAACTGCACATAAAAATGCCACCAATCTCACCATAGATCCATGATCGCCGAGGACGGGGTCACATACTGAAATAATAAAAGAATCAGTCAGACACCCAGCGCAGACCTGTAATCATCACATCACATAAATACTGCAGTGACGGGGGGCATGACACTGGATTTGGAGACGTAAAACACATCCAAGCCTGAAAAACATCTATTATTCATTTATAAAAGCCTATAATCTCTTAAAAAGAGAAGTCTTAAATGCCCAGCTCGTGCCTCTTGGAGGTTGTTCATTACATCTCACAATACGAAAGTGCCAGAGGGAAACGACCAACATATTATCTTTTGTTTTTTATTACACCCAAGATACAAATGTAAAATCTGCCCTGAGGGTGGAGCTGGACTGTAAATCATGATTTCCTTATTCCCTCACACAAGTGACCACAATAAATAACATTAAATTGTACTGGATGTTCAAATATCAGCAACAATGAACTTAAGCCTGCATTCATTGATTATTTGGCCATAACATGACATATACATATACAATTTCTAGCTTTTAAAGTTAATATGGCAACGCGTTGCTAATTTACAATTGAGCAGATACAGTATGGAGTAATATTTATTTGGGGTTGTGTCTCTGTCCACCTTTACAGTATTAGACAATTATTATTATTATTATTTATCAGTTACATTATTATCAGTTACAATGACCCTGAAACAAAAAGGTTTTTTTGGTAGAACAAACACTTTAATTTAAATTCAAAAATGCTTATGTCCTGAAAAAACTTGAAACCTTTTTTAATGTAAGTATGTGTAAAAAAAATCTCCCTATATATATAATAAGCAAATTTTCATGGTATGATAACTTAATTTTCATACCACTGCCTGCAACGCTACTCTTCACCAACTCCTGAGTAAAATATCTGTCTCTTTAGCTGATAAATGCACGTCTATGTTACCACCAGCTAGTCTTTTTCTGTCTGCTTTGTGGTGACGGGCAGGTAGAGTTTATCAGCCTGAGTGCCTGCTGCTGCTGGAAACAAGATTAACAGTAAATTTGCAGGCTATACAACCAAAACAATGATCTGAAAGACACTAAAATGCTCCGCAGAGCTGAGGGGAAGTGCAGAGTCGGCTGATGATTATCTGTTTGTTACTACGAGTTCCACCTTGCCAACACCAACAGTCATTTGCTCTCCATAATTTAAAATATATATATATATTTATGTATATAATTTATATATACACATCTCAATAAAGATAGCAGAAAAACATTCAAATTTACAACACATCAACGTAAGCACCAGCTTTTGCTGGTAAAGCCTGCCTATCTAGACAACCTCCACCATCAAACAGAAAAAAATCCATCGTAAGCGATGGAAGAGGCTTTCTCCACCAAAAGCTGCCTCACTAGCTGCACCTGGATATATTTACAAATATTACAATATCAGCGCCACAAATACCGATGTCTGCAACACCCCCTCTATAGGAACAATCCTTTCAAATAAAGTTTCTTACCTAAAACAGTTGTGTGAGATATTTTTGTAAATGCAGTATAAAATTAACATAATGATGGTTAAATCAGGAAATACTTGATCAAAAAACAAGTAAACAAAACTAAGGATTCAGCAGCCAGTGTTATCTTTCAGTACTTCAACGGTACAACAGGCCTAAGTCAAGACCAGAGTACAACACAGCCACAGATATGTTTACAGTGAGAGCTGCTAACTAGAGAACTCCTGCTCTCTTCTTTTATCAATGCTATCCTGCGTTACAATTATATGTTTCATATTTATTATATATTCATATTTATAATGTTTTTTCTTCATATTTTTATTGTCAAGTTTTATTTTTTCTATTTATACTTCTTGAGCTTTGTAGTACTTGTTATAGAAATCTTTTTTTATTTTCTCTTACTATTTTTATCATTACACAGCAAACATAACAAAACAAATCCTTTCCTTCAATGTGAAAACCTACTTTTATTAAGTAGATTAACCCAATTCTGATTCTGAATGTAAACCCAGATTAGGACACGTAGGACCAACAGAAAGGTAAATTACATCCTTTCATCACAACATGGCACCAGCAACTTATGTAACATCACAGTTACTGAACAGTATCCTGTAACACAGCACTTTCTGTCCACATCTAAAAGTACTTTGGCAAACAACACATTATGCATGTCACCCTCTGGTTGCTTATTATTTTGAACAGTGGCAGTAGGGATTCACAATATCCACTAACAAAGAGTCTTCAGGCCAAGATGCAACAGCCTTGATTTGATCTGAATGAAACGGATTCCTGCAACATGAGATGAAAATCCTCCTGGCGAGTGAGAGAGAGATGTCCTGAGAGTTGTCTGAAGTGAGAACTAGATCTTCTCTCCATAAAGCTAGTTAATGCGTTGATATAATGTTTAAAATATTAACTGTTAATTTGATCCTGTTAAGGGATTTTTTCCCCCCTTCCTTACCGAATGAGTTCAGCAGTATTTTTAACCTCTTTTAGCTCATAGCAAAGCTCTCTCTCTCATCATCCCTGTTTCTAGCAGCAGCAGTAGCCTAAATATAAAGCATTCATAGCACATAAATTCAACATTATGGTGAAAAATGTGCTGCTTATGCTTCATACCACAGTAAAAACTGAGTAACGTTAGAAGGGGCCAAAAACTGGACATCACTCAATGTTAGAAAAACATTTACACACAACTGATATTTAAATTAATCCAACACAGAATGGACATTACCCAAACTGCATCAATTGACCTTAAGAAAGAATTACCCTAAAGGTAACTCAAAGTGGGAATAAACAACAGAAGATGCATTTAATTCTTATGTATCAGTACAGTACTCAAAGGCAGTAAGTTACAGATCTCCAACAACTGATTGCTAAAACAAATTAACTTCAGTAATCAGAAAAACAATAATTCATGTTTTACTTCTGTTTTCCTTGAAAGTGCTGTACGTTGTCTTTAGTGTAAAACAAACCTCTATAATAAATAAAACCATGTGGTTACTTACCATACACCAGATTAGGGTTGGCTCTCTTTAGTTCCTGAACAATGTCCACTACCATCTCCAAGAAGGATGTATCTCTGGTATACCCTGAACGCAACACACACACACAGATACAAACATTATTATGATCATTATGTTCTTGTACTCTTATTAAATGTCTTCTGTTTAAAGTTTTCAGTAAAGCAGCTTTAGTGTACTGGAGGTGACTGCTCTGCGTGTCACATGACTGAAGCAATATGGATAAAAAGGGCCACTCAGGTATACATATGCAAATTCAGTGTTTACTGATGAGGCAGGGGTTATGCATATCAGTGCAGTGTAACTTAATGCCAAGTTTTGTTAAATGACAGGTTTGGTTACACATTTAAGTTCATTTTCACTGTGATGTATGTTCAAGGTTGGTGGGACAAAATCCAGCTACAAATTGCACACAAGTAGTGAATGTCAAGAGAGGGAAAAGGAGACTGGAGGGAACATTATTAATGGAGGATTCACTCAAAAATCTAAAACATAAAAACCTGGCCTTAGCATGAAGAACTCCATCTACAGCAGTGGAAAAGTGGTGAATAAAACTTTGTTACTCACCTGTTAAAACATAATCATACTGGTGCACGTTGTTCAGTTTGATTCCTTCATAAAGAACATGGAGTTCATCTGCCGTCAACACCTGGCCTTTCCAATGAGAGTAACCTGCAGAGAGGAGAGGGGGAGGTATTGTGTTTGCTAAGTTGCTGACTCTAGACGTGCACGTTAATACCCCCTAAAGATGCTGACACACACATTAAAACTGGATCGTTACAATGACTTTTATTAAATTGTGGTTGGTCTGGGCAGGTTACTTTGCTTATTTGGCTAATATTTTACATACAGAACTTATGATGAGCTTATAAAATATAATTCACTGTTAACTACCCCTCAGTATTTAAAGACAGCAGTTAGTTTGTTTTGGTTAATGTGTGACTTTGGTCTTTTTAACCCCTTGAGGGGGAGCCTGTATATTGAAGTGTACAGGAAACCCACACATTGTACCTACTTACAATACCTACTTTTCGATTCCCACCACACACTGGAACATAAGCTAGGGCTCATCAGAACCATGCACCACCGAGTTGACAACATACCAACAAGTGCCCAAGCACGAGACCAGGAACAGAACCACGTGAAGGGGACACTTACAGCCTGTGGATACCCCAAATGGACCTTTGTCAACATCCAAGAAGAACACAAACACTACAGGGGATGAGGAAAAGATGATCAAACGCAACACATCGTGATTCCATATGTGTCTGGAATATCAGAGGAAGTCAAGAGAACAAACACCATGTCCTGTGTTTTTCAAACCCAAGAACATGCTAAGACAGATACAGGTCCACCCCAAAGACCGCACACCCAAACACAAGAAAGGTAATCTAGTGTATGCTGTCAAATGCAATTTTTTTCCTGGAAATTCGCCTTGTCTTATTTTCGGAGTCTAGCACATTAAATTGTAACATACAGCCAGAACAACAGATGGCACCAAATATCAACAAAGCGCATGTTGCCCTCCCGAAGCGTATTACTGTCCCACTGAAACATGGAGACACACAGCGATCGTGTCGAGCAAAGTGACTCAAAAGTAACAGCTAAGGAGGAGTTACGATGCCAATTTTAAGACGATGGTGATAAATGCAGCAAAGTCATCAAACAACTCTCTCTTTTCATTTTTATGATATTTACTGTAATTATCACAAGTCATTCATTTACAAATGTGATATCCTGTACATTTTATTTAACGCTAATTTAAATGGGACCATTTCATTAATTTCGAAAACATTGTTTTATTTAAAAGATGTTAAAAACAACAAGAGCCTACCTTGTTTTATTTTATTCAATGTGTTATTTTTATATAATAATTTTTAAATAAAAGACCAAATCTTGTTTTTGTAAAGAAAATAGTTCTTTATATAAAAAAAAACAAGATTTGGTCTTTAAAAAAGTATTTTTCCAGAAATGTCTTGAGTCTTCGTATATCAAGGTGGTCTGACTAATACGGTAACTACTTGATTTTCTTAACTTTTCTTTACAAAATCACAGGTGTAAAATGTTTATGAGTGGTCACTATCTAAATTGGCAGTTGTCTGAGATTTTTATATTGACAAACAAAACGTTACTGATGATTGAAATGGATCGTATTGCACTTATGAGACAGCCCCTAACTCCAACTATAGTGTCAGGTATGTTGGACAGACATTCAGTTGTTAGCGCTGCAAACTGTATCGTCATCTTTGGTGATTTTCAGGTGATCACAACTGTGAAACATCTGCCTAAAATAGCTCTCCAACATATCCCAAAGTGTAAGAAATCAAGGCTTTGACACAGAGCTGTTGAAGGTAACAGCCATGAAACTAACTTCACCCCGGTTTCCATTCGGCTTCTTCTCGACGAGTCAAGCTGGAGCTATCGCTGCACTTTGGTACCTAAACGAGTACCGAGATTTTTTCTGAATATTGGTATGGACTTGGTACCAAAGTATCGGTTCTCATGCACATTCTTTCAGAGCCAAAGCCAACACCTGTCTGATTCCAACACCAACAATCTGGTTGATCACTTCAATCATATCTGCTTGTCGTCACTAAATATTACTGCTCCTCTAAAGGTTAGGCCTACGTCTAAAGCTAGTAAGCAACCCTGGATAAATGACAGCATTCGCAGCCTAAAAAGGGAATGCAGGAAAGCAGATGGATGGATCCTCTATTACCCCCGTGGCCTCTTACTCATAGGTTCCTCATCAGCAACAATAGAGTTTTAACCAGTTTTATCCCATCGACTTGTCTGAGCTTTTAAAAACAGTATCACAAATGAGAGTGTCCTCCAGCCCACTTGATGTAATACCTACAAAGTTTTTACTGAAAGTAATAGATTCTGTTGGGCCCCTTTTGATTTCTGTATTTAACAGCTCCCCAACTACTGGTTGTGTCCCTGATTAATTTAAAACGGCTTGCGTGAACCCACTTTTAAAGAAACCTGTTTTAGATCCCTCCCTCCCACATAATTTTAGACCAATTTCAAAACTGCCTTTTATTGCAAAGATTCTAGAAAGAATTGTGTCCAAACAGCTGCTCACTATACTGGAAAAGAAAAGTTTCAATCTGGTTTTAGTACCACAGCACTGAGACTGCCTGCTTAAAGTCACCAATGACCTTTTAATTCTGCTGATGAAGGCATGTGCTCAGTCCTGGTACTCCTGGACCTTAGCGCTGCTTTTGACACTTGATCACAACATCATGTTAGACAGACTGAGGCACTGGGTGGGGATCTCTGGTACTGCCCTACAATGGTTTTCATCCTACCTGTCAAATAGGAAGTTTTGCGTGTCTGTAAACACTATGTCTCTCATTCTGTCCAGTTAAATATGGTGTGCCTCAGGGGTCGGTCTTAGGACCCATTTTGTTTTCCTTGTATCTGCTTCCCCTTGGACATATTATCCATAAACATGGCATTTCTTTTCATATTTATGCTGATGACACACAAATACTTGCCCGTCAGATCCACAGACCCTGGAATGCTGAGTTCACTTAACAACTGCCTTTGTGAAGTTAAAAAATAGATGTCAAATAATTTCCTCCAGCTGAACTCAGACAAAACAGAAATCCTGGTCATCGGGTCCCAGCAGATGACAAATCAAATACTGTCATCTGCTGGTTCCCTAGTAAATCACATTAAGCCTGTGCAAAGAACCTTGGTGTTTGGTTTGATAGTAATTTAAATTTCAAGCAGCACACCACAAAGCTTGTTCAATCATGTTTTATCAACTTAATATAGCAAAAATTCGATCTATGTTAATTTTAAGGACACCGAAACCATTTTACACGCCTTCATCTCATCACGCCTGGATTATTGCAACAGCCTTTTCACTTGTTTAACCCAAAAATCTACTGAACGACTCCAGACTGTCCAGAACTCAGCTTCCAGGCTTTTAACCAGAACAAAGAAATATGACCACATCACCCTATTTTAGCTTCATTACACTGGCTCCCAGTATGTTTTAGAATTGACTTTAAAATTTATTGATCACTTTTAAAGCTCTTCATGCCTCTATATTTCTGACCTTTTAGTCCCATACGCACCAGCACGTACCTTGAGATCCTCGGGCAGAGGTCTGTTGTCTGTTCCAGAGTCTCGACTGAAAACTAAAGGGGACAGAGCGTTTGCTGTCAGGGCCCCGAGGCTCTGGAACAGCCTGCCCGAGGAAATCAGGTCGGCTGAGTCAGTGAACTCTTTTAAGTCCCTTCTTAAAACATACTTTTATAGGAGAGCCTTTCCCAATCTTATTTTACTTTATTTTATCCTATTTTACTTACTTATCTTAAACATGTATTTTAGTCTTTTCAATGTTTTCTTGCTTTTATCATGTATTGTTTTTGTATTATTGTCTTTTGGGTATTATTGTCTTTACGCTTGTTAAAGCACTTTGTAACTTGTTTTTGAAAAGTGCTCTACCAATTAAGATCATTATTATTATTATCCCTAACACACACACACACAGAGCAGCAGGTCTTAGTGCAGCCTGCAGCCCGCAGTATCTGGTCAGCCAGGGGACAACGAGGACACAGACCCCTGTACTACTTTGTGTACTGTATTGTTGTATTTGTATATCTGGGCTTTACACATATGTGTTAAATCATGTATTTGCTGCTACAGACGTACACGGGCATGTGTGTGACGAGGATGCCGATGTAAGCACGCGCTGGTGCACGTCTGTCTGCGTGTGACATGTTTGCTGCAGGCCGATGACGTCGCCGCTCCAGGTGAGTCACAGCCAAGTCACGTGGTGGGGGATTCTGGTTGCTAAGCAACAAGCCGGGAGAAAGCCAAAGGGGCTAAAAAAGAGCGACGTGCAGTCAGTGCGCCGTGTGTGTTTGTGTGTGAGAATAAAAGCAGGCCTACAGATAAGAGCTGCTTCTGTCGTCATCATTTGCTGCTGTCGCAATTCACGACGCCTGCTGCTGTTTACTGCTGCGTCGTTCTCTCTCTCTCTCTGCACTCCCTCCGTCTTTCTCTCCATCATCCGCTGTCTGTCTCTCCGATTCAAAAAATGTCCTATCTCTCTTTCTCTCTATTCGTCACCCTCTCGCAAGCCACCCTCTCCCTCTCTTAGATGCAAAAGTCTTTTTCAATATGTCACACCAAATTGCATACTCTCCTCGAAGCAAATTGCAAACGTTAGCTTTCCAATTTACAAGATCTGATTAAACAAGCACTAGAGTGTCACGTATTCTTATGTTAAGGTCAATGAAACAAGCAATTTATACCACAGATGTGAGGAGTTTTTCCTATTGAGGCAAGACTTTCTTATTCTTGACATCGTCCTCAGTTGTATCACTGTCAACTCTGTATGTGGGGCAATAATAACAATGACCGTGAAACCTCTGATTAGGATTGTTACATAGATCTCTGGTCTAGTTCCCGAGTCTAATTGCCCCTTAAAAGTTAAATTAGATTTAGCTGGGAGCTTGGAGAAATGCCTTTTAGGCTGTGTTCAGACAGACAAGAGCACTGCGAGAAAGTACACAGCTCCCTAACTCATTTAAATGGTGATCGTGGGGGTGCAGATACAGAGAGAAAGACATCTGGCAAGGGGCCGCATTGGCCAATCAAAACGTGAAAGCACACAGTCTTCCTGGTAGTTTGTAGAATGACAGCTGTGTTTTCACTGCTCACTTGGAGATCATGCACACAAAAGATAAAATTATTTCAGCCATGATAATGTTCCAGAGTTGTAAAAACCTGCCTGATATCGTAAAAATATTGTTCTGCATGAATTATTGATGTTGTCTCTGACTGGATTTACCTCTTGTAAGTACCTCCTGTGGGATCTATTTATAGGGACCTACTTAATTGAATGCATGCAGTCCTGATAGTATAGAGGTAAATTAGATTATTGTTACGTAATAAATGTCACGAGTCTCCCACACATCGACTTCACTTGGGGGCTTTACTTTACTGCAGTCTTTACTATTAGTATGTTTATATTGGAGATCCACCAATTGCAATTTCCCTGGCTTATTCTGATTTCCGATTTTTTTCTTTCTGAGAACAGTACAGTTGTCAGCGTACATAAATATTTTGTAACTTTTATTTTTTTCTTCATTAGGATCCCCGTTAGCACCAGCATAATTGTCTATTCATGCTGGAGTCCATTCAATTATATGTTCATGGCAAAACATTGAGTATTAAATAACTAAACTAACTAAACTAACTAAATTTTCTCCAGGTTACAGGACCTTCTCTCACTCTCAGGCAAACACATCTCAAAAAAGGACTCAAGCACTCCAGGTGAAGCTGCTGGACAGAGCTGCTTTTCTAATAATAATAATAAATAAACGTGACGCATGTTCCAATTAATAAATTATGTCTGTAGAGGAACCTGGTCAAGGGAACCTATTATCATAAATATTTGTCTGAATCCCGGCTACAACACTTCCAAACTGTTTAAATGTAAATTACAGCATTTCATTAGTTCTCTGCATCTGATGCTGCTACAAACGAGTCCAACGCTCGCCCACACAATAACAATTATCCTACAGTACACCTACAATTATGCTTAACGTTGGTCTGCAACATCACACCACATTAGTTTCTCTATTTTTAAAGTTCATATCATCCATCTCAATAACAATAAAATGACAAAAAACAACGTCTAACCTGGCTGCTTTCAAACTGCCTGCTGACGAGTGTAGGAACCAAACTCTACCATCAGTTAGATGTTTTCCACCTTTTTTCAAACTAGACCTCGGCCACTCACCCTGTGCCACTCAACAACGTAATAACTAGAAAAAAATAAATCTCTATATGCCACAGTTGACTAATTTCCCAAACAGAGCAGTCAGTGGTGTTATTAACTAAATACGAGGGTCAAACTCATGTGCCAGAACCAAAAGGTCCAGTTATTCTGCTGTTGGAAGCTCTTTTTCTACCTTTGTTTTCTGCATGGACCACTGACATATCCAGCCACCACAAAAGAAAACAATCAGCTCTATTTTAAGCTCCATAAAATATCTAAATAAAAGGAAAGACTTTCAAAATACCTCTTTATGTTGGTAGCAAGGGACTAGTTGCAGTGTCTCTTACTAACCAGCAAAAAAATTTAAAACAGGATAGGATCTCTAAATGGCTTATCAAATAACCGATAGGAAAACTTACCAGCCACAAACAAAATGTATTCTAAACTTTGTCATAATGTACTCGTCCTTTCAGGATTTCTAAGTCTGGACATTGCTTCTTTCCACTGAGAAGCAACAAGCAAACATCTGGGCAGATGTGTTTGTTTTCACGGCACTCGGCTGATTCATTCTTCAAGTTCAGTTCACATGAATAACATGAGCTGAGACCATCCGTCAGTGCACAACAGGGGAAAGACAGTGCAGATTACTCATTCGTGGGACTGGAAATTAGATCAAAATATTACAAGTAAATGTGACACCAAGGGATGATGCAGACACCAGCTCTGGGCCAAGATGCATCATCAGTCCAAGTGTCTTCAAAATCAGATTATCATTGATGCAAGGATTTATATTGGATCACTCAATCTGGCTGATTAACCTTGTAAGAACAGAGAGCAAATGTTTCCTTTTGCAAAGCATTTTACAACTGATGCAGTAAACGAAATGTTTTACTCTGATCTTTAATAACGGCATTAAAGATCCTTCATCAGGCCTACATGCACATTTCTTGTTTAAGCAATTGAACTGAAAGGAAGTTTTTCCTTGCCTCTGTCGCCTAGTGCTTGCTCTTGGTGGGAACTGTTGTTGTGATTTGCCGCTATATAAATAAAATTGAATTGAATTGAATTGAACTGTATCAATCATGCACATTAAAGCTGTTGCAGTATTAAATCTGTGAAAAGCAACAAGTGGAAGATCCCTCTGTGAGAGAAAGTGTTACCGTGTGTTAAGGAAATGTTTTGTTAGCAGTAGTAGAAAACAGGACAACAGAGGAAGATAGAAATTAGTTTTACTCGTTTCTGGATACAAATTTAAATTAAAAATGTTTTTAAAAACTATCTAAGTGAGGTTAATTTGTTTATTGTCATATTTCTTATAGATTTTACAACTATTTTAGCACTTACTTAGACAATATAGTGTAATGTATTCTGATAAATTTGTTAAAGGGTTCTTTAGGGATTTAGTGCAGCACTTTCATGAAGTTAAAAAGGTCAGCATCAATGGAGCAGAAACACAGATGTTCTCACTTTTACTCCCTAATATGGGTCAAGACCATAGATGGTATAAAAGAAGTGGACGTAGCCACCATGACATCGTCCACTGGTTTGTGTACTAAAGTTTTGAAGCCTTTAATTTAGCATTTTGGCCGTTGCCATCTTGTTTTTTTGGAACCAGATGTAACTGGATGTGACCACATTTTGATGAGTAAAGTGCTTCTGTAATTCACGTTAACTTGGATATAACTGGGATGATAATTTTGGTCAAATGTGCACAGTGCAGTGGATACAAATTGCCTCTATCCTGATTGACAGGTCGCCGTCGTTGCAACTTGTCAATCACAAGGTAGTCAACGCCCTAAAGCACAACCTACTTTATTGTATTTTTTCCTTTAAATGGGACCATCATTTACAAACTGAAAATCATGCTGCATAAAAGAAGACACAAAACTAGCAATTGAGACTATAAACTTATTAGGAGTAATAAATGAGGTGAGAACTAGGGTCATATTTTGTCATTGAGTCCAATGTAAGTGTGTAAGTGGAGTATTTTTGCAACCAGTGGAGTCGCCCCCTGCTGGCCATTAGAAAGAATGCATGTTAAAGGCTTCACTTTTCAGACCCAGAGGTTGCAGATTAGTCATGACCCAAACAATAATTTACTTGGAATAATTCTGCTAAATCTTTTATTAGACCCTCTCTGCTACTGTAAATGCCAAGATACCCTCCCCCCATGTTATAAATGTGTTGTCTTCAATCCCAACACTTTAGAAAGTTCCTCTAGAGGCACAGAAGAATTTACAGATCTGCTTTCACAGGCTGAGAAGTGCTCCTCTAGATGAGTAAACTGATCTCAATGTGTAAAATCCTTCTAATTCCCTATAAAATCCCTTTACTGTCCCCATTGTTTCAAGTTTTATCAAAATAAGACCAGCATAAAACATGAATGGAGTTTGTCCCCACCGGCTACCTGTGTGTTTGAGAGCAGCTCTGGTGTCAGCCAGTGAAGTCACTGACCTCCCCAAAAACTTGACTCACTCCGCTGACGACAACAGTTTCTCTAACACTCGCTAATGCCTCATCACGACACCAGGGGCAGTGACTGACTCATACCCACCCACACACAGCAACTAAAATACAGCACACACATTCACACTCACAAAGAGATCTGATATTCATCCGTCTTACCTGTATGGTTGGAGAACTGGACAGAGTTGATGGAGTCCACCTCAAACCCTAAAACCTGGAAACAGGAGACAAAGAGGAAACAGATTATGTGTCAGGAGAAGTTAGGATTAACAGCCAAGTATAAAGTATAGTAGTGCAGTATTACACTCTGCACACAGTATGCAAAGTGTGTAGCAACTATAATTCTGCAACTACAGCTGGACAATATAAAACAGGTTTAAGGTATTTAATACAATAAATCATGCTGAGCAAAACCTGCAATAAGTGATTTTTGGACCACCTGAGCAGCACTGGCAGCAGAAACAAGCTGTGAACACAACACCGACAGTTTATCTCCTTTTAAGTTAAGACTTGACATGATATTGCCTATAAACACAAATCCAGCAGTATTCACTCTCCTTTTAGATCTGTACTTGGTTTCCCACAACTCCTGAGGGAAATATCAGGCTCTCTGGTTCCTAAGTGCTCCACTATGTTCACCAGCTAGTTGCGAACTTTCAGTCTAACTGTTTGCCGGTTGGTTTTGGCCGCGGTTTTAAAGCTTTTTAGCTCACAACAGCTGAAACACTATGAAGCTCGATACAATTTAAGTGGACTTGCAGAGTCTGGCGGTATTGTGTGTGTTATGTCTTCTTCCTCTTTATATTTTCTACTTAAATGCCTTGATGTGCAAAGTGTTCAACTGTATCCCCTCGGGGATCAATAAAGTATTTATGATTCTGGTATTCGATCATAATTGAATGAATATTCAAAACTTAGAAATCATTACCCATCCCTACCACTTACCTACAAATTATAAATTATATATTACAGTTTAAAGTATGCACGCTGTATATACTATATATAGACAGGCATATCCTGCACATAGTCACCCACTTCAGGTAGCCTAGATAAAGTCATCTAGTACGTTAATCATTCAATATTCTTCTATATTTATTTACATTTACAGAAACACTTGACTTGTATGTTGTCATTGTTGTATTTTATATATATTTATATAAATACCTATTTTTTTTAACCCACCTCTGTTTACCTATTTTTGTCCAGCTTTCTTTCCTTGTTTTTAGCTGCATGTCTATTTCTATCTTCCTTTAAATTGTTCTTGGAACTGGGTGTAACATTGAGAGCAAATCTGAAATAAAGAAAACCTTAATTTGGCTTCATTACCCCAAGGTGTGATCTGTGAGTGGAGTTAAAAATAAGCATACTCACAGTTTAACTTCAGCCGAAACCCTGCACACATTTGGAACAGTTATGAAAACCAACTATTGGTGTCCTTCCCTCTCTCTGTTTTTCTTAAAGAGATTTAAATTAGCAGAGAGAGAGAAAGACACATGCTCCATCCAAGTGCACAGTGAATTGTTATCTGAAGACTGTATTTAATTGTGCTGAAGCAAGAAGAAGGCAGAGTAAGTGAGTTCTTTGTTCTTTTCAACTGACTGTAACTTTGAGATACAAGAATCTGCTTTCAGAGGGGAGAGGCAGTGTAGATATTAGCTTTGACCTTGGAAGCACTTGTCAATGAAATACTGTATTTTTATCATCAGCATGAGGCGTTCAGGGAACATGCTACGCTCACAGTGGTGTCAGGACTGCACAACATGACACTATTCCTACTGAAAATACTGTTTGTAAAAGACAGTACTACTTAATTTACAAACTTTATGCCCCAATTATTAATTATGATGATGATTAAATGATTAAATTTGAACGATGAGATACCACGGCATGTCATGCTCTAAACCAGGGGCGGCAGTCTGGCATAGGGCCAAATTTTTTACAAGCCGTTATATGGCTTGTAAAAGATTTCAAATCATTGCACGTTTAGCTCAGTCGGTACTGTGGGGGACTCCTGATAGGTAGGTTGTAAGATCGATTCCACCTTACTGCAGGTATTTTTTCTCCCTTGTTAAACAAATTGAATAAAAGGACTCTTTTTTACATGCTCACAATAAAGCATGTGCTGCAGTGATGTGTGCGCGTTCCGGCGTTTAATCTGCGTTCATACACCTATGGACACTTATTTTATTTTCCCTGAAAAAATTCAGGGTAATCCAATCATACGTTTAGTGACGGTGTGTTAAGCAAGCCAGAGACTCTTTTGAATTTCCTTCAGAACTCTTAAGAGTAAAAGCTCTTATTAAACTCGACATGAAGCATTGCTGCAAAAGACGTTCTCACACTTTTATTTTAGAGACACAATCACTTAAGAGGAAGTGATTGTGTGAGTAACTGTAGCAGTCATGACTGAGATCTATTTCAGCACTAGCCCATTATCAATTTCTATATTTTTTATTTTTCTGCTATCAAAGCAATCTGACCACAGGCCAGATATTATTGCTGGTGGGCCGGTTCACGCCCGCGGGCCGCCTATTGCCGACCACTGGTCTAAAGATTTTCGGGATTGTAAGAGCTACGTATGGTACTAACTTTATGGTATGGTAATGGTACTATTTGTACGATTATACTTTGAATGAACTTTCAATGATGTTTCATTCAATAGATTTGCAATTTCTGTAAATATACTTGTAAATGTTGTTTCTTACATGTAAAATATAATGTGACAGATTGTTCACCTGCCGCTGTCAATTACTGAGACCCTCCCACAGCGGAATAATTTTACTGTAAGAATACACTCATGGTAGACATGCAAACATGTGAATGATGAAATTACTCCTTTTTCTAATCTTTTTGATGGAAATCTTCCGCTGCAGGGAAGTCAGAAGCCACTTAATGTTTATTTCAAAATAGTTAGTAATTAATTTAATAGTTAACAACTAATCTTTGCAGCTCTAGACAGTAGTAACATAATCTCACCTCCCACAATTTGTGGGATGGGGGACATACACATTTGTTTATTAAATGTGCAAATTAACAGGGAATGTACAAGAGCTACCTCAAAGCTGAGTCACGACGCAGTAAATATAGCGTTCATGTTGACTCAGATGTGATCAGCCTGCACATGTTAGTTAAAGCAACTCTTCATTTGTCAGATGCTAGAGGGCTCTCTCATTTGGGAATTTACCAAAAGGAATTTTCCAAAAGGAATTTTCCTCGGTCTGACGATGCTTTCCAGTCAGCAGCGTTGTAAACACTGCTATCCGTGTCACTGACTTGAGGCTTATGAAGAGAATAAGAAAGGATGTGACCTAAATAACATCTTCTTAGCCTCATGTACATCAGTATGCCATAAATACAGTTTTACATCAACAGTCAATTTGCATCCTGCTCAGCCAAAGGAACATGTTGTAATAGGCAGGTTGTTCCTGTTTCTAAAACAAAGATTTTTATTCACGTCTCAAACAGAAACAGATCTTTGAGAATGTGCTACAGGCTATATAGTCTATCACCAAATCATCTTTAAACACCAAAAACCTCAAAATCAATTCTAAAGGCAACTGCAAATCAGTGTCAGGAAGCTGAAAGACTTTCTTGGCAACATCATCTACAGGATCACTTTCTGATCACACATTAAATTCTTTTAATCAGACCCAATCAGCCATCTGGGCAGTTAGCTTAAGAGTCTATTAGGTACACCAAACTAAAACGAATTCAATCGAATACCATGGCCCTGCAATAAAGCCTCCCTTTATACAGGTTAAAATGTTTAGTTTTGTTTAATTAAACTGTTTTTATAAATGTAGATTTAATTTAAGGTCATTTTGGAGGCTGTAGTTTGTACCGCTGAACAGGGTTTGTTTGTTCATTAGGGCGGGCGATTGGGCGACGCACCACCAAACCGGGAAAGGCAGGGGATTTTTCTCACACTTTCTACCACACTGTTAGTGAGCTGTGACTGTTGACAGACAGTTCGCCTCTGAATTTCGTTGTCCAATCAACGTCAAGTCGTGTTCTGTGGAGTCCAACCCATTTCGGGGCGATTTCAGTTCGCCCAAATCGCCCAGATCGCTCTCATAGACTTTCATGTTAAGGCGTTTTTTTTTTCCGAACTGCAGGCGCTTCAATGCAATCGCTATGACTTCTGGGAGGGCTCACACTTACGTGTTTACATCATGCACCCGGCAGCAGAGCTACGCTGTGAGAGTTGTGAGAGTGATTTTTTTTTAATTAGTGCTAAAGTAGTTGCCTTTACATCCAAAGATCTTTGAGGGTGGACTAATAAATGGTAACCCATCTGTTTATGATCACTCTGGCCTGGTCATTCATTGTAGACATTGACATCGAACTTCAGGATGTAGCTGTACAGTATGTAGCCGAAGGAACAATCTTTGTCATATAGCTGGCTTAGACCATGGTCACCTTAAGCCTAGTTCACGTTACACGATTTTTAGCCCGATTTGCCGCTCTGCGACCATCAGGCTGTGATCGGGAGTAAATCAACAGTTGATCGGCCAGTCGTTATGTGTGAACTAAACAACAACGCATCAAAACGGCTCCCCGACACATCACTGCCACATCACTGACATCTGCCAGATATCTAGCATGCTAAATATCATATTATAATAACAAACAACAGTTGTTTCCTGTGTAGGTCACGTCATTTCCCGTTTCACATTTCAGGTGTGTTTTCTTGACAAAACGTGGTTTGGAGACCAGCGTCGGGTGACACAGCCACCGTCAGCTCGTGTAGTGTGTGACCCCCTGTCAACGATCAGTCACGTAGTGTGAACGCCACAACGACTTCAAGACTCCCGTCACAAGACGGCAAGTTGTGTAGTGTGAACAGCACGGCCACCGGTCGATGCTGAAAGTCGTGCAGTCTGCACAAGCCGCCACTGCTGCTGAATTGTGTAATACTGAACGTGTTTAAAATAGTTTGTCCACCTCATTTATATCAATATATGGTGCTTGAGGGTTAAAATGATGACCATGAGCTAATGTCGTCTCCGGTTCAACCTTAAAGAATCTTGATAAAAATGTCTTTAAAACACACTTAACTTCCATGAAGGTAGGATTTACTGCGGGGTTGTTGGATTATATTGGATTCCCAGACTTGTTTGGCTAACAACAATGAAATTAGTCATGAACTGATAAATTAGTCATTTTCTCACAGGGCTTCAGTCTCCTCTGAATGATGTTTTAAATCAGCTGCCAGTTGAGAGTTTCATGACAGTTAAATATGTTTCAAGGCATTTGTTCCCCCCCACCCCCACCACCAAGTGTGGATTCATACATAAAGATCCACTCTCATGACCGCAGGGCTCTGACATGAGGAACTGCAGAACCCCACATGAGCAAATACCCAACCGGCTTAAGTGTCCTTGAGCAAAACACTGCAGGATCCCGGGACGCCGTTCCCCAGGCTAATTCACTTATTCAGCTTTTACAGCCTCTCACTCGAGAGACTTCTCACAATAACATCCTGCTTAGTTCTTCTCTTGGGCTGTGTTAAACGTCCTTGTATTTGCATTTTGAAGGAAATCACCCCGAGCACTAACTGGTAAGGTTCAAAATTGATAATATGAATTAAATTTAACTCCGCACACATATTTAAAAATGCTTTAATCCCCAATTTGATGCCAGAGGACAGCGCTTGTCTTTAATTTTTGTTTCTATGCGAAAGCTGAGTCTATCCAGTCCAGCTCTGAGGCAGCCTGTCTCCATCTTCAGTGACGTCAGCAGGAGGAATCCTGTGGCAGCCAATCAGAGCCCTGCTTCCTCATACCGCCGTCTCCTGCCTGCTGACAGGCCCGAGACGCTTTGTCCTGACAGCACAGAGAGAGGGATGCCCTATACACTCACTGACATCATCATCATCATGTTATCTTAAACACAGACTGAATCATGTTATGATTCAGCTCCTTTACTGACCACTGGGCTTTCTTATCATTACTTTAAATTTAAAATATGTATTTTTTTTATCCACAATCATCAGTGGTGGTTCATTCACAAACTGGCTGCAATACTCACCAGCCAAACACACTTACAATATTGTAAAGTTACACTCATCTAGCTGGCGTCTGCTGATGCTCATTCATCTCATTCAAGTTAAAACATGGTGCCTGAAGCATTTGTCTCTGTTAAATTTAACAATTTAAAAGACCCTTCAGTGCAAATTAAGATGAAAAATAAGGCTAACATTTCATCACTCAAAGAAATTCTGCATGACTGGTTTAATTTCTCACCAGAGGAACAACGTTTACAGAAATCACAATCTGTAAGGCTCACAATAGTTCATTTAAATTGTAAAATGCTATATTATGCTGCATGTAATGCTATTTATGATCCTGAATTTAGGTAGTTTAACTTGCAGGACTTGTAGGCACCCTGTAAAAACACAAAAAAAAACTTGTGAAGGCTTCATACGGATACTGTCTCCATAATAAAACAGCATAAATGTCAACTTACTATATGGTTTGTTAAAAAACTACCGGTACCAGTAAATATTAGTGTTAATATATTTGGTTGTTAATATATTGTAAAACTGATATATTTAGGCCATGGCATTTGACACAACTGTCAAATTAGCAAGAGAACAGAGCGCTGAGCGATATGAGCAAAAATGTTATCATGATAAAAATATTTCATATAATTCGATATCAGTAATTATCACGATAAATGTCATATCATTATTTCTTTCAAGTTTAATGGCTGGTTTTTGCTCCTTAGTGAAAGTTGAAGAAGCCAGATGGTTTTATGGTGGTTTTAAACTATTGTTTATGGTCAGAGCAAAACTTGATGCCAAACAGAGGATCATTTAAGAAATATGAGGAAGAACATACAAAAAAGGGCTTATTCATTTGTGATTTCATTAAAGTAAATGAAACATTTATTGAACATTTGTTTTATTGTTATTGAGGAAAAATATTGCAATAATTATCATTATTGTTTTATTACCCAGCACTACAACAGAATAACTATCTTTATGTTATTATTACACTGATTTATTAAGGGCAGTGTAATAATATGTTGCCCTAATCTATGAAAACACGTCATGTGCCCCCAAAGATAAATGAAGTGTTAACTTCTCCATACTAACACTCTTTGAAGAATGCATACAGATATCAAGAAAATATTGGATACTAGCCAAATACATAAATTATTCATACTTGACAGTGAACTTAACTGTGACCTGGCTATGGTTAAGCTGCAGGTTTAGTGCAATGTACTGGTTAATATCAGTCTCTACTGTAGGCTGGTGAATATTATCTTAACATTAGCCAACAGAACTTAATCAGCCGTAGTACTTGAACATTAATGGCTGAGTCCTGGTGACATGCATCAAAGCCCAGCAGCCATTAGGATAACGGCAAAATACATCCTGGGGCGCAGCAGGCTAAAAATAGACTCTGCAATTCTCACAACAAGTGACTGTCTTTCAGGATGATGGGACATGTACTGTAGGCCTATACTAGCCTCGTCGTCACTACTGTCTGCCACACCGCTGCTGGAGGAAAATATGAAACTATAGCTATCATTGACATCATGGTAATTATAGGCACAAGAGCAATCAGTTTTCATCCTGCTGTCAACAATAGGGACTCAATCACTTTCATGGCCGGGAGGAGCTAATAACCTCTGTGTTCTTTCACATAATGTCAAATCAATGGCTTGTTTTGAAAGAATTTACTATTTTTGGCTCCTCATCCTGGAAGTTATGCCTTCTTGTAAAGCACTCCGTAAACTCAAGTGGCGATTAGTTGGGGAGGGCTTCATTACTAATGTAGGTAAGGACTCAACACTAAAACCACTAGTTCCTATTCTGAGACCAAAGAACAAGGCACAAGTTGAGCAACTCAGAAATCTGTACTCTGTACACAGCTCTTCAGGTTAATTGACTGATGCCTATTAACCTCCCTATCTGATATGACCCTGATATGATAAAGGTGCCTGATACAATAACAAGGACAATTGTGAAAACTGTAAATCAACCTTGCTGTAAAAAACCTTTAGCTAGTCAGTTTATTGAGATTAACCATTAACATACTGTAAATAAATATTGCTTGCTATGGTCATCTGCAGCTTTGAAATGCATATACTGTATAACAAGTGATTTAAAACTATGTTTGAGGTATCAACATACAATTTTATCAGACACTAGCCATAAGATATGATACAGTAATATTACAATACACTGGCCATTAGGGCTGGACTGTAAATCTATACCAAGATAAATGAGCAAATTTACACCAATGATGATAAATGCAACAATGATTATTTTATATTCACGACAGTATGTATTTCCTGTCTCATGTTGGCCCACTTCTGATATGATTGTCTGATCGTTTGGTTGACCTTTTCGTAAAATATCACCGATTGTTATAGCTGGTCTCAGTTTATCGACATTTATTTGAAATTGCAATATGAGAACATTTAGGTCGGGACGAGATGCATAACTTTGAAAATGAAATAGATATCTGTCCATTGCCCGGCTCGAATGCTCACAAGATGGATGGTATCGCAACCACAGGTGATTTTGTGATTCTGCAAATGCAAATTGCAAGACTGCCACTGGCCATAATTAATCTGTATAAACAGAGAGGAAAAGATCCCACTAAAAGGGCAACGACCGAGAGTTGTCTCTTAAGTGTGTGGTCTTTAAACCTTTGTAACACACACATGAAAAATACACATGTGCAATTATTCTAATGAAACACAGTCACAATCTGGCGAAATGATCAACTTTCAGTAACCAGAACAGCTGCTTCATCTGCAGTAAAAGGACGAAAACATTATAATAACCTTTTTCCTCCCTAATCTATTCATCTATGTTATCGGGAAAAATCAAAGTAGCAAATAGCTGTATTGATCATTTGTCCATGGTGTAACTGATTTGCAGGTTTCACTGCAGGAGGCTAGATTTCCATCCACTTCATGACCCTTATAAATGCCTTTCTGTCTGAGGCTGTGAGCAAATGATGGCAACCTGAGGAGCCAACACTGTGATGACTGAGTTCTGGGTACAAATTTCCCTTAATTTATCATTAGCCAGCTTTTCCAACCCTGCTGAGCAAGGTACACTGTAACTGGAAGATTTACATTTACCTGTGAGTGTAAATCTTATGCCCTTATATAAAACCTCATCAATGAAGGGGTCATTTGATTGATACCAAGAGGTCCATTATCAGACACAACTCTGGCGAAGTCATTTACAACGTCTAAGTTGCTCTACAGCCAGCCTTTATCATTAGTTTCTATAACACATGTATATTTTCTCGTGATGGACGACAACACCTTAAAGAAAAAACATGTTAGTCCATTATCGGACACACTCCCACTAAATGACAGGTGTCGTGCCATCGTTCATCGCTTGGACGAAGAGTTCCTCCTTAATGTAAAGCCTAAATGTAAAATATTGTCAAATGAAGAAGACACAGACAAAAAGAAAACTGCTGCGATGATATTGTCCATAACTGTCCGTGAAATGGTTTGTGAGCTTAGGTAAAGGGAGGGGGACAGAATATGCACGACACCTGTCGTCGTTATTACCGTTAATGGCTTATTGACATAATAATACCGGAGGAAATACAACTAACCGCGGCCACATATTAACTCATCCAGAGATACGGTTTTAGGTGGATGACCGATTTCTGTTAGAAAAGACTGTGCGAACTTTGCACGATGTAATAAGCGTGTCTCTTTACAGAAAAATCGGTATTTAACGTTAAACCGGTAAGTTGTTTTGTGGAAAGTCGCAGTATGAATTTTGTGGGCTAAAAGGGGAAACCACCCGTGTCCAATAACGGACGTCTCGTCGACCGTTGTCCGGTAATGGGTTCATGTGAGGTGTATTTACCTGTAACGGGAAAGAGGCGCTCTTGTTGCCCACGTATCCCCGGACTACATGGCTCTGTATGGACAGAACACGGCATTCCATGGCGGCTCCCGGTCAGCCGAGGACGGACGCAGATAATCCGTTACTTCAACGAGAACCGCGTCTACACATAACAGTGCGGGGAGAAAAAAAAAACTTTAAAAATAATTAAAAACACACACGACAACGCCGCCAGTTAGACAGAAGCGGCAACGTTAGCTAGCTAGCTAACCAGCTGTGTGTCACACGGTGTGTGTGCGTGTGTTTGCGGTGTGAGCGCGTGTTCTGGTAGTAACGTTAGCGGGTGATGTGCGGTGATGTGCGGTGAGCGTGTGACAGAGAGAGAGAGAGAGAGAGAGAGAGAGAGAGAGCGCGTGCGGCCCCACACACAGACACGCACGGATAACACAGCGTCCGTTTAGCAACGACCGTTAAAAGCCGTTATTAAACATAAACGGTTAAACGACCCTGTTGTTAGAGTTGCCGTTAACGTTTCGCTAAAACCGACAATCTGAAAAAAAAAAGAAAAAAGTGCCACGAGCTGACCGGGGACAACCGAGGAGAGGTCGCGTGCACTGAAGGACAAAACACGCACACGCCGGTATTCTGCGCAGGCAATGTGCGTGACTGCCTAAACCCGATGACGTCACAACAGGGCCACTCCGATAGCAGCCGCATCCTGATCAACACAGCTGGAAATGAATAATGTGGATGACAACCATCTTCTATTTTTTTTTATTTTTTATTACTTCTATCACTACACTTTGCATAGCCGAATTATTTTATAACATATTTTTACATTCATTTATTACTCAGGTGCGTCTTTTCGCTGCCAAATTAAAAGACAAACAAAGAAATAACCTTTTATTTGGCATCTTTTTGGATGTAGTTTGGTACTGCGCTCAAATTTTTAACTCCCTCTGTGTGTCGTGGTTGTGACTCACACCATCTCTATCAGAGTCGTGACTGAGGGGGGATTTGACTTGGCAAAGACAGTCGGCAGTGATAGAGAAAGGCAGAGTAGGACGGAGTGCATGTACATACAAATATAGCCTGCAAATACATGGTAAGAGAAATAAATAATAGAAAGAGAGAGCGTGTGAGTCATTAAAACAGAAAGGAGCAACATAGATAAATTGAGCCAAATACACTGATGTTGAACTGATGGTGCCACCTGCTGTTCATTCGGGCCTTGACTGCTCTCTGTGATGCTTTAATTGCATTTCACACAAACCCCGAACATCACAGAACAGGAGACTTACTCTTTTTTCAGTGCTGCTTTAATAAAAATAAATATGTTGCCATCACTATTGCACACAGCCGTGGAATACAATTCCCCTTATTTTAATGGCAGATCACCCAAAATAACTTCATATGCTTCATCTTCTCCCCTTCTCTCTGTTCTCCTAATTGAAATGTAAAGGTAATGGAGGACGACAGCTAAAAAGGAGAAGAGAGGTTACGGATGGGCATGAAGAGCAGGAGCTAGGTGTCATGGATCATTTGGAGTCCTGGTCCATTTTGGGCTCTGAAGAGAAAACAGCAGAAGTCATTTACTGTATATTTGGGAATATATTTTTTATTTTGTCATTCTACATATTAAAATTAGTCTATACAATGAAAATTATTATTATTATTGGTGCTAGATTTATACTGGATAGCATACAGTAGCCTAAACAAACACTTTTGGTAAGGCTTTCCCTAAATTTGGTTATTAAAGAACTGTGAGCTGTAGTGAGCAGAATATTTTACAGTAGGCTGACAAATGCCAATAATAAATGTTTGATAATTGATAAGAAAAATAAGAATCACCACCTTATAAATACTAGCTGTTTGGGTCAGTTTAAGGCTTTTAAAAACACATTATGGAGGGATTGTCTGGAATATCTTTGAAGCTAATGAAAGAGAAAGAACCTGCACCTGATACAGCTCTACATACAATGTTTAAAGTCATAAGAGCTCTGCGACTGAATCTCTCATCTCTTCATCTCTCTCTCACCGGTGAAGGTGAACTCAGGGAAGCTGCTCAGGTCTCCTCCGCCATATAGTCGCTGGAGCTTAGCTGTCTCCTCTGACAGGTATTTTTCGTAATCTGGCTCTGCCTCTAACAGTCCTCCATTCAACCTTAGAAAAAAGAGAGGAGAGGAGATAGAAGATGGGGGAAATTAAAACAGAAATGGTCCATGTCTCCCCCACATTACATCTCAACATCACAGTTTCCCTGTGTTTTTCTCTTGTTGTTATCGAAGTTATCCTTCTGTGAAATGTTTGGAAACTGTGCCTCCAGCTGTTCTTTTTTACAGCTACTTTATACAGCATAGTAGGGATGCAACTAATGATTATTTTCATTATCGATTAATCTGTTGATCATTTTCACGATTAATTAATTAGTTGTTTGTCTATAAAATGTCAGAAAACGGTGAAAAATGTTGATCAGTGTTTCTCAAAGCCCAAGAAGACCTCAAGTCCTCAAATGTCTTGTTTTTATCCACAACCCAAAGATACTCAGTTTACTGTCACAGAGGAGAAAAGAAACCAGAAAATATTTACATTTATTTCACAAAGTGACTCAACTATTAATCCATTATCAAAATACTTGCTGATTCATTTAATAGTTGACGCTAATCAGTTAATCAACTACTCATTGCACTATGGTTTATATTTAAGTGGAGAGACCATGTGATAAATTGTTTATTTAAAATTTATATAATCAGGAAGTCTCTTGAGATATATCTATATCTATTTCAAGAGACCTGGGTGTAATTGCAGCATAAAATAACGAACATGGGACTATTCAAAGTAAAATTTAAACATTCCTATTCTACACAAACAGCAGCTCTATTTGAAATATTTTGTAAATACCAACAGCCTTCAGAACCATTCAATGCCTACGTATTAATAAATGACTCAAGGGCCTTAAAGAAACAGTTTAACATATTGGGAAACTCATTAGATGATAGAAAATCGATACTACTCTCATGTCTGTGCATAAAGGCCTATTTATACTTCTGCGTCAAACGTACACCGTAGGTAAGCTGTAGCCTGACGCGCACCTCCCCAAAAATGTAACTACACATCACGTTAACGCAGACCGCAACAACTGGTTGGCTCGGTAGCACCGCGTTTCCACCAATTTCCTCCTACGCATTTCCGTCGTGTCCTTATTCTGCCTCAGCCAGTTCAAGGGTCGTACATACCATCTCCTCCGACGCCTTCTCCCGTTTCTGCGTTTTAGTAATTTCACTAAAAGTATCTGCTGTTCAACATCGATCCCTTGCACAAGTATAAATTCAAATTCAAAGCAGCTTTATTGGCATGAAGTGTTGCCTAAGCTAAATGCTCACGATGGCATGTAGCCGACTCGACGCAGAAGTATAAATTGGACTTGAGTTCCAAAATGTTCCTTTAGGAAGCCAAGCCTTTTGGTTGTTTAGGGACAGTCCAGCAGCACGGGACGTCTGAATATGTTTTCCTACTGCATATGACAGGAAACCTCTTTTGACTCTCTACCTGCGCATGTTGTTGTATTCTCCGATCTTCTCCAGGAAGAGTCTTTGTACCGGATCTAAATCTGAAAAACACATGAAAACAATACTATGACCCAACCTTATCACCAGACAACGTTTACATTAGACATTTTAAGAGTAGGCTTAAGACTTTCCTCTCTGATAAAGCTTATAGTTACGGCTGGCTCAGGCGAGTCCTGAACCATCCCTTAGTTATGCTGCTGTAGGCCTAGACTGCTGGGAGACTTCCCATAATGCACTGAGGCCCCCCCCCCCCCCCCTTCCATCTGTTTGCATTCTGATCCCATTAATGCATCTTACTAACTTGACTTCTTCCCTCTCTCGTAGTTTTGTGCTTTCTCGTCCCTCTCCTTACTCCTTCTGTCGCTTTTTGCCGGTGTTTCTGGCTCCGGAGCTGTAGAGTCTGGATCTGTGGTTGCGGGCTTCCTGCTCAACACCTGCTGCTACAATTATTATTAGTCCTATTATTATTGGCAATAATATTGCTATCATTATTAGTACTATTATTTATTATTTTCATTGATGTTTGTACCACTACCACCTTTAATGTTGTTTTGCTTTGCCAACATTTTAAAAATTATTTATAGGAACTACGGTATGGTTAAGGTCCCCACGCCCCTGTACACACGACAAGCTGTTGACGATGAGTGAGTGAGTAAGGTTAAAGAAAGCTTATAATTATCGCAAATAAATTATGTTTCTGGCATTGTTGAAGTTAAAGCAACTAAAAGACAATCAAAAAATCACTTTTTGTGTGAACAAGCGAAGGCTATACTACGAAAACCTTCGAGGAGTGGCTGTCTGAAAGTTTGTGCCATTATCCACATTTGAACGATGATCACAGACATTACAAAGACACGAAGGGCTCCTTTTAGATGTGGTCGAACAAGTTCGTTTACATTATTTGTTGGTCTGAAACAGGAAGCAAATGGTTTCTCGTGTGAAGGTGCGATATGCTACCCGCCAATCCACCATCCCAACCTTACTGTACACCTGCCTGAACATCACACTACCTCCTGAGGTGGCAATGAATGTTGGCACTGGCCTTAATTCATGTGCTGCAGACAACCTCACAAGTTAACAAGTTGTATATAGTTTGTTTAATACTTACAAATAGAAATGTAAAAACGATATTGTGGTACAAATATCACTTTATATGTCGGCGTCAGCAATTACGTACATGCAATTCCCCATAAAACTACTACTGGTTCAGAGATAGAGTCATGTGTTGAAATGTCAGCCTCTGTTATGTCCTCAAAACCATCTTCTATTGTGGTCTTAACTTCCATATTCTCCTCTTTTGCTAGTAACTCCGCTTCTTTCTCAAGCGCATTCCTTGTTTCCAGCAGAACTCCGCTCTCAACTCCTCCAACTTTTGTTTCGTTTGCCTTCCCCTCCATCTGCAAACAGTCTCCCTTTTCTCCTACAGGAGGATCTGAACTTGTATTTAGCGTGCCAGGAGCTTTGGAAAGCACTGCAGGAACACGACAGAGAAGCTCTTTCACTAACGAGCCACTTCGTCCTTCTAACTCTCCCACTTTGAAACAACTTTAGTTAAAAATTCACTTGGATTCTCAGTTTCAGCTGCGGCTTTCTATCCTGCTCCAGCCGTTGTAACCTCAACTACATGGAGTGTTACAGGCTCTAAAGTCGTTTGTTCAGACTTGTTCACTCCCTCCTCCAGAGCCACTTTTACTGTGGATGATTCTACTGTGGATTCTATTGTAGATTCTTGTGCATTTTGGATTAAGGCAGTGGGTGAGGTGTTATCATCTGCTTCATTTTCTATCTTAGGTTCTACTGTACCTTCAGAAACAGCATCTCTACTCTCTATAGGAGAGGGCCTGGCCTCCACTGCTGGCTCTATTGTAGTTTCTATTGAAGATTCTTCTACATTAACTGCTGCTGAGTCTGTGCTGTTGGTTTGCACTGCTTGAGCTGCTGTATCTGCTTCAGCCTCTATTGTAGTTTCTATTGAACATTCAGCTACAGCAGCTCTACTCTCAAATGTTTCCAGAGGATAGGCGCTGGCCTCTACTCTACCGATCTCTACTGTAGTTTCTAATAAGGGTTGTACTGTGTGCGAAATGTCAACCACTCCTGAGTCTGTGCTTTTGGTTACTACTGCCTGAGCTGTTGCATCTGCTTCAGCTTCTATTGTAGTTTCTACTGAACCTTCAGCTACAGCAGCTCTACTCTCTAGTGTTTCCAGAGGGGAAGTGCTTGTCTCTACTGATGTTTTTATTGTAGTTTCTAGTAAAGGTTCAACTTTGGTACTGTATGAGATGGTAAACACTGTGCTGTTGGTTTGTATTGCTTGAGCTGGAGCATCTACTGGACCTTCAGCAAAAGAATCTCTAGTCTTTAGTGTTTCCAGAGGAGAGGTGCTGGCCTCTACTGATGTTTCTACTGTAGTTTCAAATAAGGGTTCTACTGTGTGCGAAATGTCAACCTCTCCTGGGTCTGTGCTTTTGGTTTGTACTTTTTGAGGTGCTATATGTACTGTGACATCTATTGTAGGCTCTACTTGACACTCAACAGCAGCAGCTCTAGTTTCTAGTGTTTCCATGGGAAAATGGGTAGCTTCTACAGGTGATTCTATTGTAGTTTCTATTAAGGGTTGTTCTTTGGCAGCGTGCGAGACTTCAACCACTCCTGAGTCTGTGCCTTTGGTTTGTACATCTTCAGCTGGAGCAACAATAACTTCTAGTGTTCCCACAGGAGATAGGCTAGGCTCTACTGATGTTTCTATTAAGGGTTCCATTGCAGCAGCTGAAAAAGATGACGTCTCTACGTTCTTATCCAACATGTGGGCCGTTAAGGGCAGTACGGTGGCAGTTTTGAGTTCAGCTGACTCTGGTGCAGCTTCTACGTTGGTTTCTATTGTTATTTCTACTGCAGCTGCTTCTGATCCTGATCCTGCAGGGGTTGTGCTGGTTGTACGAACAGTCTCACTGGAAACACTATCAGCAGCGGACTCCTGAATAAAATCAAGAGGAGCCTGCTGAGGCGTCTCTGGGTTTGTCGGAGATGCTGATGTTGGTTGAGGAGATGGAGGTGCAGTGTTAAGACAGACAGACGCTGCTGGCTCTGCCTTTGACAAGGGAGGAACATCTGAGGTGGAGACCTTCATTGAGGAGGTGGTGGGAGGTTTGGGAGGTGTGGAGGAGGCACTGGCAGGTTGAGCTGTAGGAGGAAGAGGAGAGGAAGAGTAGACAAACAAAGATCTAACGGACACGGAGGGACAAGTAAAATTACTCAGCACAGACTCAAATCAGCGTTTGAGGGATTTAATTAATTAATTAACTCAGCTGGTAGAAATAACTGTCCTTCAGGCAAGTTCTCTGTTCTATGGTTTTCTTGCAATTGTGTGTGCTTTCCCATATTTTGCCGTCCATGTCGTTTCCACAAAATTTACATAACCTAGGCTAACAGTTTTCTACATGATATGATTCTTACAATCTATTCCGTATTAACACTGAGTGTCCGAAAAGCCTCAAATGATACATGTAACAGTACCACTGAATGTGGTGTGATGAAGAAGGGGCTGGTAAATTAATTCAAATTATTATAGCGTCTGAATAAAATCCTCTTAATCTTGACCAGCTAACATTCAACGCCTGCTGAAAAGAAATAAAATCGGGAAATCTCTGAGACTTTATTCTGACACCACACTCAACACAACATCCTGAATGTGCTGACCTTTACCAGAAGGAGGCGCTGTGTCTGGCCTGCGCTGGGAGAAGAGCTGCTCCAGGAGTTTAGCGACATCCACTGCTGGCTGGGGCTTAGCTTTCTCTGCCAATTAAAGAAAATACATGCTGAGAATGAAATAAAAAAAGTCTGAGGCGATATGATGTCTGAATGATGCTATAAGAATAAATTTAGATTTTTAAAAAATAGAGATTTGAACATCTGCAGGTCTCCTTATGGCCATATTGGATGTTTTAGGCATTTAATTTGCTGACACACATTTATCCATTCACAGTTTCTCCATTGATTTTCCATGACATTTGACTACATACACTACACTATGATGGAGGGTTTTACCCATATTGCCCAACCCTACGGCAGCATGTCTTTTCTCACCACTTGTTGGCGCTCTCACTCTTCCACTAGTGTAGAAGGAATAATATATGAACAGGATACAGGACACTTGGGGAAGTAAAAACCTGACGGGAAATCAGACAGAAGTGCGGTTGTCTTACTGATGTGTGTTCGGCGAGGCTGTTTTCTGTCCGATGGTTTGGAGCTGAACGGAGCAGTTTGCAGCCTCCATACAGGTCTACACATCTCCCTGTGAATTCACAGGACACACACACACACACACACATATATATAATCACGTTATTGGATGCTTTATTCCAGTTCTTGGGTTTATCCACTAATGTCACTGATGGTTATGTTTTAGTTTTATCATGTACGTGACCGTCATTTTGAATTAAACCTCTTCACATGTTGAAGAGACTTGACAGCCTTTCATCGCTCTCGGGGGTCAACTTATCACTCAATCAGTCATATTGTTCATTTCAGTGTTTCCTTTGAAAGCTGCAGATACACAGCGTTTGAGTGTGAGTTAACATGCAATGAATGCAACAACAACCTTAAAGGTACTGAAAAGTCATGACTAGGTAATATATTGTATACACTGCAGTGGCTGCACAGTTCTCGCGGAAATCTTGTAAGAGGCGAGTTGTTGCAAGAAACGCCGGTGGAAACGAGGGAGAGCAGTTTGTTTTGTACATAGAGGAACTGCTAGCAACACTTTGCTCCAACACAACAATCTCCTCTCTCTAAATCTGACTCTCGTTGCCACCTTCTTCTTCCTGCAAAATTTCAGAGCGAAACTTCAGTTTCCTGTTAAAAACAAAAGGTGTCACCGTGAGTCACCCACAGGGATCCTTTCCATAATGTTGTCAGACACCGGCCGTAACAGTCTGAGCCAAAACAGAAGCACGTTTTGTGGACGCCATTTTGATGAACACAGTTGCCCCGAAGGAACCAGCTGCAGGCTGGAGCCATCCATTACACAGATACCCAAACAATTTGTACCCATTAGTCATTTCGACCACAAAATATGTGAAAATAGGGTTTAGAAATACAGAAATGATCCTTTAAATGAAAGTACCAATAACACATTGTATAAATACAGAAGTATTAGCATCAACATATACTTAAACTACCAAAAGTAAAAGTACTCCTTATGCAGAATGGCCACTTTCAGAGTAATGTGCAGTACTGTGCAAAGGTTTTAGGTAGGTGTGAAAAAAAACAAACTGTAAAGTAAGAATGTATTCAAAACATGTTAATAGATTAACTTTTGTTAATTGATAAATATAAAGTGAGAGAATTAGAAGAAAAATCTATACATCAAATCAATATTTGGTGAGACCACCTTCTGCCTTCAAAACTAGTACTGTATAATATATTATTGATTTATTGTAGATTAATGTAGGTATCACTGTATTAGGCTACTGCAGCTGGTGTGGGGCTATTTCTAAAATTACTTTATTTGTTTATAATATTTTGTATTAATAATTTGAATCTGTAAAGTTACTAGTGATTGAAGCTGTCAAATAAATGTAGTAGAGTAAAAAGTACATCATTCCCTCTGAAACATAGTGAGAGCAGGAGTAGGCTAAAATACAAGTACCTCAAAATTGTACTTAAATACAGTAAATCTTACTTACAGTAGACGCTAAATGTACTTTCCACAACTTTAAATAATGCATGGGGTCTAAATAAAAGTCCAAACACACAGACAAACAAGAAAAGTACTTACTCTTACACACAATCCTGTTCCTCTTCTGAACAATGCAGCTGCAGCCATGATTGTTTAATAATGAATATAGTTTGCAACTGATCTCTCTGGCTGAGGAGGAATCGAGTCTGATCGAGTCTTAATAGAGCTATCCTGTGTTTTGATGGCATTACAGTTACATAAACCTCCTTATTTAAAGCCTCTAAACCATAGACTGTAAACACAGTGTGTCAAGACCGAACAGAAGAAGGACTTCCGGCCAGCAATATCAAAATAAAACGACGTCCTGAATTTGATTTGATTTCTGTAAACATACATTTCTGTGAATGGTAACAAAGTGAAAACAAATCTTAATGTCAAGTCTTGTCTTAATACTGCAATTTCGAGGTACTTGTACTTTACTTCAGTATATCCACTACTACTCCACTACAATTCAGAACTAAATAGTGTACATTTTACTGCACTATATGTATTTAGAGCAGGTGTAGACTGTACTCTTTGTAATATTATTTAAAGACACCCAACAATTCCCACCATAAGCAACAAGTAGAGGGATAAAGCTATTAAAAGGTTTCCCCCGATACAATGGTATATAAATATCAGCTAATCATGATTAAAAATGTTTATAATTGCACCTCAGTTAAATAATGTATCAGCAGTGGTGGAAAAAGTATTCAAATCACCACAGTACAAAATTACTCCATTACAAGTAAAAGTTCAAAATTTCTCACTACAAAGAGTATTAGCAACAAAATGTACTTACTGTCAGTGTAAACAGTTATATTATTGGATCATTATTAATAATATAGAAGCAGTACCTTAGTGTTGTTGTTGGTTAACATGGAGATAATTTTACTACCTCATATACTTTTGGTAGTTTAATCTGTTACAATGGATCATTTTTCTTAAATTGATCATAGGTTTTGTATTTAAAAGGTTTAATTTTCAAAATTGTTATTTTAAATAAATGTAGTGAAGTGAAAAGTACAATATTTATCTCTAAAATGCAGTTGCATAAATTATGAAGTAGCATAAAATGGAAGTACCTCCAGTCGAGACACTTGACGGAATCGTTGACCAACATCCGGCGGCATCGTGGCTAAATATGTCTGTTTCGAACTGGTTCACGTAAAGACAACTGACCCAAGCTGTGTGGCTCAATGCAGCCTCCATTAGTATCTTTTTAGCCATGTGGTCTACATGGCTCACCTGCCATGTCACTCACATTTGAGCCTGGTTGGTCCATGTCTGTAATAGATTCACATGAAATATTCAAATTGACAAAAAAACAGAACAAGCAGAGCTGCTGCAGAAAAGCTGAATACTGGAATTAAAAATGATTAGAGGCTGGAAACAATTTGCTGCAATGACTCAGTAAGAATCACATCTTCCTTGAAATCTCCCAGAACATGTTAAACTATAGGTCATTTACCTGTATATTTTATTATAAATTGTATAAATATATATTATAAATTGTATATACTTAATACTATACAAAAATAAATGTAAACTCAATCACTACAAATATTCTTCATCAAGTAAAGCAAAAGCATAAAACACATTATAAAGTCTGAACATTATTTTTTTATCATGTGACCCAGCGGTTCCAAACCTTTTTTCGGCTTGTGGACAAGACTTTGTGAGAGAAGGATTTTTTTCCTTCTCAAACTGTTGAATTTGAACGATTTTAACACATTTGAAAAGGTAAGTGTCCAGGATCTCCCCTAAAAAAACAGCAATCAGAGAAAACAAAGTAAACAATAACACTCCATTTTGTTTTTTTGCTCTTATTCCTTGGATCGTCTTGTGACATCTCATCTTCTTTGAAATCTTCCGTACATGTTGAATTACAGATCATTTACATATATCTTTGACACTGAGAATACTGGTTTATATTATTTAGGTAGAGGCGATAAAAAAGTAAAATACCTGCACAATATAATTTTTGTTATTTGGGTCCTTTGTTTGATTTTACCTTCAGAAAAAATAAATGCAAACTCTTCCTACCCGCCAGGTGAAGCACCACGGATGTAAACTTGTATTTGTGTGTGAGCAAGTCAGTACTGGGGGAGGTATTCAGATCCTTTACCTAAAAAAAGTATTAATACCACACTTTTAAAAATACAAGTAAAAGTCCTGCATCGGAAATGTTATTTAAGTAAAAGTATATAAGTATAATCAGAAAAATGCCCCCTGTGACAGTTTTAACGTTGTATTTGAATGTTGTAAAATTTCTCATGCATTAATGTAACAGCAGGATTTTGCTGTTGTAGTCACTCATTTTTAACTATTTTGTATCAGAGTGCAACTAATAATTATTTTCTTTTCTGGATTAATCTGCTGATTATTTTCTCCATTTATTGGTTGATTTTAAAAACTATGTCACAGTTACCCAAAATGACAACGTCACAATGCTCGCTTGTCCAACCAACAGTGAAAACCTCAATATTACTAAAAATTTATTTAAATAATTCAAATGAAAAGCAGCAAGAAGCTGGAACCCTTAAATACTTTTACATAAAAACTGACCCAACAGGTGCCAGTTTATTACCTGTAGATCACTTAATCATTAATGGATTAATAGCAAGTGAAAAAAAATGTTGTAAAGTTGCTGAAGTAGAGTAGAAGTATAAAGTGGCATGAGAAGAAAAAATGCTTAAATAAAAAGTACCTCCAGTTTGTACTGAAGTACAGTACACGAGTACATGTAGTCAGAAAACACCGACAGACAGTCTTGGTCCAACTGAAGTTTATTCTGAACATTGAAAGACAACAACGTACATCTTCTTCTACAGTGATAATTAACAGCAGGCTGCCTCTATCGCCCCGTAGCGCTCATATATTAACTCTCAGATAGCAGTAGTATTATACACAACCTGGAAGGTCGACAGTAAGAACGGGTTCAAACTGGATTAGATTAGTTTCAGGACAGTGTGCAGGGCGGTGGGGGGGCAGTACAGGGATGTAAGACATATTGATCATCATTCATTATCATCATTATCAGCTTCCGTCTGTGGAGACACAGACATTCGTTCACACCTTCCTCCACAGTCAAGCTGCTGCAGCTGGCTGAGCGACTCCTGATTGGACAGTGGCTGGTCACTAAGGTAAGTATTGGTCGTCTCAGTGGTAATTCAGTAACCGTGGCATTCAATTAAAATTACTCAATACATTTACTAACTGGCCCAGTGGCTAGCTAACTAACATATCTACAACTCGACTGAGCGGACGAACTGGCAACGCTAACTGTCCGACTGGCTAATGCAGCGGCCATTTTGAATGCTCAGGCTCGGAAAGAAGGTCAACGCTGCTTTCAAAGTAACTCCTGTGTTTGTGTTTTTCCACAAAGGAAATGAAGTGACTGATATGCTTCAAAACTAGGTCGTTAAATTCGTGACAATAAGCTGACCACTTTAAAGCTGCTGCAGTTCAGCTTATAGCAGGTTATAGCTAACTAGCTAGCCAATGTCCGTGCTAATTTTAAGCAGCTATTATAGCTGATGTTCCCAAAATACAGTCTATATGACAATATGATAGCTTTAAAGGACAGGGCTGATTATATTCTATATTTTCATATCATTTCATGTCATCAAATCCCACAAAAACACCCAAAACGACAATAAGTTGATCTGTTTAAAGCCTCTGAGCCATAAAGCTCCACTGTCGTCCAAAAACTATTAAAACACACTAGTGAGCCTCACTGTTGCACTGGGTGACATGTTCACCATGAACACACACTGTAGTTCATTCTGACTCAGTCCCACACACACCGTCCTGCTGCCCCAAATACTCACTAGAGCACCACATGTGGATTCATCCACAGCTGAACTTAGTCCCAAACAAATGTACCATTTCCTCCTGTTCGAGTAATGTTTGCTTAAAACTACAGTACAAGAAAAACTATATATCCGTGAGCCATTTTTTTGTTGACTAACAAGTTGTTTGTTTTGGTCTTTCGTGGGATTTGTTAAGAGTAATAAAAATAAAGAATAACACCAGTCTTACACTTTAAAAGTTTGTTTCCTTTAACTTTCCTATTCAAAATGGCCACTATGTGCGACAGTGTGTGTTTTAAAAGTGCTGGGAGTGCTGACGCACAGTAACATTTGTTTCTACACTGAGCTTCCTCAGGGTCAGAGAGTGTGGAAATGATCTAAAAGTCTGTACCTATAAAACACGTCTATATTACACGTCTGCAGTAGCCAAGCAAGTTCAAAGGGGCCCCTTTCCAGCTCTGGGCCCCCTGATTTTTTTCAGGGTTTGTTGTCCCCTGCATAGTGACTGCCACTGTGACAGCTCCACACAGCAGCAACATAACAACAGAGGTTAGATGTGTGACATAAATCGCATAGAACTATGACCCCCCCCCCGTTAGCGTCCAACATAATACACAAAATAAAAAGACAAATTAAGACATTCTTCTTTACAGTACCCTTAATTTAAATTAGCTGTCACACTATGACAGTCCTGGGTGCCCAGCCATATTATTACCAGCATTATTATGATTGATACATTATTATGAAGTCTTGAAATGTTTATTTACACTGGACACTTGCCATATAGTGGGGTAAAATCATTCTGTATTTTCAGCTCATTAGCATCGTTAGCATTTCTCATTACACCTGTACATATTTAGCACTTTCTGAGATAATGTGGCAAGTGTTCAGTGAAGGTCAAAGCAGACCCGAAAATTCAAAACGGCAAGGTCCCTTTACATGCTGTACCTTAAAAATCTGAAAGCCTGAAGAGACTCTGGAGAGAGAGAGAGAGAGAGAGAGAGAGAGAGAGAGAGAGAGAGAGAGAGAGAGAGAGAGAGAGAGAGAGTTGTAAGAACTGACATAAAAAAATACAAATAAAAATGTACACTGAACCGTACCTTTAATCAGCCTGCCCATCTCGAAACACACACACACACGCACACGCACACGCAGACACAGGTTTTTTGGGACTAAGAAGGAGGGCTGGGATTGTCACTGAAGTGTCGGTGAGACTGTCTGATGAAGCAGAGGAAGAGAAAACAATAAGGACCGGGCTTATCTCCCAGAGGACTGGACTGGATTAAAGTGAACCATATCAGACTAAATAGTGATGCTGGACCAGACTGAAGGAGGACAGGAGTAGACTGGACTGGAACAGAAACAGGCTGATAGTGCAACATAATTCATGTTTTACCTGTTAGCTATAAGAAGTGCACCTTTAGGAGCTGCTTGTTAAAAAAGGTGTGTTCATCTTTAAAATCGTCGCAGTACGGATTTGCATTTTTAAGGCCTGTAACACAACATTTAAGACGTAAAAGACGTATGTAAAACATTTTTGGCCGTGGATATACATTTGAAGAGCTTAAGACATTCAGTGATTTATGCTAACCTGCACACATCCGGTTTTAGGCTGAATTTTAATCTCAGAAATCTGATATGTAGTCTGAAGCTGAAATAATCCGTTTATTTACCGTTTATGTGGAACTGCTGTTTACTGGTGCAAATCAACTAAAATGCTCAAAGCGTTTTACTTTGTGCTGACCGGTTAAAACTGGAAAACTCCTCACATCGCCCCCTGCTGTCTGTGTTCAGACTGCAGGGCTGTTTTAAATGATAAATGAGCATGTCGATGTTGTATAATTCCTAAGTAAGATGTCCACAATGAGACACCACTTAAATAATCGAACGTAGCATCGAGGCTAGTTAGCAATGTTTTTACTAATTTATTTGTATACTGTTCCCTTCTTAAGGCTGGATTAAACTGTTTAGGGGGGGCCCTTTGCTTTTGGGCCCCGGAAACCAACCAGCCCAGATTATCATATGGACGCTTGGTCATGACGCCTTTTGCGTTGCTTTTTAACACCCTGGGGATGTTCAGGTCTCTGTTCGGTCAAGTTAGCAACAATACATATGCAACGTCCTGTTAAAACTTTCAAAATAAAACTACTTTTTAACATTGTGAAATGTGGCAGTTTGGTTAAGTTTAAGTAAAGATCATGGTTTGGGTTACTTACTAAGTAATGTTACTTACGGAATTTACATAACCTACGGAGCTTATATAAAAACCAGGGATGCACCGAAACTTCTTGGCCGAAGCCGAAACCAGATGTAATGAAAAGATTGCAGATTTTTTCCATTATGTTTTTTCCATTTATTTTGCTTTTTTTTTTTGCATAAATTAAATAGTCAAAATGTGTTTTTTACTCAGCGTTTCCCACAGGATTTGGAAAGACTATGGTGGGGGGGGTGGGGGTCCGAGGCCCGAGAGGGTCCAGTAAAGTAAATTACATGTGTCCATTTACTTTTAATGGACACATGTAATAAATTTTATACTTTCTGTGAATATAATCCAATTAATCTTATTCATCATCCTGTACAGACACCTTATTTCGAAAACCGGACGTTGTCACATGTGTTTCCTCCTCGTGCTAAATTCATCAAGGTCCGAGCCAGTTTGATAAATAATGTTGTATGTGGTTCTCGTCCGGCGTAACATGAGGACTTCCCAGCCTCTCTTCAGGCAGGACTCTCATACTGCAACACTCGTCTTTGTAAAGAGACAAAGTGAGTCTATAACCTGCCTGTCAGCACGCTCTGGGACCTTTCAGTGGATTTACCATAAAGGCTTGAATACGTGTGCACTCCAGATTTAGGTGCGGCTAGTTTAATCGGCCCGGGCAATCCAGCATTGCTGTTCCTAATTTACTAAATATTATTATTTTCTCTTTTATTTTAACAAGCAAGTAAACAGATACTTTCCCTCCGCTGAATGTACTGAACACCTTAAACATAAACAGCCTGTAAAGAATAAGAAACCGAACCAGATCAGTCGAATCTTCCAGTCCTGTCTAATCCGGCCCAACTGTCGGATCCGCATCGTATCTCTTAGTTCCTTTTTGGTCCAATCCAGTCCAGTAGGATCCTGTCCAGGTTTTAGGGTTCTTCAAACAGCTGGAGGTCCAACCTGACCACAATCTCTCCTGTGGGAACTTCGTGGAGCAGCAACCGCTTCGTGATTGGTCCTTTAGAGCCCTGGTCCTTCTTTATCTCAGCCAACCGGATCTCTGTCCTGCCCAGGAAGTCTGGGGGGAGAAATGTACAATAAAGCCATTTATCCCGACTGGAGAACAGGAAACCTGAAGGGAAATCTTTTAAACCACTGTGTCGTTATTACTGACCGTCAGGCGAGAACTGGTCTCGTTCAAACACAGTGACACAGAGGACGTCCTGTTCCAGGTCCTTTATAAAAAACTGACAATTCGAGTTCCACTTTGGATTCAATGTGTCCTACAAAGAGAGAATTTACAAGTTATAACGTACACATTTTGTGAGAGTGAGATTATAATTTAGATCTTTATTCTTACTGCATAATAAAACAGCCAATAGATGGATCATTTGTTCAGCAGACTCGGACCAGTACAGAAGAATAAAAACAATGTTGGAGTCTGTTCAAAGCTGAATTGGACAGTCAATCAGTATGTATTTTTATGGTTTTAATTATGAAATTAGACCTACAGCCCTTTTCAACTACAAAATAGGTTCTTCTTAATGACCAAAGGCCAATTTATTCTTCTGCGTCGTGTTCGTGACAAAAGGGGCTCAAACTGAGCGGCTCATGTTGGGAGTTGTAGCTGATCGATGTTGAACAGCAGTTATTTTACTGAAATTACTAAATCGCAGAAATGAGAGAAGGCGTCCGAGGAGATGGCATGTACGACCCTTGCACCGCGTTGCGTAGGAGGAAATGCGATGCTACCAAGCCGACCAATCGCAGCTCTTGCGGTCCGCGATTTATAGTTACATTTTTGGAAAGAGGTTCTCGTCACGCCGTGGATTTGATGCAGGAGCGTACATTGGCCTTTAGACTTCCCCTTGATTTGCATGTAACTGCCTATCAAACTTGGGTTACTGTTATTGGTCACAGCAGAATCCCCATCTACCATTATTTCTCTTTTTAGTCTCTAAAGGAGGATCACAGAGTAAGTGAAGGAAGGAAAACTCTCACACATGCATGTTAAACTAATCAAAACCATAGTCATACCTGTAATGTTTTTGTGATATGGCACTGCGAACCCATGGTTACCTCACAGTATGGGTTACTTTTTCCTGGAAATACAGACAGACATTTATCTACTGAGGATGAGAATATTCTACCACATACAAACACTGTCTATTTAAAGACTGCAGCTGAATCACTAGCTGACTGTTACTTTAGCTTTGAGCAGAATGAGCGTCTGAAGCTTTGTACTTTAGGTGCACTTTGTGTCGACTTTATCTCTTTTTCGCATTTCAGTAAGAGGAGTGTGTACGTACCGTGGGAGCGACAGGGTTTGAGCTCGATTCCCTCCACAATGTTGACCATCAGTCGACCAATACCTGTGGCCCTCTGAGAACGCACTGAGACAAAGATTTACAGGGAAATTAGTTTTATTATTTATCATAAGTCATCATAAAGTTTGATCGTGGAAAATCTGTTTGACTATTTAAACATTTATTCAGTTGCCTTTAACAAAACATTCAGGAATGGAGGAAAGAGAGGGAGAGATACCTAGATACGCCTTCTCTCTCTTCTTCTTCTCTGTCTCAATGAAAAGTTCTGAAGCTGCCTTAATTTTCTGAACCCACGCCGTCCTGCATAAACACACAAACACATGCTTTTTAGAGCAACAATCCATCACAAATAGCCATAATTGAGAAAAGACAGGTCGGAAAAACAAAGAGTTGTATTAAAATCTGTGTGTCTGGTTTAGTCTCATGTGTCTTATCTGTGTGTCCGTATTACCTTTCATTGATACTTTCTGCTCGGAGTGTGTAAACTCGGTCTATGTGAGAGATGTGGAACAGAGGCTCATCTCCTGACGGGTCCGTCGGCAGCTTCACTAACACTTCATTTAAGAAGATTGGCTGAAAGAGACAAGAGAGCTCAGTTATTACGAGTTAGTGTGAGTCATGTAGGGGGTACAGATACTTTTACTGTAGGTCCGTTCAAAGTAAGTTTCAATTCAAATGCATCGGCTCACCAAGCTGCAATATCTGCAGTCTTCCAAAACACATATGTAAGATGTTTTCAGCATTTGCTGTCCTTGTATTTAGCTGTATGTCTGTTTCTATCTATCTTTATGTAAATTGTTCTGTGCGTAACATTAAGAGCAACCACAAAAAACTCTAATTCCTCGTTTGTGTTTAAATACTTGGCCAATAAAGCGGATTCTGAAATGCAGCGTCTTCCTTTTAATAAATTTCAAATAACGTTTTAAGCTTGTGTAAGTTCTCAAAATGAACAAAATTGAGAATACGTGCAGTAGATGTCTTCAGCTGGCAGCTGCAAAGCGGTTACAGGGGCTGCAACTTATTCCTTTGCAGCAATTGTGTGCGTCAAAATTACGTCCACAAAAACTGCTTCTTTGTGAGTTGTTGCAGGAAACCCTGGTGGAAACGAGTGCGAGGAGTTTGTTGTGTACGTAAAGAGGAGCTGCTGGTAAGACTTTATTTCCTAATGGTACTCCAACACAACAAACTCCTCTCTCCCACTGTGACTAAAGTTTCCACCGTCATCTACCTGCAACAATTCATCTCTCACGAGATTTCGGAGCGAGAAGTGTCCTCGAACGAGACTTCTGTTTCCTGTTAAAAACAAAGGGTGTCCCTGGGGGTCACTCGTAAGGATTCTTTCCATGATGCTGTCTGACACCTGGTGTAACAGTCTGAGCCTGTCGGTGGCAAAAAATAACAATACATAATAATGTAATTTTAACGGACACAATTGCAGCCACTGCAGCCAGTTTGCAGACGCCAGCTGAAGTCATCTACAGCACGGCCAAAGCGTCTAGTGTGACCGCAGAAAATTGTTTTATTCTTATACTTATAATCTTTTATGCAATTACTTATAAGAGTGCTATTTTCATTTTCATTTGTGAAAATAGAGCCGAGGTTTAAAGATACAGAAATTACTCTTTAAGCACCTGTATGAATGCGCGTCTGTGTATCAGTGTGTGTGTCGTCCTACCGTCTTGTACATGCGGTACTGCAGGTGTGTTTTCGAGGAGAAGACTTTGTCCGAACCTGACGAGCCCAGAGGTTTGGTCACCTGTGAGAGGGACAACGAGAAAGATTTAGAAACAAGAAATAACTTAGAGTGAACCTTGTGGTTGTGCAGAAGAAACACACACAGTCACGTAGACGTAGCCAGAGAAACGCCAGACTCACCTGTGTCAGCAGCAGGAAGTCATTGAACAGGAAGCCGTAGAGCTCTTTGCTGCTCTTGGCTTTAAACAGTTTCCCGCTGTGGAGGAACTTCCTGGGACCCAGACAGTTGGTGACGGAGTTAAACACCAGTTGCTGAAGGATAAAGAAGGAAATGTGTTTCTTTTTTCTACTGACAAAGTAACAGTTTATTCTATAAAACATATCAATTAATGCCCAGAATCCAAAGTGACATATTTAGATGGATAATTTTGTCTGATTAACACGTTTAAATGACTAAAATGCAAGTTTTAATAATTGACTCTGTTCTTGTTATTTTGACGCTGCTGTTCTATTTACCCAGGCGTTAAGGGCATGTATAAGAACATATATACTTAAATTATACATGTATAAATTAAGCTTATCTTATTATGTTGAAGTTGGTCGGATGAGATCAACAGGATGTACGTTGGTGATCTGACTTAAAGCGATCAGTTAGTCACCCTGCATGTGTTTATTATTAAACAGTATGGACAACCAGACACATGGTGGTTAATATATCTATGTTTGTGTAGCTTCGTCGTGTGTGTGTGTGTGTGTGTGTGTGTGTGTGTGTGTGTGTGTGTGTGTGTGTGTTGCAGTTACCTCAGACAGGCCTTCGCACTGGACGTGAGCCTGAATCCACTCCAGACGATCAGAGTTCTCCTTCTCCCTGACGCCCTCATTCACCTAAAAAAAAAAAACACACCGAAAATATACCATCATTATAAAACATATGCTACATTCACATATATACAAACAGAGTTTTGCCTACATATAGTCGGATGTAATGAAAGTAAACAAGAGCTGGTGCAGGAGAGGCAGGAAGCTTAAAGCTTAGATGTCACCTCTTACAACCAGGAAAAATAAACAGAATCACATTGGATAGAATTTATACAGGATAGAAAGTCAAAAAAAAAAAAGAGAAGAATATAAGATACAAAGATAGAAAAAATATTTCTCATTACAGTCGTACAAAGAACAAGATGTTTTATAAGCAAACAAAGATGATGAACAATATGAGTTTAAATTCTACAAAACAGATTTAATTAAATAATTATAATGAGCAGGCCTATAAATATTATTTTAGGAGGTTAAAAAAGAAAATAAGTAACGTTTACTCTGAGAAAATTTTAAATGAGCTACTGTTTACTTTTACTTGAGTAGATTTTTATACCAGTAACTTTACTTGTACTTAAGTAAAAAATCATCATTGCAACGGTATTTTTTCTAAAGTACAATATTTTCGTACTCTTTCCACCTCTGTGTGTGTGTTTACCTGAGAGCACAGCTCCTCTGCTTTCTCCAGAGCAGCTTTCAGATGGCTGTGGTCTGGATGTGACTCTGGAGTATTTTCTATGATCTACAAATCAGTAACGACAGACAGGAAAAATGAGAAGAGGAGGAATCCAAAGTGCACTGGTGGCTTGAATGTTGATGCGAAAGTCTTCATACACCCTTTTAAAATGCGAGTGGGTGAGATGTGTTTGTGTGTCGTACGCACGTTCTTGATGATGAGCGGGTAGCGAGTAACTCTCTGCATAGGTTTGAGCAGGAAGCTGGACAGAGGCATTCCCTTACACCTGGGATCCATGGCTAACCTCTGATCCAGAGAGACAGAAAGACAGAGACAGTATTAGAAAAAAATGTCCAATCAGTGCTTTTTACAATATTTACTGGTGGTTAAAATGAGAACTAGGGTTACTGCTAATGTGCTACGAAGCTGCAGTTTGTTTATCTGTTAAAATCACATTACTGTAAAACTTCAGTTAAAAGCCTAGTCCCAATTAGACGCATGTCCCTTTTACTGGTGTGGCTACACGTTTTGACAAATAAACACAGGTCTCAACCAGAAGCCTGGTCTGTTTTTTATAGAAGTTCTTTGGATTTATAAAACCACCAGATTTACCACCATGATTTGGCAAACAAGAGAGACAAAAAAGAAGTAGTGACTTCCTGCCTTTGATGCATTCAAAGCAAGAATATGTTTCCATTCCTTGATTATTTATATCCCTTTAGTGCGTAAAGGTCCACCGATGAAAAGAATCAAAACGTTTTTTCATTAAAATGAATCCAAGTTGAAATAACTGCAGAAACCTTCAGCTTTCATCCTTTCTAAGGTAGGCTACAGGTATTCTGATATTGATAAGTAAGTAATTAAGTAATATTCATACTGGTTTAAATAAACAATTTGATAGTAACCTATTTCCTTCATTCATTCATTGCTGAGCAAATGTTTTGTGTGAAAGGATTTAAAGGCCTGTTCCAGATATAGGCAGGGTGAGTTCAGTGTTCAGTAATAATAATCGTTATTAATAGAGCACTTTTCAAAAACAAGTTACAAAGTGCTTTAACAAGTGCAAAGGCAATAAAATACATAAAATCAAATACACAATAAAAGCAAGAAAACACTTCAGAGACTAAAAGACACGTTAGAAGTAAATATAAAATATATATAAAGTCAAATAAGATCGGGAAAGGCTCTCCTATAAAAGTATGTTTTAAGAAGGGACTTATAATATGTTGCTTTTAAAGATTAACCTGAGTTTTTATAATGAAATTGCTGTGAAATCTGTCTGTAAGAGCCAATTCACGCTCTCTGCATAAATAGGAACCAACCTTTGGTTCCTCAGATGCTACCCGGAAGAACAGACAGTTTTTGACCACGCACACACACACACACACACACACACACTTACCACAAACACCTACCACACCACTACACAGCCACACACACAAACAGTGTGTGAAACAAATGAAACCAATGGCTTTAACGGCACTTAAGACTTTCATAGATCAAATAAGGTAAAAGTTTGTTAATTCCACAACACATCAGGGGCTTAAAGCTGGGGCTTATCCTCTACACTGTCTTCTTATAAACTAAATATAAACTTCTGTTTCTCGCTCTCCTTACACATACAGAGTGTTTCGTACCTTCAGGAAGTCTTTGATCTCAGGGTTGTCGTCCGTCTTCTGCTGAATCAGAGTGGCTCCGTTCAGCTGACACGAACAGAACCTGAGCGCAGAATTGACCACAGGATTAGACAAGATGCACATTAAACTCAGGCTGTTTGCAGACAGAAATCATCTGACTTCCTGATTGATTAAAGATGGGGTTAAGAGATGACAGACAGAACCTGATGTATGGCTGCATGTGAGGCAGCTGGTTGGTCAGGATGTCACCAATCATCTTCACAGGCATCCGATCACCTGACATCTTCTTCCTCACTCTCAGAGCCCTGCGGGGGAGTATATATATATATATACATATAAAATAGATTTCAGAAAACATCCATGGTTTCCAAAGATGCCAAATATGTCAGTGCCAAATATCAATGACTAAAATTCAAATGAAGCCGCTGACGCTTTGACTTGTGGTTTGCGATGCGTATCAGATCTCTTCATGTTACTTCAGACAAAATCGACTGTTTGCCTGTGTGTGCACGAGTATGTGTGAATGTATTTCTCTTTACTTGAGCAGCTTGATGTTGCACATGATAAGCTCCTTCCAGTTGACAAAGATCATGGCCACTTCCTTCTCCGTCAGCAACTCGCACTCCAGGAGAGGCTTGTGAAAGATCTAAACACAAGCGGAGAAATTACAACATATTTTATCAATACTAATCAAAACACAGGTATTACTACTATGTAACTTGAAAATCAGTTTGCTACTTCACATCTCAGTGGGAAATTCTTGTGGGAGGATGTGTTTGAATGTAAATGTATAAAGGTGCATTCATGCGGTGTCGGAATAATCGGAAAATGTATTTCCCAACTGGGAAAGTTAACGTGAACGCCCCGTGAAGTTGGAACGTCGGAAAGTCGAAGAAAATTTTGGTACGTGAGCTGCCGAGTTGTTGACGTCATACATTTAGAAACATTATGGACAACATATGGTAAGAAACTTTTAATTAATGGTTAGTTGTGGTTTTTGCTAACATGTCATTTGTAATATGGTATTAGGTTATAACGCTTAGTTTGCTGTCCATACAGAGTGACTTAGATTGATTAGAAAAGTTAATTTATTAGCAGTATTTGCAGAACAAGCAATATTTTTTAATTTTCAGGTAATGCACTGGTACAGTAACAACTCTGGGACAAAAGTAATAGAAAGTTTTGAACTGTTTCAGCATACTTGGATAACGATAAATTTTTACTACTTTGTAGTAGCATCCATGTTTCTACATTTCGTCTTAACGGAGACCTATTATGCTTTTCCATATTTTATGACTTATCTACAATGTTACAATGTTGGATGTTCATGTTAAATGTGGCCAAAGCTTAAAATAATGAGGGTAAAGTATTTAAAAGAAATCACTGTGAGCAAAAACCTCAGATTTCCTCCTGTTGTGAACGCTCTGTTTTACGGAGCCAGACGAAGCCGGTTTTCCATAAATGGTCATTTGCTCCACACAGCAACGCTCAGTCTGTCTGTACAGCCTGGTAACATGCTTCAGGGCTTGGCCAATCAGAAGACAGTGGGCTTTTTTTGGGAGGGGGGGGGGGGCTTAAAGAGACAGGAGCATCTACAGCTTGTTTCAGACAGAGGCTGAAATGAAGGCCTACATGAAGAGTCAGTATAAGATAGAGTTATGTTTTTGAGCTTTGAATCATGCAAAGCTACTATACAGGAGTCACAGAACTACAATATAGGACTGGAAAAGCAGCTTAATAGGTCTCCTTTAAAAGGGACATGAACACAAGTCGGAAGAAAGACTTTACAACTCAGGAACTAGGACACCATAATTCTTGCTAAAAAGCTAAAGCTGCCCTCTCACTTCGCACACTGGCAGCTACAAATATGAGCCTGAATTTCCTGATATCCTGTGAACAGCTCACATGAAGCACGTGTTTCCTTTGTAAAAAACAAAAAGAAAAATGGAGAAGAGAACCCATGAATAAAACAGCTTTTTCAGTAACTATTTGTTGGTTGTTGACAAAGTTTGTGTTAGTAATACTGTTGTTTGTGTTTAAGTCATATATGAAATCATATATGAAATCAGTACTTCAAACAAAATAAAGTCAAAAATAGGTTAAAATATTTCATGCTGGTGAAGCGGTTAACAGTCACAAAATAAAAATTATGTATTGCTCATTTTAATACTGTCATAGTGGAAAAGCTTCTGAAATAAAAATCTTGATGATGTGCATCATAGGAAAGCCAGATTCTACTGTTACAGAATCATCTGAGAAATTACATTTCGTCTCAGTGATACGTAATGTATCTACATATTATAAACACTGCTGACCTCTGTGACGAGCTGCAGATCGTTGACGTAGTTCTCCTCAGTGACGATCAGCTCGTGGATGTATCCCTGCCTCTTCCTCTCCATGGGACTCAGCATGTCCAGCAGATGGAGGTCAGCGCACCCTGAAATACAAAAAAATCACACATACAAGCTGTCAATCAAACATCTTGACACATGGACTGAGCAAAAAAAAAAAAAAAAAGATCCCATTATACCTGCATTAACACATTACAAACAAAATACATACCTGAGATCAACAAACAGGCAGTGGGACTGACAGTGGTACACTCTGGAGAAGTGTTGAGTCATTGTGTTGTTGTATATTTAATGAGTTTACATTTGTGTAAGTGCTCAGAGATAAAAAGGGGAAAGTCTACTAAAAGTTAATATGACAGCGGCTCTGTTCATTTAGGTATTGCGGTTCTTGTTAGGTTTTTACCTAAACGAGGACGCTTCCTAATACGTCTTCTGCTTTGACTGTAGAGAGCAGAAACTGTCTGCATGTTGACTGAATATCAAAGTAATTCTACAGATATTTATGACTTTTGTTACCTAAAATAGTTTCAAGCTGACTGCAAATTGAGGAAGAAAAATATTTTTTAAGGCTTTTTAAAATGTTGCTGCCGTGGATTCATTTAATTTCTCTCCAGCAACATTAAACTGAGATGTGATAAGGTTCTGCTGCAGTTATAAGTCCTTCTGGACAACAGTGGTATTCAACAAAGATTTGGTTGTGCTAATTAAAGCTGCATTAATCTCTTTTTGGCCACTCGGAAACAGACAAACTACAGACAGAATTATTATTGCCTTATTAAATGATTTTTTTTTAGCTGAACAAGTTGGTGATAACTTTTATTCATTTGATTCAATGTTATTATATATATTAATAAATGTGGCTTTAAGTGATATCATTCACTATTAAAAAAGCATTGTATTTTAAAAGTTATTTAGGGAAAAGTATTTGTTTAAAAAACTGTAAAATTCAATGTTTTATTCAGAAAATAAAACAGTATGCTTCCTTAGCTTTAAGGCAGATTTCTTGTGCATTACAAATGTGAGTGCGTGTGTGTGTGTGTGTGTGTGTGTGTGTGTGTGAGTGCGTGTGCGTGTGTGTGTGTGTGTGAGAGAGAGAGTAACGAGGCCAGTCGACTGCAAGTCTGTCTCAGAGCGTTTAATCATCAGGACCAGTCAGATTCACCGCTTCATCAAAATCTCCACCAATAAAACCTCAGGACATTGTTACTATCAACGCTATGCTAACATTCTGTACATTTCATTCACTCATTCAAGTATCCTTTTAGTTCCTTTGTGTTTCCATCTGACCATTGACGTCCATAAAATTGCTCATTCATGCTTCATTTTCACTCACTCACTCACACTCATTTATGCGCACACTGACACCAAGTGTGGTTACATTTGGCCTGGCTGTTAATCCATCAGTTGCTATTTATATCCATATGAAGCACCAACCATTACCATTCATTAGATTGAGTATAGATCATACAGAGATTTTTTTATTTTTTAAACAAACCACACTAGACCAGAGCCGTGCTTCAGAGCAGAGTTGTGTTCTGTAAAAAATGGTAAAAGACATAAAAGTTTGTAGCTTGGGCTGCACCATAAATTCATTCTATAAATGCAGAGTATGTGCTGCTCCCATCTGCAAATGATTTAAAGTTAATGCTAACAGGCAGAGATACAATATTAGGAAGTGTGATATCGAACCCAGCTGGTGTGGCGCACGGCTCTGGTCCAGGTGGGTCTTTGTTCTAACCTACAATACTTACTCTGACTGTGAGATGACTCGACCATCGGTTACCAAATTGACAAAAAAAAAAAAACAACGTACTCCCTGACCCTGAAAACCAGGATCTGTTAAAACTAAAATCTGCTCAGATTTCCCAAAACAAACCAATGGACCCAGTTTGTTTAAGAACCGATGGTATTTGACTCATCACCCAATCAGAGACCCTTCACCTGAAATACTGACACACTGAAGAGCCAATGGGATCCAAGCAGGTTAATAATAATAATAACAACAACAACAACAACATCTCTATTGCTTGTTGTATAAAACGTTGTGTAGTTGTTCATTACTCTTTTCATCCATTGTATGTGTTTCTGAGGGTAAACAATAAAATCACAATACTGTTATCTGGATAAACAACAACAAAAAAATAAAATAAAAATCTGATATGGCGAATACTAGTCTGTTGCTATGCGAACAAATAGATGGGCGGTCCTGTTGCTGTCGGACATGGAAACCACAGTCTCTGGTAATATATATATATTATTAAAAAAGTGAGGTTATGCTGTCTGTGTGTACGTTTCTCTACCAGTCTGTCTCTGTCCCTCAACACACACCTGGTAAAATCAGTAATATGATAGGATAAAATACGATATACGATGTTTTAAAGACTTGGAACAGTGCTGCTTAAGATTAACGGCGTTTAATGGGGAACAAACTGTGCTAAAAGTTTAACTGCAGCTACATCATTTGGAGTTATGAACTGAAAGTAATGCAGCTAGAGGTGGAAAAACAGCTACAGTCAGAGTCCAGGATGTTTTCAGTCCGGTGCCTCCGTGTAGATGTTCTTAGTGCGAGTTTACAATTTCACAGTTCACTGTCCCTTCCTTAATATCTTGTAGGGGTGAAATGATTGGTTTGGTACAGTTGGTTTGCGGTACAGTTGGTTTGCTGTGCAGGGTGGGTGGGGGGGGAAGTAAAAAGCCAACTTAAAATCTGCTTCTTCTTCTTTAATACAATGAGCTAAAAGACTACTTTCAAAAGGTGCATCACAGTGTGGAAAATCCAAGGAGGTAGAGCACGAATTACTTAAAAATATCACTAGTTTGTGAAATTGAGCCACAACTAAAAACAGCTGGGCTTTTTAAAAAGGAGTAGTTTGTCATTTTGGGAACTTATTTGCTTTCTTACTGAGTGTGAGATGAGAACATCGACACCACTCTCACATATCTCCCTTAAATATGAAGCTATAGAGCCAGAAGTCAATTATTTTAGCTTAGCAATAAAAGCTGGATGCCAAAATAAAAGCTCACTAATTAACACATTTGATTCTGTTTGTTGTAACAAGTAGAAACAGGAATATAAAACATTTATTTTGTAGTGTTTCGAGGAGTTTAATGCTGGCTTTAGAGGTGTTTTAGAAGAATTTTCACTAAGTTAACTGTTCCTCCAGTTCCTCCAGTTTTATGCTAAGCTAAGCTAATTACCTCCTGGTGCTAGCTTCATATTTAACTGAGACATGAGAGTGGCGTTTATATCCCCATTTAACTCATAAGCAAATTCGCCCAAAAATGTCAAACTACTCTTTTAACTGGAATGATTCAAAGATCTGACAATGGCCGTTTGGACAAATCGTTCCACCCCTACATATTTAGTACCAACTGTGTGTCATGTCACTGTCCACTATCCTGGTGCAGCCGTCAAACAGTGTGGCAGCTACTCATCATCATAGCAACAGACAAAACAATAAACATGTAAACAAAAATAACAACAACAGAACATGAAACGGATCATTTAAAGTTAATACATATTCAGAATGTTAAACTACTACGGATAAAAACGTTATCACTGTGTCTGAGTGTGTGTGTGTGCATACTCTGTACCATGCTGCATTTTGTGTGTGCGAGCGTGTAATTTGGTTAGCTAGTACGCTAAGCAGGTTACAGCATGGCTTTTCATTTTTAACCCTGTGCTACGGGTTCAATTCCAGCTGCTCGCTCCCTTCCGTGCCTCCTTGCCTCTTTCCCTAGCAGAGAAAGACAGGAGGAGAAACGAACATCCACACTACTACGTTTTAAAGTTTTAAAATGAAAACGATCTCCGTCAGCGTTTTAACTGCAACGCACTGTGACTGAAGACGCACAACAAGTGGCCGTTCACATACACTCGGGCACGTGTGTGCCGGTGGTAACAGGAAGCAGATTGTCTACTTCGCAGTTGTAGAAGATTTTCAAATTTCTCCATTTTAGATCTTCGGATTCGCCGTTTCAGTCTGGACGGGTGGCGGAAACGTTGCAAAAGGTTCAAACGTAGCAGTGTGTAACGGACCAACTGGAAAACCATAGAAGGGAGCAGCATCCTGGGTTGAACTCATGTGGGACGTGTCTCAATACTGCCTCATTTCCTCTCCTCTCCAATACATCTCCGTTTGAGGGGTGAAGGGGGAGGGGGGGGTAGAAGGGAAGCAGGAGGAGGAGGAGTCTTTGGCATAGAGGAGGTGAAGAGAGGAGAGTAGACTTTTACATTGAGACTTGTCCTCCGGCAGATAGTGGGTCTTTCTATGAAGCTGTGGGAGGGGGAGGGGTTAGTGGAGGGGGGGGGGGGGGGGGGGGGTGGAGCCAGAGCTTTTGACTGACAGGTGAATGAAGCTGCTGAACCAATGGGAGCCAGGTTAAAAAATAAAAATAAAAAACAGGAGGGAGGGGGGATGAGCTGAGCTACTGATTCGAATGACAGAGTCTCCCATAAAGCCACAAAATGACCCACTATCCACTTTACCACGCTGGGATAGGTGTATGCATACATGTTAGTGTGTGTGTGTGTGTGTGTGTGTGTGTGTGTGTGTGTGTGTGTGTGTGTTTATACAGTCACTGTGATCCAGTCAAAACATGTTCATCAGTCCGATCAGGGTAAAGGAGCTCAATAGTCTCCTCTCCTCCTTTCTTCCTCCCCCTCCTTCTCTAAAACAACCTTCCAACTGATAAAAACAGAAAAGAGAAGAAGAAGAAGAAGAAGAAGAAGAAGAAGAAGGAGAAAAGATGGAGGACAAGAGAAGAAGAGAGTTTGAGAGGAGAGGAGTCCTGACTATTGATCTCCCTCCTGTTAAACAGTGCTGTTTGGAGCCAGAGCCTTAGATAAACAGAGTTTGGCCAAGTCCAGTCAGAGCCATGCATAGACAGAGTTCTCGCCGCCACTGGGCGTTTAAACGTTACAGTCTGTCTGTCTGTCTGTTTGTCTTTCTCTCTCTCTCTGGCTTCTATTGGTGGAGAGTCGCCATTTCCGGGTCATGTGACCTCTTGCTGCTGTCCCATTGGTTGAGTGGCCTAGTGGGTCTCTTTGAGGGCTTTGAGGAGAGGGGGGTTCTGGGTAATGATATGATCCTAGAGAGAGGACGACAACAACAACATCAACAAAAACAACTAAACAAAACAACAACAACAACAGCCAATCGGGTGCTAGGTGGGTGAGCGTGCAGCAAGACAGAGTGTGGAGGTGTGGTCTAACCTGACATAGAAAAAGAGGATCTAGAGCGAGCGGCGTGACGGAGCTTCTGTCTGAAGACAGATTGTTAAAGGAAAGAAATCTGAAAATTCATAATGAGCAGACTGAATATTTAGGAATCATTTAGACTGGAGACAAACTGCTTTTTGAGGCAGATACATATATGAATTTGGAAGTTTAAAAATATGTATTAAGATAAATGACATCTACTGAACAGGATGTTTTAGAGTATCAGTGCTCTCTAGCAGCAAAAACATATAGAGTGGCAACACTTCTTCTTATAACTCTCCTTCCTCAAGCTCAAACTCCCTCTCAGCCAGGCTGTGATGTTAAGTCCAGCTTGAGCCAAGATGACCGGAGTTATAACTTCTCTGACTTGTTAGTCACCATGATTAGCTTAAGCCTACAGCATTTTAACTGCATAAATTAACCTTTTTAACAAGTTACATATTTTATATTGTATTTCTATTTCTTATTTCATGGCCTATTTGGGATTTTTGGGGTAATGCATATAATTATTGTTTTTAAATGAAGCAGTCAGTTCAATAAATGCATGATGTTTTCTAAGTCAATGACTAAAATCATGTTAAATAATTGTGATCTCAATATTGACCAAAATAATTGTGATTATGATTTTTGCCATAGTCAGGCAGTCGTAGTCTGTGATGTAATTTCTTGTTTCCTATTGTCTCGTATATATACAAATACTGATATAACGGACATTAGCCAAAATAAAGGCATTAACTTCCAGTAAATTTACAAGTCTGCGTGCAGATCTTCATCTAACCAGTTCACTATAGCAACTATTCCTTCCTTGCCATATTTAATCTACCATCTATCTGCAGATCTATGCTGTCCAATAAGCAGGTGCAGTACTATTTGTGATCACAAAGTAGATATATTTATATTTAAAAACCAGATGGACTTATTAATGTTGTCATGAGGAGGTCAGGATCATCCACTTTGTTTTTCTACATTACTCAGGCATTTGCTTTCATAGACATGAGCAGATTATTTAAGTGAAAATATTATTTTAATTGATTTAATTAAGAGCTCAGTTCATTTATGACATATCCATATTACTTTAGTTGTACTGTGAAAATAGTTGGTGTCTTACTTTCCTACTTTCTTAAAACCTTCAATAACGAGAAACATGCATTTTGAATTTTAATTTTGTAATGAATGATTGATTATTGGTCACAAATGTGGGCTATGGCCAATTAAGGAAAGGAAATAATTTTATCCTTGTGTCAAAAGCTTCTCTACTATTTACATAATGTTTGCAATTATTTCATCATTATTTCATCAAGTATTTCTTTTTTTTAATCATCCAACCTGGCAAGGGTCACTTTTTTCCCTTATAATTAGATTTTAACAATTTTATTTTGTAAAACAATGACATGACAAGTTTCTATCTTTATGACATGATTCAACTGAAATAAAATAAATTATAAACCCACAGTATTTGCAGGCCTGAACCATAGACTGTATAAAGGAAGTGGGCGTAGCCGCCTTGACGTCACCCGCTGGTTTGTGGACTGCTGTTTTGAAGCCTCGAATTTGGCATTTAGCCATCGCCATATTGTCTTTTTGAGATCCAGAAGTGACCATATTTGGATGACATGGTGAAGCTGGGGAGGGATACGCCTTGCTAAGCTTGACAGGTCGCTGTGGTAGTGAACTGTCACTCACAAGGTAGCCACACACTAAAACATACCCTGCTTTATGGTCTATTTTCCTCTAAATGGAGCCATAATTTACTAAATGAAAATCATGCTGTCTTGAAGAAGACTTAAAACTAGTGACTGAGACCATAAACTCACTAAGAAAGTGTTTACTGAGGTGATAAATCAAGTGAGACGTCGGGTAATTGTTTCATAGACTTCTATACAAACTGCTGGCCGTTCTAAAGAATGCAGCTTTAAGGGTCTTCTTCACTGGTTTCACTCCTCAAACCAGGAATTCACGCTTGGCCTGAACCCTTCCTCTCGTTCAGCCGGTCCTCATATGTCCAAGTAGGTCTTAAATTCAGTAATTGGTATGTTTTTATTATTTTTATTGTTTTACAAAGAAGCATTTTGTCTCAGTAGAGCTAAAAAAACAAAACAAAAAAACACTAGTCTGCTGTTCAACTAGTTAAAGCGTTGCGTTCAGTGCAGGTTTACTGCCAGTGTGTCTTTGCTCAGCTCTAGAAACTCTAAGTCTATGGTGGATCATGCTGAAGGGACACATGCAGGAAGAGAGGAAACACTTTTTCACTAATGCGCACAAATATACATACACATGCATGCACATACACACCATACAAACACACAAACACCGCCCAGAGGTGTTGCATGACTGGGAGGTTTTCAAAGAGGCCCAAAGGAGTGTCAAGGTGAAAGGTCAAAGGTCCGGGGGTCAAACACTGAGAGAGGGACAGCATCTCCACACCTGGCTCTGGGGTGTGTGTGTGTGTGTGTGTGTGTATGTGTGTGTGTGTGTGTGAGGGGGAGAGACAGTGTTTATTTAAGTGCGACTGTGTGTGGGTGTTACACGACTTTGTATTCACATTGGGAGGATGTTAATATGTTAATTTTAGTATATTGTTTATGTGTTCTGTGATTCATGTGAGAGTATATTTGTGTGTGTGTGTTTGCGCGTACTCACACTGCGTGCTCGGGTCAGTATCCGTGGTGAGTTTGACGTAGTTGCTGGGAAACAGACCCTCCCTCCCGTTGAGCTCTCCTTTCCACCAATCACAGTCGTCCTTGCTGAGCACTGTGATCACCTGACCCTTCAGGAAGGCCAGCTCGTCGTCATTCTGGGCCACGTAGTCGTACATGCCGATCACCTGACACACAGCTTCAGGACCAGAGACGGACACGATGTCAACAGAGACAATTTCCTCTTTTATTATGAACCTGGTTAAGAATCTGGTTTGATGTATTTGTTTTTGTAAAGGCACTGTACGTGTATTTATTTGTGAGCGTACCTGTGCTGGCAGGAGCCAGTTTAGGAGGGGTGGGCTCCGTGGGCGTCGTCTTGCTGGTGCTGGGACTGAGCAGCTTCACATAGTTGGCCGGAAACCAACCTATCTGGCGCTTTTTCCCCCGCGCCTGAACCAATCAGAACACAGCATGTCATCATTCATAAATTGCAACCAGAGTCTGCAGGTCCTCACATTATGCAAACCACATCATTATTCACATCATAGTGGAGTAGGATTACATACGACATTCAATGTAGAGGAAAATATATACATGTATTGAAATATGATCCAAATTAAACTACAATTGAATAATTAGCTATTACTTAATTTAAAGAGCAACTAAATGTCCTCAAAAGTCAAAACAGTTATGAGTCTCTATGTATGTTTGTTGCAACTGATGTTTAGTATAATTTAATTGCATTAGGACATTTTTGCAGAGTCATCAGTTTAGGAAAATCTCCATTTTTCCTCTACGTTATCATTTCTTTTTATGCAAGGTCAACATCATGAACATTTCTTTGCATATATTAAGAGTTTGTGCTTGTGTACCTGGAGCTCACCCTCCCACCAGCCCCCTGGATTCTTTTTTCTGATGAGGATGAGCTGTCCTGGAGCTAACGTCAGCTGCTCTGCTCCTGTAGCACTGTAGGGGGCGATCACCTGAGCGATCTCTGAAGGAAACGCACAGGAAGAAGACAAGATGGTTAGTAAGTAGTTCAGCTCCTGGAATCTGAAGGTAGTTTTGATGTTTGATATTTTATTAAGTCAGCCAGGTCCAATTTCAGATTACGTGTTTAATGAACTGAAACAACTACTGACTTTAGCTGGAAATTAGTATTTGACTGAAAGTCTGCAAAAAGGTCAGAAAGAGCAGAGAAGGCGACAGCAGCTGTAATGGAGCAATATTATAGAGTAACTGAAAGCTTACCTGGTTTCTTTCCCAGACTGCCCGTCTTCCCTGCTGGTCCCAAAGACTAGAAACAGAGATAAAGTATAAATAAAAATAATGACAAATATGTTCCTTCCTATGTAAATATCTCAAAGTCACACCCACAGTTGTGGTCCATCCTCGTACGCCTGAGCCGAATCTCACCTCTGAGGCTGAGTCTCGTGGTTTGACATAATTGGAAGGGAAGACTCCGGTCTTGCCCCCGACCATACCCGTCCACCAATCCCCTTCTTTCCTGGTCACCATGACAATATCTCCCTGCTGGAAACTCAGGTCCCCCTGTTCGCTGCTCTCGTAGGTGTACATGGCCACGTACTCTGTTCAGACGCACGTGGACAGAGTCAGTGACAATTACCCCCTCCGACCCAGGCCAAGAAATTCACATTTACACTGCGTGTGTTACCTTCTCCAGACTCCGAAGGTTTCGTTGGGGAAGGGGAGGGGCGTTTTCCATTGGGTGGGCTCTCTGACACAGATTCACTAGATGAGAGAAGGAAGAGAAAAATATTCTATAAACTGTATATGTTTAATTTAACAAAAGTTTAGTATGAAGAGAAAAAACAAATGTAATCAAATGGTCACTATTAGAAGGATCTTTGGTAGCCCAACTTCTTTAAAAAGGTGATTTTATCACTCCACGATCAAACGACTAAAAACTATTTACGATGATTTCACTTTTCCTAGCTGACCCAGAGCCTGACAACAAGCACATCATCAGTCCAATCACCTCTGGTGTTGAGTCTAGAAGGCCCTGTCTAAAGATCTGCAGCTGCACAAGAAGTGCGACCTTGTGAGCTGAAAGTAAAATCCTAAAACTTCTAAAGTCAGCCAGTGGGGCGAAGCTAAAGTAATATGATTATGATGTCTTACTGATTGGTCTGAAACTTGAAGAAAGATGGTCCATTGTGACAAATGTAACATTTGAACCTACCTGGTGTTTTTGCTGCGTGGTGTGGCGCCAGGCGGGGGCGTCATGGTGGCGGAGATGAGCTTGACATAACTTTTGGGGAACCAGCCTCTCTGTCCGGTCTGCAGTTCACCTAACCACCACATGTCCTGCTGCTCCAACACTGTTATTATCTGCATTAATGACAACAGCAATACTATTAATTTTAGCCAGTTAAACTAAATATCCCAAAAACAAGCAAATGCCTATTTAAAACAGAAGAGAGATGCTGACTGACACAGATACAAGAGTCACAAAAAAGTGTAATGTTCAGTATCTATATGGGGGAATCTACCTCGTTTTTGTTGAAGTTGAGGTGGTTGTCCTTCTTCGCTCTCCAGGGATACAAGGCCTGAGCTTGAAGACCTTCAACCTTCTCCCCCTGACAAACAGAGAATTAGTACTAATCAATCACAAACACAGCAGCAACTGATTTATCTTATGTTAGGAAGAACTGTGTTCGCTAGGAAGAGGGTTTTATTTTGCAAACTCAATCTTGGGAAATTACTTTGAGAACAATTAATCCAATTTAAGTCCCGAACTAAACGTCATCACAGCTTCGTTATGTTCCTACCTGTCCCAGCACAGGAGACGGAGAGGAGCCCGTCGTCATCGTAGCAGGTGTGAAGGCGGAGCGCTGTCGTAGCTGCGCCGAGGGGACACTGAGCGAAGGATTCTGACTCGTTGAAGAGGTCGGCCATGCGTCCCACCCCTCGCTGTCTGATTGATTGGCTGTGTTGGACGGCCAGCTAGAAATATACGCAGACGCAACACATATATCAGGAGTACTACTGTAGGTGTGTGGTTGAAAACTTAAAAAAGCAGCTTGGTTCTGATCATATTGACACCATTAGTACTTACGTGGTGCTAAAGTCGGCCCAGTTACTGTTGGCGGAGGAGGTGGAGGAGGAGGACTGTCCGGGTGCTGGGGGAGGCGTGGATATTGGCTGTTGGGCTGAGTTGGGTGTAGCTGAGGCTGTTGCACGCAAGCTGATTGGTGCTTCGCTGTCGGGTATCCGCTCAGCGTAATTGGCTGGAAACCAACCAGTTCGCCCCCTGAGCTCTCCTCCCAGCCAACCGGGTTCACCTGTTTGAGATTCATCCACCTATGAGAGCAGAGGGGTGGGATTAAGATACAGCTGAGGCATGCAATCTCACACAGGGATACCAATTCACTGAGATGTGTGTGTGTTTAGATTTGTGGCAGAAATGAGCTGCGGTGTAAACAACAATAGCCACAACAGGAGTGGCAGCTGTTCAGAGTTAAATTCCAGGAAGCAGAATTACCAAATTAGTAGAGGTGGGGAAAAAAATAACATAAATCGATACAGCATATTATCGCGATATTTTCAGTGGCAATATTGTATCGTTACACGTTAAGTATCGAGCTTTTATTATAGAAACTGTACATGAGAAGTTTACTTTTTGGTACTATAATAATAAAATCAATTGCTTTTCAATCCACAAGAAAAAGAGTTTTCCTTTGGGGACACAATTTGAAGTTGGAAAAAAGGTAATAAATTGCACTATATTGCAATATGTTTAAAAACGCAATAATATGATAACTTGACATTTTCAACTGTTAATGTTGTGTTCTGGTTCCAGTGAATGTCTATTATGCCAACCAGGCCCTTATAATGAGCGAGGATGTTTTCAATTATCTATCTAACTCAATAATTCTGCTTCTATAAATAAAATATTTCCTTTATTTTCGTTTCTTCTAGTCCACCATGTTGTTGTCCATTAAGTTTTTTGTTGGGGTACATTCAGTGTGTTCTGAATGTAAATCTGCCATGAATGTGGGATGTAATGTGTTGTAATGGGGCTGTCGTCTCTTTTCTTATTGATGTGGAATGAAGTTTATTTAGCCTTTATTTATTCAGAGAGGTCTTAACTGTAACATTTAATAGCTTAACGCTCACAGTTAACACATTCACAACAACTGTGAAAACAAAAACAAGCATTACAACATTTACAGATCGGATTAGAATGACGAAGCCAAAGACATTCATCCACTGGCAAAAGAACAAAAATGGAGATGGCATGAGGTGGACCAATGACAGCAAAAGTTCGAATGCTTGTGATTGGTGGAGGCACAAGAACTTACCCATTCCCCTTTCACCTTCAGTTTGCACAGCAGAGGAGAGAGGAGACAGTTAATACACACCACACCACACAGTCATTCACACGCACAGACCTCACATACACACTACAGAGGGGAGTCAAAGAGAAAAAGACACACATACATAAACACACACAGGAGGCAATAAAATATCTGTTCACCCAACAGGTATACACACATATTACTTATGTAGCAAGGTGGATAGCTGAAGTATATGGGTACAGAGTTTGTCTGCATACTACATACCATCAGTACATCTCCGGGAGCAATGCTGATCTCATCGTGGCTACGAGCATCAAATGGATATACAGCCCTGTAGTAGACCACTTTCACTGGCGGCTGCTGTTGGTCGAAGCTACTGACTGGTGTCTTTTGGTCGAAGCCGCCGACTGGTGCCTTCGGGTCGAAGCCGCCGACTGGTGCCTTCGGGTCAAACAAACTGGGTCCCGGAGCCTTCTGGTCAAACAAACTGGGTCCCGGAGCCTTTTCCGCTGTAAATAAACAGAAATAAATGTCACAGACTAGAATCCACCATTACTGATTCAATTTAGGTTTTCGCAGTTGCAACTGTTAACACAAACTCAACAAATCCCTGTGAATTCAGCGCTCCTTTTTACTAATCACCGGAACTTTTCTGCAAATCTGACCCATCATCGCCATTTCCTACAAAACGTCAGCTTGTCACTTCCTTGTTATCAAGACGCAGCAGACACGTGTGATACCAACGTCTCACATTTGCCTACAAAAATAACAGCAATAAAAGATCGTGGAAAAAAAGGATCCAGATCTTCTTTACCAAAGCGGGCGTAAACCGTTTTGCAAAATGTATTGTGGTCATAAAAGGAAATTGACTGACAGACAAGAATGAAGAATGGCAGAAACGCTTGGAGGACTGTTGCATCCTGGTCAATTGTAAGCGCTGAAAGAATCAACGGAAGTTGGTTTAAATATACAGGGTTAAAGGTAATGTTAATGTAGTTTAGTGTGATTTAAGAACAAAGTTTAAGAATAAAAAAGTCTAGTGTTTAAACATTGAGAAAACTTTTTAAAAAGTATCAATTATTTTCATTCAACTATAATTTTTTTTTAAAATCACATTATTCCCACAATTGTATACAAATTTTTAGAAAAGCTGCCAAAAAAAATCTGGCATTTTAAGCTGTAACAATCCTGCGAAATTCTGGAGGGACTGAAAACGATCTGCTTCTCCAAGAACATGTGCGTTTCGGTGAAGCAGGCTTTGTATTTGTGTCCAAAACCTCATAGTGCCTAAAAGAAAGAACTTAACGCCGCTTGTAGTTTTTAACAATTAAATAAAAATGTTCAGCAAGTTTAGAGGCAAGTCTACTGCAGTTTATGGATTAAAGATTTATCCACCCACGCCAATCACCTGCCCTTTAGAAGCAGTGCAGGAGCTTTACCTTTAAAATCCTACTCTACATGCTAGAAACTCTTTAGTTAAGTGAATAATTTTGCCACTGGTGCTCTCCGTCACGCAGCCATAACACACCTGTTGAAGCCCAGGGGTCGGTTGGCTGACTGAACAGCTTGTTCAGTTTCTCGTGCATGTCCTTCTTGCCTCTACCCTCATCCTCATTCTCTTCTACAGATCCTGCTCCCTTCCGGCCCCCTTCCTCCTCCTCCTCCTCCTCCATCCCTCTCCTCTTCCTCTCCTCCTCTTCCTGAGTCACTCTGTTTAGCCACACATGGGGCGCTGAGACAGATGGGGGGCTAGGAGCTATGGGGGCCGAGCTTCCTGCTTCATCCCTCCATGCCACGCCCTCTTCTGAAGACAACCTGCGGGGTGAGAGGTATCTTAAATGATTCATCACAGATAACCCTTATTTTCATTGTTTATTATTCAAGACCTCTGCAATTCTCAAGTACATTTCATTATTACCTGCTCTCCTGCAGTTCGGCAGACTTTCTCTCGATCGGCGTGTGCATGTGCGAGTGTGTGTGTGTCAGTGTGTGTGTGTCTCCTTCCAGCTCCCTCTGTTTCTGTCTCTGCTGCCGGCTGTGGATCTCCCTCAGCTCCTGCAAGGCATCATGGGATAGAGGAAGGAACAGCGGTGAGGAGGAAGTGGGATCAGAGGGCTGGTTGCTACGGGTTACCATCGACGGCAAACGAGAACGACAGCAGCAGCAGCAGTATGTATTAGTCAGGTGATCAAGGCAAGCTCCGCCCCTTCCACTGCGTCACTGAGGCGATGAAACGACCCTGTTGCTTAATGATGGCAATTATTGAATTGAATGTTTATTTTTTGACAACGTTGAGGAGCAGCTCATTGTTTCTGAAGTCGAAACAGGACTCCTAGTTGATGCTTTGCAGCAGACGACACAGATAAGATCCGCCACATCTGTCCTGAAGTTCACTGACCAGCGCAAAAGATCAGCAGTAAACAGAGACGGGGGACAGAGATTATTTGTCTACGCTGTACATGCGACACCTTGTGTTTCTTCCTTTTGAACTTCCATAAAATTAGCGTTTTTCTTTATCCGAATCAAGGCCCTAAGGGTAGAGGCTGCTGTGTGCTGTTCAGACTGTAAAGCTTTGAGGCAAAATTAAGATTTGTGATTAAGGCTATATGAAAAATATAAAAATGATGATAATGGGATTTTTTTCCTGGAGTCTTTACCAATTATGCGTGTTCCCTTATGACTGGAGAGTACGATTTGTAGGCCAGGGCATCTCTGCAGCATACACTGCATTCACCAAAGAAAAAAAACATTTAGACACCGTCTCTCATAATTACTAGAAAAGAGGTCATAATTAGGAGAGCAGGAATTTGTAATCGCGAGATGAATATTAGTCTGTCAATATTGTAGTATCAGCTGTTATCTATAAACCTTCTATGAGTCTTCTAGCAACGACATGTCCGTTAACTTCCTGCGGCTGTGCAGAGGTCCTACTGAGCAAAGCAGTGGAACCTTTCCAGTTGTCTCGTAATTACGGCATCCTGATATCACAATAATGGGATCTTTTCTTGTAATTATGATATGTTTACTCATAATTACAAGATAAAGTGGCCACTATTTTTTTTTTCTTTGGAGAATGCTATCTGCTTCTATAGCAGCACCAAAACGCTTCATTTATAATGGTATGTTGTGACACATTTTACCTTTATCAAAACATTGCAGCTCCTGTGATTTGGATAATCCAAATCTCAATAGCATTTCATTGTTCAGCCCTTCTGTCAGACTGCAGCGGGTGGCCAATGAGTGACAAGGGATAAAGAAAATTCACGTGCCTCTTTATTTACTTTCTATAGACCCTAGTCAGTCACCTCCTCGTCTCTTTTGTGTTCAGTACAGCTTATGTTTTTCTGTTTAAACAGGGTTGTGACAGTGGATTGAGAACTTCTTTTGTTGTTGTGCTAGTAAGCAATGATGGATATCAATGTGATCCCAACGACCGCAGCAACTAACTGGCAAACAAACTCCAAAATGGATGTATGCATGTGCCAATCACGTCGTCTAGGCAGGATAACTTGGTTGTAGAAAGAGAAAATAAACTCATGTGGTTTGGCTGGTGTGAGAGATAAGAAATCAAAAAAAAAAAGCAAACAATTAAAAGGTGAAAAGCCTGATTATTTGTAACGCATTAGAACTAACAAATAGGTATACGGGTAAATAACCTGTTTTTATTTTCTATTTGACTGTTTAAGGTTCAGTGTGTAAGTTTTAGTGGCATCTAGTGGTGAGGGTTGCGAATTGCAACAAACGGCTCACTGTGCATTCACTTGCTCCTCAGACAAAATAAGTACTTTATAATAAATGTATTAATTCTAATGGAAACTGTAAATTCCTAACTGTATTTTTTCTCCATGAGGTTGTGCATTACATCAATATAATTTCTAAATCCAACAGAAAGGCTGTGAAAACTGTCAACATATGGTTCTCTTTTAATATCTTTATATAAAATAGACTACTCCTGGCATTATTTTATTATTTGTGTCTTCTTATATATTTGTATACTATTCTGTATACTTCTTTATGTTCCATAACCACTTTCTCTTTTTACAATAAAGATTTAAGGCGGAAAAGAAAAATCAGATTAGTCCGACACCACATGAATGCACCATCAGTCACCGCTCACCCCTCCCTTTCCAAGCGCATAGTATAAGCTTTGGTGGGCGACGCGCTCTGCCGACCCTTGTGCTAAATTTGTCCAAATTTCACTTCTCTTCTTACTTCTAGCAAACCAGTCGACTACTACACCTGCGGTGTAAGTAGATAGAAATTAGCTTATTCTAAGGTAACAAAAACATATAGATCCTCTTAAATATTACACACCGAACCTATAAATGTATAATTATTTTTTTTTTTACATTTTCCTATGTTGCTTTTGTGTTTTATGTAAAGCACTTTGAATTATCTTGTTGCTGAAATGTGCTATACATAGAAACTTGCCTTGCAAATTCATTGGCATGTTTAGCGGACCAAAGTGCACCTTATATACTCAAGTTTAGGGACTGTTGGACATTAAGTCATATCTAAAATGTTTTGAAATATCAGTGGGAGGGAGCATTGTTACTACTAAAGGTTGGCGCTGACCCAGCCCAAGACAAAGGGCTCCGGTCATGGCGATGGGGCGGAGCTTGCACAAGGCACAGTATGTTTGTGGGAGGGGTTAGATATGAGCAAAAAAACGGTGGGGTAGTGGAAATGGGGAAATAAGGGGATGCGGTGGGAGTAGTTCTGTGTAGTCTGACAACCAGCTGTGCCATTAAAACACACTCTGTTATTACAACAACACAAGGCAGCTGTCGTGTTTCAGCCAAACAACCAACTTGAGGAAACCTTCAAGCAGACCAATCATAAAGAAGGGACTGACGGAGGAGCAAAACTACAACTCTGAAGAGAGAGAGAGAACTCCAAATCACCTGAAACAGGAAGTGGAGGACATGAGACGACACAGCATGCCAAACATACACTCCTACACGCACAGACACAGACACCCAAATAAAGTAAAGCTTACTCAGAAGCTAGTTTATCAGCTTTATAGCCTAATAAAGGTCAACTAGCTTCTATTTGTCTGGCTGAAACATCATCTGGTAGCACACAGGCTGTTGCTTTATAGGACAGTGTTTTGATTTAGTAAGGTAGCCTAGCATAACGTCACCTAATCTAGCACACCTGCTAACCTAGCAAGACCGCTAGTTTAGCATGACTGCATACAGAGCATAGCATAGTTAGCCAGAAGTGAGCTAACACCAGCTTGGCAAAGAGAAGACCGGTCACTAAAGAGGAGGACGGAAATGTGTAGGGGAGAAGAGAGGGATCGTAAGAAGACGGTAAAAGAGGAAGATAACAAGTGGAAAGGAACAAAACATTAAGTGAAGAGAAGGTGATTCGAGAAACAGATGACAGAAAGGATGAAGAACAGGAAAGATGAAAAGAAGAGTGAGAAAGAGAGAAGGGGCACGATGGTGGGTTTGTTGTGTGGACCTTTATAACGTAGTCTAGCCGAGCCAGACACACCCTGACGGCTGACACACACTCCTGTAGCTGTCCCTGCTCCTGGCACTGAAACAACACATATACATATATGTATATATACACACAGACACACACACACACACACAGAGGATCAACCACTCTATAGACACAGACACACACACACACAGACAGTTAAAGTTTCAGTCCACATTTACACACTTTATCCAATGAAAGGTGTTAAAGTGAACTTATTTTTCAGCAGTAATTTGAAGCTCTCTGAAAAATCTGACACTTTAAATCCTCTTGGTGGTGTTTTTTGTTAATTACGCCTCATTTACTTTATATATAATTCAGCTATAATTTACAATTTGCACATCAATTTATAAAATATCCAAGAGCTTACCTCTTATGTGGAAATGTTACATTTGCTTTCAGTATGTCAATTTATTTTAAACTGTTCTAGTACCCGGAAAAAATATTTTAATCCCTGACGCGAGCCTAATGATTTTCTTTCAGTAGAGATTAAACAAAAGCACAATAAGGCCTTGACTCATGCAAGGAGAGGCTCCTTTGACTCACTATGATGAGTAATGTGCTGTTGCAACCTAATGTGAAGCCAGTGTTACAAAACAGGCTGAAGTTAGCAAGTTGTCATCTTATTTAGTGCAGAAAGCCTGAACAGATTATTTAACTGAGCTATCTGCATTAGATAGGAGATATTAGTTGAGTGTTTTTGGTATTTACAAGGTTGGTAATGAGGCCAACACTGTTTACTGTCTATATTTACTCTGGTTCTGGCAACAAACTCCAAGTAAATGTGCTTATTTTCTTACTCCACACTAATTTGTTAACTCTGTAATCTGGTAACTAAATACATCTGGAGTAAGTATTTCCCCCCCTTTAACGTTTACCTTTTGCTCATTCCATCTAGTTTTTAATGAGTCATAAATGCTAACGAGTTTCGCTAACAGGGTATTTATTTGCTCTGGATTCGTGTGTATTGCGTGTGTCCTTGTCAGAGGTGTTACTGACTTTGAGTTGTGAGATTAGAAAAAAGAACAGCACACCAGAATCAGTACATGAGTATGTGAGTGTTGGTGCTTGTCAGTAGTCAAACCATTCACAGCTTAACAGTTACAGTCAACTTGCTTCAATACATTTAGCTGCTTTGCAGGGGCATCACAGTGCACTACGCATGTTAAACAGGAGTGTCTGCACAAACCACACATTTTAAATGTCTGGTTTGTAGGTGTTAAAGACGGCAAAGCCTTCTAAAGTGACTAGAATACTTGAGCTTGCAAGTTAGTAGTCTGATAAGAGGGTGTGCTATGTTTTACTTTCTCAAATAATCTGTCCAATCCAAATGCAAAAACTGCTCTATGTTCCAGATCTGCCATAAGAGGCCATGTGTTCATCATATGATTTGATATTATTACAGAGTATATCACAGCTGCAGTACCACCCCAGTCCAGCAGCGGCAGTGTGCTCTACCTGTCTCCCTCTATGTTCCTCCTGAAGCTGGCGTCGCAGGGCTTCTATCCTGGCACAGTGGTTGGCATAGAACTCACACAGAGACTGGCATTGGCAAGGGAGCAAATGGCCAATGTAGGAGATAAATAAAAAGGAGTAGAAAATATAGAAGGAAGGGTTTATTATGTGGATTAAACAAAGAATATAATAGGATGAAAATGAAGGCAGGAGGTCAAGAAATACAAGGTGAAGAAGCAGGAAAGAAACACAGATTAGGAGGAGGACAGCGTAGAGTAGAATCAGGAGGAGTCCCAGTGGGTAAAGAGGACAGAAGAGGCACAGCAGTGTGACGAAAGAAGATTTTGGGGAGAGGAAGTGGTGTGGAAAGGAAGGCGGACGGCAGTATAGTCAAACATCGTTCACATCTCAGCGTTCTATGCCTCTGTTTAGACAGGACTGCACTTTACTCTGGAGAAAACTGATATCCAACACTGCTGTTTTTGTTCGCTGCTCAACGGCATTGCACCACTTTCTCAAATCACTGTGTTGTGTTGACTGTACTGAGTAACCCTGAGAACCAACTTCATTAGATTAGCCACTAGAAAATCTATTTATTGTGGTCTGTGTTTGTCTCTGCTTTCCTCCCTCCCCCCCTCTTCCCTCTCATTCTCCTCTGCTCTTCGTTGGAACAGACCACAGGACTAATTCTCCTCTCTTTGACCTGACTCCGTGTTCTGGGGAAATGAGGAAAGACAAAAAAAAAACAACACATGGACAAAAGGCGATGGAGGAAACGTGAAGAGACTGCTGTGCTCCAACCCTTTAGATATAATCCCTCCATCTTTCTCTCTCAAATTGTTGGTACATGAAGCAGCTCTCTGAGAAACCACTCATTGTTCCTGTGCACAGCTAGCTCTCTCCCAAAACACAGCAATACACATAGAAACACACCGACGTAAATACAAACACAGAGGTCAGATATAAAAATGAAAACACGTCAGTAAACATGAACATTGTGATTGTAACTAGTGTGAGGATGCAGTTCTGAGGGACAAGACAGTCACAGCACCAATCCAGTGTTTTGAACATGGACAATAATTCATCTGGCAAAACAAATTACTGGGTTAGCAAGCTAGTTAATTAGTTAATTGAGTATTTAGTAGAGAAGATTTATTTTGATTAATAAAACACTACAGCAATATATCAAACTTAATAGCAAATCACTATTATTAAACTGATTAGCAAATGTCACTACTTCATTTTCATGTTACTTGAACATTAAACTGCTCCTGTTTATCAAATGTTGTTGATGTTGGATAACATGTTATAATATATATATTTTTTTAATACTTTCAGTATCAAGTTAAGCCCCTCCATCAGATTTTACTGAGGATAAAAACATGACAGCTCACATAGAGGTCACTTTTAGCAAAACTTGGATGAAACAAATTATAATCCTCCTACTTCCATAAAATGTAAAGCAAGCAAATTATCATATTTTTCAGGTTTATTGTTGTACTGTAGTTTATTTCGGCACACATGTGATGTGTCATGACCACATGTACTAGTAGCTAACATTAATCACTCCACAGCATCTGGCTGTACTAATTTAGTTTGTTAACAATTTAGTTCATTAAAGGGTAATTTCTGTATTTTTAAACTGACAGGCTCAGACTGCAGCATGGAAATGATCCTTGTGACTCAACAAGAAACTTAAGTGTCACTCAAGGATAAATCTCGCTCCAGAGGCGAGTTGTTGGTGGAGTCAGACTTGGAGAGAGGAGTTTATTAAGAGGAACTGCAGCAAGACTTCTCTCTCCAACTCTGATCACATTTCCACCGGCGTCTTCCTGCAACAACTTCTTTTTGCCACTGACAGGCTCAGACTATTATACATCAAGGAAAGGATCCCTACGAATAACACCCCTTTATTTTTAACCAGAAGTCTCGATCAAAGACAAATCTCGCTCTGAAATCTTGTGAGAGGTGAGTTGTTGCAGGAAGACACAGTTCCTCTTAATCAACTCCTCACCAACTCTGACTCCACCAATGTCTTCCTGCAACAACTCACAAGATTTCAGAGTGAGTTTTCTTGAGGTTTCTGGTTCTGGTTCCTCTTAGGGAAACTTTCCACGATGTGTCTGAGCTTGTCAGAGGCAAGAAGAGGCACTTTTTGGGGACGTTAATTTGACGGGCACAATTGCCCAAAAGGTAAATGTTGCGGCTGCTGGCTAAAGCCATCTACTGCACGAAGTTTAGGAATTTTTGTACCCACTTGTCATTTTGACCCCAAAATATTTGAAAATAGGGCCCAGGTTTAAAAATATATAAAAATCACCCTTCAAGTCAATAATGCAGTTAGTAAATTAAGTATTTACTTTTCCAAAAGCACAGACCTGACCAGTGCCTCGTGTCCTGTTTTAATGTGTTAGTTAAATAGATGTTTACCTTCAGCTGTGTGTTGAAAGCATCAATTTCCAGCAGTTTGGCCCTCGTCTCTCTCTCCACAGCATCTAGCTGTTCTCTGAGCTGCTGTCTGCTGCTCTCCTTCTGCTCCACAGCCTTCTGCAGGGACGACAGACTATCACCTAAATACACAAACACACAGACAGGCAGAGTGAGATCAGGTTAGGTTAATTTAGTCACTGAGACAATTATGTGTCTTTATTGAGTTAGTGACAGAGGAATATTGCGGTAACCAGAGAGTCAGCTAACCAGATCCCTCTGCTTTCTCGGGATTTAAAAATATATCACACATATCTCACAAGTAGGAACTAATCAATTTAATGTGAAAATAATTTCACATTAAATTCATATATTAAAAGTTGTAGTTACTGTGAATCGTTCCAACAACTTGACAGAAAGCATATATATCAAAATACTTGATTAAACTCACCCCACACTACATGAAATTTATTATTATTGTTGTAGAAACAAGGCTCAAACAAAAGTTGCACAACCACCCTAAACCATGATGCAAGTGCTCCCATAAAGCCAATCGAGGAGAGAACGCTTTCTAACGTCATAGCAAGAATCTGCACATGTGATGTTTGTATTTAAGTGTGTTTAGTTTATGTAGCACTCACGATGCAGACTGTTCTGTTGAACCTGTTTCAGCTGGTCGTTGAGACTCTGTTTATCAGGAATTAGCCTCCCCAACCACTGCTGGGAGTCCTGCAAACAACCATGAAGTCAAATCAAGAAAAACAGAAAATATACTGTTGTACTACATGAACACACACTACAGTTTCTAAGAATGTGTCAGATGTTGAAATTAATACGACACCGGTCTGTCTCATAAATGTGTTTATTTGCATATGTTGATATTTGTTTTCTGTACCTGCAGCTGCTGTTGTAGCAAGGTGATTTCAGCAATGCGTGTTTCTCTGGTCTGATTAGTCTGCTCCACCTCTCTCCGCTGAGCCGTCAGACGAAACCGAACATCCTTCAGTTTGCCCTCCAACTGGGACTTTTTATCATTCTACAGATTGGGACAGATAGTTGGAAAGGAATATACCATTAAGTTTCTGCCAATGTACGAAGGATAAGTCACAGAAAGAACAAGTTGACATCTGTTATGTTCTTCCTGTTGGCATTAGTTGATTGCTTTTCGTTTATCTTTGAGGCCACTTTAAAGCCCATTGCTACAGAAACTGACGCTCCATCTGTGGCTCTCTGATTGGGTCTCACAAGTCATGCAAAGCAGAAACAAAATTGGTATTTTTATTAAAGTGCAAATAACACTTATAGCCTACACTAATACTGAGCATGTCGTATTTACTTTGCAACGACTCCCAGTCTGTTTTCCAGCACAACAGCCGTTTTTAACTCCTCCCAGCTCGTTCTTCAAATCCATTAAAAAAAAAACATCTGGTGCGGTTCTTCGTCTGCATTACTTATTCTTTCGCCAAATCTTCAGCATCTAAGGAAGAGACCGTCTGCCTCGTGTTTACACCGGCACGCCCAGTGAACCTGAACGGCCACTAGATCAGTCGATTTAATGTAAACGGAGATCAACTCTAAAACGTAGCTAAAACGCTGGTGTGGACGGATCTCGTATTCGTTTCAAAACTCTGTTTTTTAAGAATAAAAGGAGTAGTGTGTGTAGGGGGCCTTAGTGGCACTCCACACTCACTGTTTTTTGTGCCACTTTGTTGCAGCATTTCCTCAGCAGCTCATACCAATCTGCTTTGACTGTAAATCATTGCCATGCAATACGGCTTGTTGTCAGCGTTCAAAAATGTGACTCCATTACTCTGTGTATACAGCATGTTTGATTATGTGACTACGTATGGGTGTGTATGTCTGATTACCAAGGCCTCCAGTTCAAACTCCAAGGTCTTCTTCCTGGCTTTGAGCAGCACTATACTTTCCTGCTCTCGGTTTCTTTGAGTCAGAAGCTCCTGGCGACGTTGGCGCTCCCACTCCAACTGACGCTGACGCTCTAATTCACGCTTAGCAGCCTGGGACAGACAAAACACACTTATTTTCACAACAAATCATTACAGGTAAAATAACTGCAACTGCATTTAATCATTATATTATATTCATGTATGACACATTTCATTACACACAATAAGCCAGGAGTGTAGATTAGACTCTTTGCTTGAGGAGCTTTTAAGAGGGCGGTGGTGAGCAGTGAGTACAAGACTGCAGCAGATAAATGTTAACTGAAGCATAACTCTTCAATTAAATTGCAGATACCTGGTAATCATTTTCATTGTCCTTCTCCTCCCTGCCTCTCTCCTTCATACCTCTCTCCTCTCTATCTCTTTGCGTCTCTCCTCTTCTCTCTGCCTCTCCAGCTCTCTCTGTCTCTCCAGTTGTTTTTCTAGTTCATATTGTCTTCTCCTCTCCTGCTCAAGACGCTCACGCTCCTGAAACACAAGCAAACAAATATGAGCAGGCAGAACAAACAAATCTTATTATTTGTTAAGGGTCACCCCGATGCATTTTCTTGTCCTCATAGTTTCAACTCCCATCGTAATTGTAAATAACTTACTGATACATTTCAAAGATATGGGAAACTTGGGCTGTTACAGTGACAGCACAGTCTCTATTATAGATGCAAATATTTTACAGCCTTTTATACAAGCCATAAACCATGACCAATTCAAATTTTGAATGCACACTGTGTGGAAATGGGACATCATTACAGTTTACCTTTCTCTCCTGTTCCTCTCTCTCCAGTGCAGCCAGCCTCTCCTGCTCTTTCCTCTGCTGCTCTTGCAGAGCCTGACGTCTCTTCTCCAACTCCAGGTTTCCTCGCTCAAAGTTTTCCCTTTTCTTATCCTCAAACGTCACTGTGGTGATGCAAAGGGAGTTTATTTAAACAACGTACAATGGCTATAAATTAAAGACGTACTATGTGGAAAAAATGCCACCAAGTTTCTGGACTTGCTAAAAACCAAGTTTCTGGACTTGCTAAAAACACCAAGAAGCATTGGTAGCCTCACATACACACTACTCTGCTTTATATTAAACCACAAGTGAATGTCAATGGGGAGTGACGAGAAAACACAATGAAATTAAAAGAGGATTGAAAAGCAGAGTGAACAGCTGTCCACACTAAGAAGAATGTTATTTTGTGGGCCAGTTAATCACAAGAAGAAGCAGAAGAGTTCAGCTGACATAAAAAAAACAATTGCAAAAGTTTCTGATAATGTTTTTAAAGAACACGAACACTGTGTGCAGTTGTTGAAGCATTCTTGTTTATCACAGTAGGGTCTTAAAGCAAACACACAGATGGGTGACCAAGAGAGCCTAAGTCCCTCTCCTTCCGGTGGACCACCATGGGGACCTTACTTCGGAAAAAATATGTTCAGTAGTCAATAGCAAGAGACAAATATTTTAATAACAGATATATAACAGTTTGAATTGTGCTCTAAATTACACACATGATGATGGTCAATTTAAAACATATATTTAAAAGTCAAGAAAGTCGCAGTTTGATATAAAACTGTTAAAAATATAAGATTGTAAAAAATACATAATTACAAACACCACAACCCCAAAAGTTGCGTATGTGACGGCGTAACTTTTTCTCTCAATGACTCAAGCTAACGTCAAAGAATTTACATGAGAGGATGATGTGATAAAAAGACTGAGAGTCGCTGGATTAAACACGTCAGGTGAGATACATTTCTTTTTAAGTTATCTTAACCAAGCAATGAATGTTAGCCAGCATTACCACGTTAACATGTTGGTGACGTAGAGACGAGAGATGTAGTTCATTGAACGGTTTTCACACAAAAAGACGTGTAACTTTACGGTTTTACAACAAACTGCAACTTTCTCGACGGACAAAATTATCTTTTAAATTGCCCAAACATCATGTGTGTAATTCAGGGCTCAAAAATACGTTTTGACTACCGTGCATATTTTTTCTGAAACAAGGTCCTATGGGCCGGAAGCGAAAGCGATTGACTTAGGCTCTCTATTAAAAGGAAAAACCAACATGAAGTGTCTTAGTATTGAGGTCAGACCACAACAAGCCTCCAGAACAGCTTCAGTGCGCCTTGCCACATCTGTGCAACTCTATTGGAGGGATGAACACTATTCCTCCATATGAGATTCCCTCATTTATATATGCAACCTTTATTCAATCAGGTAGGACCTCTTTTGCAAAAGAGACCTAAGTACAGGAGATAGAAGGAAAATCAAACATAGCCAGACATAAAAAAGGACATAGCATCAGTGTCAGTGTCCTCACTTAGCCAGAGCTATTTCCACACTTCGTTTTAGCGCTGTGCCAGCACTGGAGAAAGGTCTGGCTTAACAAATTATCATTCTGGTATGTGGAAAAAAGTCCTGTTTGTTTTTTAGACACCAATCACAATCGTCTTGGGCAATGCTAAGTCCAGGATGCAGTGACAGTGCCCTTGCAAAATGGTAACCGCAGACAGGGAAGGGGAGGATACACCACTTCACATACACCACTAAATAGATTTTAAGATGAAAGAGATTGTTACGGAGATCGTGGTAGAGAGCATTATATTACAAGTTGGTCCAAAATCTTTCATTGGTGTGAAACTGGGTTGAGATCTGGTCACTGTAAAGACCGTAGCATTTTATTCACATAATTTTCATACTCACCAAACCATTCAGTAAGACCTGGTGCACAGAAAAATCTGATATTTGACATGTTTCTCCACTCTTTTATTCAGGTTTTTCCTTTAATTTGTCCCCCACCCGCAGCTGAAGGCAGATCCAGTCCCAGTTTGACCAGAAATATGACTATAATTTGAAGGACCAGTCACCTGGTAGTTTCTTCTCCTGGCTGCTCTCCGTCTCCTCCTCCGCCTCCTCCTGGACACTCTTCTGGTCCGACTGAACACTGTCACTCCGAACGCGCCTTTAAGACACCATAAAAAAAAAAAACACACACTGTCAGTATTGTCACTAGAGACATTTAGAGAACAGATAAACTATTTCGTATTTATCATGTTATAATTTTTCTTTGTAAAACATGAAAAGATAAAAACTGGTAATATAGTTCTTCCCGAGTTTAAACTGAAAGTATTTATGGCAACTACTGCATAACTATGCTCTCACTTAGTCAGTTAATAAAGGTGTTAAGTTACAGTATTTACCTGAATGTGGGTGGGAGGTAATCTGGTGGTAACACAGGGGGTAGCGGTAACCCTGACATCGCCATATCTATGAGGTGCATGGCTAAGATAAACTCCTCAGCTGTTAGCTTTCCATCCTGGTCGATATCTGACAGACTCCTAAAAAGGTACAAAAGATAGAACAAATGTCGTATTTTAAGGACTAATGTCTTCCAAGTGTCAACTTCCATTTTGATAAAGATTAAATGATTGAATTTCAATGTACTGACCATATTGTGGCCAGCTGGCCCTGAGGAAGGCTGGACTGCATTAGGATAGTGCGAGCCTGGGGACCTGGAAAACAGACACACGTCAAAGGTGACACATTCGCTGTTGTGGCAAACTGAACCGCAATATCATCACAAACAATGACATGTTAATGTGTGCGTGGGGGTGTGTGTGTGTGTGTTCATACCTGTGAGGTGACCACTCATCATCTTGTCATGGGAGTTAAAAAGCTGTCTGTACTTCAGCCTGGAGGACTGAGGAACGGCCCAATCAGGGGGGGGCAGAACACTGGGACAAGGAACAGAAAATGAAGAACAGAGTAAAGTCATGTGACGTATGGCAAAAAGACAAGCAATGAAAAGACACACCCAAACATAATAAAGCCAAGAGGAAAAATATAATGTACCATATAATGTAGGAGGCACATTCAAACTCTCCTAAGCTCCCAAGTTTAAGTGTACAGCCTACCTTTATATTAACCTGATACAAAAAGACAAATCAATAGGTTAAAAGAGAAACGACAGGTTAACTGTAAGCTAAGAGCATGTCAAGATATTTGGAGAAACTATGAAAAAGATGGGACAACTTTTTACCACAAAGTTTCTCATTTTAGTACATCGTTATCAGACGACAAAAACGGAGCAAACTCTTCTGATTATGTGGGGTACCTAGCAGCGTCCAAGGATGGCCCCTTCTGTAACTTGGTACTGGAACGATTAAACGAAGACGACTTGTTGACAGAGGGAGCTGCGAGACAGAAAAAGAAAAATTTAGTCTGAGGCTGTGTTCAGATACTCAGCGTCTTCAGTTCGAGCGGCGCATACATTTTGTCATGTCTTTCCATGTAATTCTTTTATAGTCTCCTCTAAAAAGTTCTTTATTCTTTACAAAACAGTGAGCTGCTACTTACACGAGTAGTTTTCATACTTAAAAACATGTCAGACTGTCTAAAATGTAAATATGAACGTGTGTATTATGTAAACACAAGCTTACAACGAAAACCTTTGCCCACAACTGCTACAAACATTTCAGCACGCCTCCTTCCACTGTGGTGTTACAGCATGTTACCTGGGTGGGAGAAGCCTGAGATGGGCTGCATCATGCCTGTGGGAGGAGCGCCGTTGGCGATGGGCTGGGGGAGAGGAGGTGGGGCAGACGAGATAAGCGGGGGAGAAACTCCGACAGGGAGAGGAGGCAGAGGGAGCGGAGGCATGCCTGAAAGAGGAGCTGCGATGGGAGCTATAGAGGGCAAGCCTGGAGAAAAACAATACAAACATGATTACTGCACCATTTTTTTCATTCATAAAATCTGTTAAAAGACCCATGAGGCATGAGAGAAAGACATCAGAGAGAGCTCCTATCAATATTTCTCTAGTGTTGAATAAGACATTATATATTTATACTAGTAAATGGAGTGTGAGAGACACTGTGCAAGCTGAAGGAGAGGAACATGTTCACTTTGCGTGTGTTTGTATTATAACTTTATTGATTAGCCTTGAAGGCGTAATAGACTAAAACGAGAGCGAGCAAACAGTTCCTAAATGACCTTTGGAAAAGGAGTGACATCACCCTTATCAAATACTCCTACTTTTTATTTAACAGTACACAGAGTTTTACCACGTTCACAACAGGACATCAGGAAACCTTGACGAAAAGCAGCCGTCAATGATTGCATCTGTGTTATTACATTAAACTGTGTGCAGTGTTTCTGTATTAACTTACCAGCAGTGAACCGCCACAGAAAAAAAAAAAAAAAGGCCAACCAGTGCAGAAGAAATTAAATTAAAATTATTCACAACTTAATGTTGCATGTAAGACAAAGGCTAATACCACTCATTTCACATAAACAGTACACTGTGTGTTTTTCTCTGTGTCTTACCAAAGCCGGTCTGCGGGGGTAAAGGCAGTGGGGGTTGTTTCATACTGGGAGGAAGCGTGGAAGGCAAAGGGTGACCCTGGAGTTTAAGTTTGATGAGTTTCATGGCGATGGAGAACTCGTGGATGTCCATACGACCATCACTGTTCATATCCGCCAGAGCCCTTAAAAGGTATAAAGGGGAAAAAGTTAGAATGATGATGCATTGCTAGACAAGAAAAGTCATAATCTTAAGTTAACTGATACTAAACCAAGTGCCAAAAGGCATCATATGTGATTTTTAAAGTCATGAAATTATTTAACTTGGTATTTCATATTACTGTGAGCTAGTCGTAACTTCCTGGCTATGTGACTCACCAGATTTGGGCCAGGATGGGAGGGGGCAGTCCTGATTGAAGGAAGAAGTTCCTGGCTTGGTCACCTTGACAGACAAACAGAAACAGGATGTGAGATCTCAGTACTGATCCAAACAGAAAGACCACTTTGGAACAGGTGGGGAATATAAATAATGCTATTAGTTCACAAAACACAACTTAGCTCTATCGCTGAAATGATTAGTCGATTAATCAGCAAACGGACAACAAATTAAATGAGCAATAATATTGAAAGACAATTAATCATTTAAGTAAAAAGCCAATACTTCACTTTTACTGTTAAGAACATTCGGTGCTCCTCTCTGATAGTAAACCAGATATGTTTGGGTTTTGGACTGTTGTTAGACAAAACAAGCTACTGAAATATACTATTACGATTAATATAATGGCAGATTAAAGCCATAATGAAAATAATAGTCACCAGTAGCACTACCAAGCTTCACTTATTGAGCATTTAATACCACAACATATCAGCAGATTATGGGTTTCAAAAGCATGAATTAAATATTTGGGTGAAAATAACTGAATTTGTGAGGCACATTGTGATTTGAAATTGAACAGTAAAATTAAAATTTAACTTTTCTTAATCTAAATCTCAGATTCTGTTTTCTGCACCACACAGCCAAACTCTGGGAACCCTTCATGTTGTTCATGTCCTGTTACCTTACCCTTTAGAGAGAAAGGGCACGTTACCTGTGATGTAACCCCCGGCAGTCGGAGAGAGGCTGTGAAACTGCTGATCATATTTGGCTCTCTCATCCACTGAGATCAGAAACACATCTGGACCTAACGCACAAAAGAAACACACACACACACACACACACAGTTACAGGTCAAACACCAAACCCGAAGGCCAAGACAAAGCCAGACACGGGAAGGGGGAGAAAAAGCAGGCATGAGAAGAATGCATAGATCAAGAGTTTCAGTTCCTGTTTCTTTTAGTGACACTTACGAGTTGAAAGAGTGTCAAGAAAATCAGGACAAATGGATGAAAGACTTAAGAGTCAGAGACTGTTGTCTTTCTTTAGAAAGCTCAGCGCGTGGCAAGCATCACTAGCTTTACTGGTCTTTTTGTCTCTACGCTCTAAAATCCTAGTTTTGTTTTTGTTTTTTTTAACCAATTACAGTCATTCAGGAACGTAGTCAATAAGAGAAGTGGTCCCCTTTAGTTGTAACTGACGGCTCCATCCTGGCCATTTACTGGCAATTTCAGTGAATCATGCTGACACATGCAAGAACAGTTGCTGCTGACAGAAACGTTAATAACGTTAGATAATATGCTTATTCACGTGTCTTTAAGTAGCTTGGATATTTCTGCCACACAGCAACCATTAATAAGCGTTCATATTTTGTGGATACAGTAACTGTCAAAATGGTAACTATACTTGTCCAATACTATATATTGACAACATCAATATTTTGATGTTAGACACATTATTCGCTGGGAGTCGTGCCCTCGTTCAGCCATAGTCGTTTCTAGCTGAAACACTGAAAAACATCGGTTTGAAGGGGCTGGTCGTCATCCAGCACAGAGGCAAGTATGAATTATGTTGAATCTAACTGTTACAAATCTGTTTATAGTCTGACAAATCCCCCAATGTGTGGTTTTTAGGCGTTTGGAGGCAGTCTGCCTTTGTCTCCATCTGTGTGCCTTCCCCCAGTCTCTCTTTGACAGCACCAACCACAGACTTCAAATGTGGAAATTGTTGTTTTGACATCTCCTACATCTGCTTACACGTCCTTATGCATGTCATTTTTTCCCATTTAGGGGAATTCTGGTAAGCTGAAGATGACCGACTTTGGAGCATCATCCTTTTAATGTTGGAGGTTTCCACGACTACAGTATCTCTTATGACTTTTATTCTGCATCACCGCTGAAGTAATTCTATCTGCTTGACAATTAGATTTATGAATAATCTTGAGGGATGTGTGTGGATGTAAACCTGGTTATGAAAAATGAAAGTGGATTAATGAAGATTAAGAAGCTGTGGCTCATCTTCTAATGCATTGGTGGAATATTCTAGTGGATTAAGAGTACATTGTGGTGCCGTCTTTATCAAACTACTCACAAGACTCGCAGCTGTCAGCTCTGAGAGGAAAAAATTAAACATCAACTTATCTTTCATGCCAGTTACACACACACACACTTACTGACCTGTGAATGTGGTGGGGAACTGTGCCATGGTTCACTCAGTCTTCTGCACTACACGACACCTGCAACAACACATTTAGAAAAACAGATGACGGGTTTATCTGACTTATCTCTTATCCCACCTCATTGAGCATTCAACTGCTCAATAATGCAGTAATATAACAAATAATTTACCACTTCTTATTAAAAATGTCATAGGGGGAAGGGGTTAGGTTTTGTCACCAAGGTCAGCAGTCTAAACTGTATGCTTAACATATAAAAAATGACCAAATACTGTCTGGTCACCAGTCAAAGGTGCTGATACAGAAGAAAAACTCAAGTCAGAAGATGTGATTATCCAGCACGAGCCTGGAGTTAATTTTCCACTTTGCTGTCCTTTGATGCTGAAGCTGTGAATTTTAATTTGCTCCGCAGCCCAGTGAGCCACGTACTGTACCTTAAAGGTCTGTTTTAAATCAGTGACAAACACGAAAGCACAAAGCAAATAAACACAGTGGCTCTCAATAAGGGATACAGCATGTTTTTTTTTAATACGTTTTAGATTAGTCCTTGTGAAAAAACAATGAAAACCTCAATCTGCTGTTGTCATCTGGTATTCAGACTAGTGCCAGTTCACAGGGGACTGGACCATGTCAGCCATGCTTGTGCATGTCAACAGGGCAGCAAACCTTTATTTATGCAGGGCAGGCTGCCTGAGCATACATGCTTGTTTTCAAAAACCACTCTGCTTCACACTCACTCATTTACACACATTCTCACTCGGGAGCTGACCACAGTGAACAACAGTTTTCTGCTGTTGGCCCATAAAAAGCTCCACTGGAGTCTTTTTAAAATCTCTCTTTCAGGCTATACAAACGGGAAACTAAAAGACACCCCAAAACAGCAACAGCAGGGAATTACTGTTCAAGATGACGGGTTTGTCTGAAAACACACAATGTTCGTTGGATGAAACATCTATAAACATAAAAATCACTCCCTTAAGAAGATTATTCAAAAGTTAAGTCTTGGGACAGACCTTTAGTTTTCTTTTAATAGAATTTAATGTTATTGACAAGATTGTATAGAAGAAGAAGACATACTTTATTAATCCCATAAGGCGCTCAAGGCCACCTTCCACAGTGCCCAGGAGGTGAACTGGCACCTCTCCAGCTACCAGTGCACGCTCCACAACTCTGGTCAGAGCTGGAATCGAACCGGCGACCCTACGGTTACCAGCCTAATCTTTATGGACTGAGCTACTTATTTTGTGGTATTCAAGGTTAACCTGTTTAAAAAACATATGAACTAAAACTGTGCCCTACACCCTCGCAATATCACATCCTTATGTGTGGGTATAACATACCTCTGTAGTAGAGGTATGTTAATCAGATCCAGACCTGCCTCCCTCCCCTGTATCCCTGTGGCCAACAACAATCTGACACTCATTGAAACAGTCACGAACTTACAGAGGGTGTATGTGTGGGATGCTGACTTTTTTTTCCCCCCCAGTGTGATGTAAACAAAAAATCTCGGTTTCTTGCTAAGGGATGAGGAGAAACGCATCTAAAGGGTCAGCTCACCCAAATCACGTGGTTTGTTAGTATCTTTGCCATCAGCATAATATAATAGAGGTGGATGAACTGAGTCCTCAAACTATCAAGAAACTCAATGTGTGTCTTTGTTGCTGTGGACATTTTCGCTGAGACTATTTCTTCAGTAGGAAATTGTCCTTGGCCTATTGAAGGGTGTAGAAGTACTGTGTGTGTGTGTCCCATTATCATCAGAGCGGCAGGACAAAGTAACCAGCTTAACTAGGTCAGACGAACAAAGCCCACCCTACACAAACACACACTTTCATTGCTGCCACTGAAGAAATACTGAAGCAGTTGAGCAACTACAGATTTTTTCGTCTGCTCTGGGAGCGATCAAACTGCGGGTAAACTCTGTTAAACTTCTTTAAAGTTAGGAGCATTTGCTCCTCTGTTTCTTATTTACTCAGATGACACATTTATACCCCAGAGGCACCAATACACTAACCCCAAGATGACTGTTTGTAAAAGCACGTCAGTTTAGTGAGAATATGCTCTGAACTGACTGCAGAAGAATTACCCCAAAAACAAAAAAGTGTTTGAGGCACTCATGCTCCTGTTTCTTTATATATTATTGACCAGACCGAACACAGAGGAGCTGAATTGCAGCAGAGAGCTCAACGTTACCCTTAGGTGAAGTTACAGGAATTAGAACAAGACTTACTTTTACTTCTCATGTTGCCAAAATCGACCGAGATGTCAGGTTGACAAAACTCTGTCCGAACGATAAGCTACTTGTGAATCAAAGTGACTTCTGTTTCCCAGCACCAGGTTATCACAGCGCCTCAGACCAAAGCAAACTAACTGCAGCAGTCTTCCATCTATTTCCGTTGTCATCGGTGTGTACTTGATGACAAAGGCGCCGTTTGTCTCTCGGTTCTCCCTGTGAACATGCATTGTAACCGGGGGATTAGTCTGTGTAATTAGAGCATTGGGATGTAAGTGGAGTGTAGGTCTGTTATCAAGGCTTGTGGCAGATGCCAGTTTAAGCCCCCCCCCCACAACACATATGAACTCTCTAAAGGCGGCTACAGAACATGATACAGATTAGGGTTCATACTCGCTTCTCTCTTTGTCCCTCCCCCTCATTTTCCCGCTGACCCCCTCCAATGTCCCCCTTTCCCTTCTCCCATGGATTAATTTGGGAAAACTGTACACTAACTGATGCTCTGTGCGGCGGATGTCACAATGCTGGATCACTCCAAGAAAATACAGGCTAATATTCGTATAATATTTGATAGCCTTACTCTGAAATGTGCAGTGTTTCCAATTTCCCTCAAGCGGACTTCTGTCTTAGTGATTTCCCTCAGTGAACATGTTTCTTTCAATCAGAGTAGTGTAGAAATAGTCAGGTAGTCTAAGGTCACTGCAGCATGTTTAAAATCACAAAAATGACTGATTCTTGCATCCATTGTGAGTCTCTCTTAATCTGCTGGTGCTTCATAAATAACACTTTTTTATTAACACAGAGGGGGAAATGCAGCTGACCATACAGCATCAGGTTTATATGTAATAAGAAAAAGCAAGGAAATCAAAAAATTGAGATGCCTGTAATGAATTCATATCATACTGAGTCAAAACTGAATCATATCGGAGAGATTTCTCGGGAGGTAAGGCATCATTTCTTCAAGTGTTATAATTAAAGTTTTAAAGTCTGACAAAAATTTGAGAGACTTGGAGAAAATTATAATTCTTATAAATCCACAAAGCCTGATTTATCTTGTTTGTTTCGATCTCGTTATCCATTGCTTGCTCCTCCAGCTACTTCTGCTCTCACAGAGGAGGAGAGGGAAGATATTTTTCCATAACATTCAGCTGTGCCCTTTACTGTAAATATCAACATAACATAAAGTTAAATTGTGTTAGCTACAGGAATAAAAGGTAACGCCAAACATCAAAATTGGCCCAGAAAGTGCAAGACGCCACAAAATAACTGTTCATTTAGTTAATTGTGCTGAGTAAAACCCTCAATCCTCAGGCACCTGGCGCCCCATTGTTTGTTTGAAGTAGAGCAGAAATAATGAGTTAATCAATCAATTAGTTGAGTGGCAGAAAAAAATTAATTACTGACTGGTTTAGAAAGTAAAATGAGAAGATTTCCTTGGTTTCCACCATTTAAATTCACTGCAAATTAAGCTTTAAGAAAATGTGAAGATAACAAACATTTCACTTGTGACTGGGGTGAATTCTGAAGGGCGCTCTTCATTATTAATATTTTAGACTAAACCATCAATTGATTCATTTGAAAAACATATAAAGGGTTAACAGATAATTAAAGATATACTATGCAACTTATCCACATTAAAATGTCTAAAAATGACTAGTCTAGTTACATGTTTCTATTTAAAATAAATATAAAAATGTTTATATTCTTTTTATATGTTGCTTTTATGTTTTAGGTAAAGCACTTTGAATTGCCTTGTTGTTGAAATGTGTTATACAAATAAACTTGCCTTTTTTTTTTCCAAAATGTTTCCAACAATTTTCAAACCTAGAGAAATCTGTCATTTTAATCAAGGTATGCAGGCAGAAAATTACATACTGTGCATTTAAATTAAATTTAAAAAACATTTGCAGTTTTTGCATCTTGTATGGATGGCTAAACAATGATTATGTTGGTATTAATATCTGCAGCCTCTTCACAGCAGCAGCATCCCACCCCCACAAACACACACATGTATTTGCATTTAGCACACCCCCTGCCTCACACACACACACACACACACACACACAAACACACACCACAGTTTCCCTGTTTCTCACTCACACACTAAAGAAACACTGGCTCTCAACAACACGCCCTCTGACACAGACCCTAAGCTCTGCCTCTCCCTCTCAGGAAACACATTCTTCTCGCACTGATGTTAAGTGGTGAAGACTGAGAGGTGAGAGGACACCCACCCACATCCCAGCATGCACACACAGACCATCATCTCCTCCTTCATCACTCCATCCATCTCCCAGGCCCCCTCCTCCAAAAGCCACAGCACATCTATCACAATGTAATAACTGATAGCAAGGACCACAAAGCCTTGGATGGTAACGAGGTTAAGTGAAGCACTGCGCTGGGGAATCAAAGGGGCGGGTTCACACACCAGCCTTGTTTAGTCCGGTTGAACCTGATCTTGGAGCGTTTACCCCCTTGGTGAGTTTCATTTGGGTTGCCGTGAACACTGGACTCGAACTCTGGAGCAAACCAAACAACCGTTCGCTTGTCCGCCTCGAAGGGGTGGTCTCAGACCGCTGTCATGTGACCTCTGAAGCGGTTTATTTCTGGCGGGATCACCATTTGAATAACCAAAACCAATAACAAGAAGCATACTATTGAATGTGTTAAATTGGTTAAAAAACATTTTATCTTCCTGTTCCGGTTAACTAGCAGCGCGTTTGCTAACAAAATGTTGACCTGCAAGGGGCAAACCTGGAATAACGACCAAGTGATCCTGAATATTTGAGCTGAAGAGAACGTTTCTCAATCACTAGATAAGGTGCATAAGAAAACTAAGGTATTAAAAATATACGACCACAAAGTGAAAGAGAACGGAAACCACCGTTCTGCTGAGCAGTGTCACGTGAAAGTTAAAAAACATCAAAGTATTGTATTAGTATGATGTAAGTATTATTTGGAGGGGTCTGTTTTTTTTAGTCGCTGACAGTATGGCCAGTAATCAAACTTTTGTTTACAATTTCTGGACTGTTTGAATTTTGCCTTTTTGAACGAAACCCAGACCAGATGGAAAATTTAAACAATCTAACATCCTCAGATTTGCTCGATCCTGGAACCGGACCTTTAGGTGTGAACCCACCCTTTAGGGTAATATTCCTGCTCATACTACAAAGAAAAAAGTCAATACAGCATAAATTCACCATGTGACATTTTGTTTAACCTTGAACAGGTTTGCAGTAGTAAATCTGTCCATTCATGATATAAGTATCAAAATAAACATCTCTTAAAACTAAACAGTCAAGGCGAGTCGCAGAACCAAAAGAAGCCTGACCATTTCATTACCCCAAAGGATTGTTGTTAGTACGGCTCCAGATCCCTGATTCTTGAGAGGAAAAGAAAACTTCCTTTAATAGTCAACAAAATGTGTTGGCGTGAAATGTACAAACACTGCCAAATGTGTACATCTAAATTAACTATATTAATAAAACTGGATGTATACGATTTGTCACACAGACCTAAATTGTTTTAGGTTTAGAGGGGGCACATGAATTTAAGCAAAGCTGGCTCACAACAAATCAGAAACAACTTTCAGATGACAGAAGGTAATCTACCTAAACAACCCTTATTATGGATCAAGTAGCTTTGTATAGCAACAAAAGCTGATAAGGCTGCTAGGCACAGACAGAAGACTCACTTTTACACTACATTTTAGCTGATGCTTTCATCCAAAGCGGCTTACAATTGCTATGTTAGCGCAACGAGGGGTAAGGGTCTTGCTCAGGGACACATTGGTGGGAATTTAACCCTGGTCTCTCACACCAAAGGTGAGTGTCGCCACCCCTTAGAATGACAAACAGGCAGGTACCCAACACTGCATTTTGCCAGTCTCATGCAAAACAGCTGTTATTATTTATAGGTGTGTTCTCTCCATGAAATGCTTATGAAAATCAGACACTGCATGCAAATGTGTCTTTGTACTTTAGAACCGGGTTCTTCTTCAAAACCACACAGATTAGAATCAACATTGGTGCTGGATTAAAGCCTGGAGTACTTTAATCCAAATGTTAGTGCACTTTATAACTCACTGGATATGGGGTTCCCACCTTTTAAGTGGGCCTGGTCAGCTTCCACGTTGCATGTAAACCAGTCCTGAGTGATAGGGCTTGCTAAGCCTGACCAATCAAAACGCTTAAAGTTAACACATCAACGATAATGCAGGATGAGTGCGCTCACTTCTCTGGAAGGAGCAATTACAGCAAAAGGAAAGGTCGCTGTGTGTCAATTCATCCTCACTTCCTGGCGACTTCCTGCTTCGCTCAACAACCCCGTCTGCATTTTCTTAAACAGATCATATGGTACCTGGAGGTTTGTTTTGACTCGACAGTCCAGCTGTGACTAAACATCAGGTTTAATGTCAGCAAACGCCAGGCTAACTGAGCAAACCTCCACCCAGAAAGTCGCTCTCTGCCCCGAGCACCTTGCAGCAACCTTGCTGATTCGTCATCTTCGTCTCTACCCATCCGGCTACTAGAGAGATAAGCTTACCCATAAGCAACACCACTAAAATGTTCCAAGTCACAGTCTTGCAGGGCAGATGCAATGATTTAACATTAGCATACTGGCTAACTGTTAGTAATAGTAGTTGTAGCGGCTGGATTGCATCTTCTTCCAATTTCATGTCACCCTGGATTTGTTACAGAGACCAATATAAAGACACCTTCTAGACTAGGTTAATAGCACACCTAGAGGCTGATATTAGCAGGCTACACCGGGTAAAGATGACCAACTAGCCGCGCTAACAGAGGTAACGTTATCAATGCAGCTAGCATGCAGGCTAACCAGTGAGAAGCTAACGTCAGCCCGCTCAGGGACATTCTTTCACACCACACATAACGTTACTACACTCTGCCCTTACCTCATAGTTCACTTTCCATTGTGAAATGCTGGATAAAGTAGCTCGTTGTGTATTTATGTGGCCATATAATGTTGTATCTTCTCCCAGAATGAGCTGTTTTTATCACCAAATCCCTCTCCGGCGATCCTCCCGTTGGTTCCGAAATCCCGACCGATTGAGGGACAGCTGGAAAATGGGGGTAACGCCACTGACATATCGCGAGATGTCATAGGACATATGATGACATCATGCAAACCCCCGCGATAACTTAGAAACCGTTTGTTTGTCTGGATCACAGGGATACAGTGAAGTGAAGGGATGGGATTAATTCATACAGTATGGATTAAAACTGCCCTTTATTATAAGCAGGACTAACGTGCATCTCTTTGGGAATGGTAAATCTTTGATCCATGATGAAAGGTAAATACAGTAAAGCTACCAGACGTTTAGACATAGATGTCATTTACACTGGGGACACTGCTGACAAGCATTTGTTTAAAAATGTTGTGCTTGCAACAAGAAATGTTAAATAACAAATGCTTTGAGAAAGGCTTATTTGAACAAAAAGAAAAAGTGCAATGCAATTTAAATATAGAAGAAACAAATGTGCATTGTGCAAAAAAAACAAAACAAGCTACTGATTACTGCTTTATGTTCCATTATATTTTTATATTTTTTGTCATCTCCCACCTTTTGTGTTTTTCTTTATAAAAATAAAAACATTTCCACTTTATATTGACGCACGAAATTTAATACTCAAAATCTTCTGGGGAAAGAACCCCTAGACCTCCACCCAAATATTTCAGCATTGAATATTTCCTTAAAATACTTTTAAATTCTCATTTTTATTCTCATGAACCCAATACTGTGCATCGTCACATTTCGTGAGCTATGTGTATCGTGACGCCCCTAATCTGAGCCCTTTTTGCCCACTTATTAACACAAAGTTTAGCCTATACTCCCAGAAAAAAAGAAAAAAAGCCAATTCAACAAACATGATACAATTCCCACTTTTCAGATAATCTTTCTCTGGGTGAACTGATACAAAACTTATGAGGAGACCACCAGTCTAAAAGTGCACAAGGTAAGACACTTAACAGCCAAATTAAATTATATAAAGCAGAACTACGTCATCCACAAAGTGATTCGTTTTTACACACATAAAACTGAAGACATAGCCACTGAATGGGCCTAGACCATAGACTGTATATAAAAAGGCCTACACATAAAAAAAATCTAAACTAAAAAAAGTCAATAAACAAGAATTCTGAATTTGAAAACATCGTGGAAGTTAAAGTATGTCAAATGTGAACAGACACAGTAAATATGGAATTTAAGTGAATATGTAAATCATGTAAATTCACAGTCCTTGCAATAATTAGACAAACAGAAGGAAAGTTTTTAAATGTTCATCTGTTCAAGAATTATCTGTGGTTTTACGCATGATTGATTGCACATGATTGCACATTGGTCACAAATATGATCGTTGAATTCAGAGCTTTGCTGATGAAGGCCAATTTCTAAATGTGAATGAAAGAAATGTGAATACATTTATGTTTTTAAATTGTTAGCTTATTCATTTGGTCATGAACGGTTACTTTTTCTTCTGTGCTAATACATAACATCCAGTAGTGGGCGGTATTGTAATAGTTTTAGCACCACAAGCAAAAAATGTAAACACCAAAGAAGAAGGTCAGCTGACTCAAGCTAGTCAGTTTAGCAGCAACTGGAAGTTTCTTCTACTGGAAATACATAATATATGAATAAGACAGTTGTTTAGCAGATTGTTTATATTTGCAATCTTGTAGCTGCATCTCTGCATACATTAAAGGTAAAACAGAATGAAAGGTTTATACTGCCGAGCTGTTGTGAGTGATGCTGAGTTCAAGTTCGTTATTCAGGAAACGGTGAGTTTGTGTTTTGTCTGTCTGGGTCTGTGCAGGTGGATGCTGTCGCTGGTCAGTAGAAGCCACTTTTCACGGTTATACACACTAATGCATCAGATCAGGAAAAACAAAGGAATTGTGCAGATCTGCTATTCTGCATGTTTGAAACTGTGGCTCTGTAGAAACCATGCTGAGTAGTATGTAGCTGAAACCTCTCCAGCATCTTTATACAGCTTCAAGCCATCAGTCACAAAGTAGTTTGTCACTTTGCCAACTGAATTGCAAACTTTGATAGTGTATTAGTTTAAAAGTGTTTGTTTGACAGATAATTTATACCAGTATCCATAATATATTATCTGTTACAGTGTTTAGAGAAGAAAGTGCTGATTGATTGATTGCTAACTATAGGCATCAAATGCATCTATTATGTATACCATACAATCTGTCTTCGTGTGTCCATCTCCTTATTAAATCGATTCTTATTAAAGAAACAGTTTGTGTTTGACTTTTGTCTGTGCAGCGGATGTTAACATGTCTGACTGTCTGCCTACCAGGTTACAGTGCATCATGATTTCAAGCACCGTTTCTCTGTGTGACAGTTTGTGTCTATTTGTGTCTCCCCAGACTCTTCCAGAGGTTTTAGGCAGCCATCAGGTCAGAGTTCGGGTAAAGGCATGTGGGCTCAGCCCACTGGACCTCAAGGTATGTGTGCACGACTTTTACGACTTTTAAGTAATCAGACATCTGCAAACCAAGGCAAAATAGAAAAATGTATCATCTATTAATCAATAAATTATTGGTCACGATGGTCCAATGAGAGTTGTTAAACTTCTCTCAGATGTGCACTCTGGACACAGAAAAATGAATTACATTTTGCGGTTATGAGTCTGTAAAAGACAAGAAAGGTAAGACAAAATCATGCAAAGCTTTATTTAAGATAAAACATTCAAAAATCACAAAAGGGTCAAAAGAGTAGTTATAGTAGTATAGTTTATGGAGGACTTGATTCATATAAAAGTAAGGTGATCCAGATGCAACTTTTAAGTGCAGTATCAAATGTTGTAATCGTTCAAATACATTTGAAAATCTTCATATTTGATCAGTTATCTTATCCAAACACCGTGCGTGTCCATACATTCAGCTTCAGGCTTCTACTGTCTGTGATCTGTTGGAACTGACATGTTATATCCTTACCCACCACTTACAGCTGAGAGGCTGATTGGAACTGAACTGTACTTATATTGTGTCAACGTTGTTTCTTAACTTTCATGAAGGGCTGAACAATTAATCGGAAAGATTTTAACGAAATCCCAAGATGTCCTGCTGCAATTTGTTAAAGGTTGCATGTGTGTCATTATAGCATTTAAAATTAAACATTGTCATGCTGCTTAGATCCTGGCCGACATCATATTCTTGAGACTTACGAAAGCATCTTTGTTTGGTACAGATCCCCGCAAAAAAAATCACACAATAATTCATTTTAATGTTTTTCAATGAAAATGAGAATAATGATGTAAAAATGATCATTTCCCCTAAAATCCCAAAGCATATTGCAATTTAAATTTCAGTCAAAATTCTAAATCATTCAGCACTACTTCTGTCCCAGTAAAGGTCAGTAAATTAAACTGAAATGAGATGGTTAAATACATCACCCCTTGTACGACTGTAGTGATCAGTGTTGACTCCTCTTCTCTCTATCTGTCCTGTGCTCCAGTTGCTTGCTGACATGGGGATCCAGAGAGATTTCACACCTGTTGGCAGAGAGGTGGCCGGGGTCGTCATGCGAGGTTGTAAACGCTAACACACACAGTTTTTTGATGTTGCCACATGATTGTTTAAAAGTCATACATGTGATTAGTAGGGGATGCCTTCATAGAAAGTTTAACAGGTTTGTTCGTTATTTCCTGCAGTGGCCGACGACGTCTCTTTCTTCCAGCCGGAGGATGAGGTTGTAGGTAAGACATTTTTATTTATCTGATCTAGGAGATGCCTTCTGACTCTGACAGTGGTTGTTTGTGAACGATGGAGCAGGTGATTTTAACTGTGTGGACGATTAGAAAACGTTGCCAATATCTGATAAGTAATCATTTACAATAACTAGAGCTTGGTGATAGTTCAGTGATTCCCAGCTCTCACATCTAAATTAATAAGTTAAATTTTATCAATATCTGTAACGTTGTCGGATCTGATTCTACTAAAACAAAAACCTCTTGACTTAATCCTAAATACAGTGTCCTGTGTTCAACCTTCCCTTTCCAGGTATTCTGCCTCTGGACTCTCCCTGCTCTGGACTCTGTGATCACATTGACATAGATGAATATTTTTTAGGTAGCATACTGTACACGCATGCACACTCACTCACACAAACGCAGGTTGCATAGGATGCACTTTGTTCCTGCGACAAGCACCTGCTATTATCATCAAACACACATTCTCACAACACAGTGACCCAACACATATTATTTATATTCTAAAGAAAGATTCCTTGATTCTCACTGTGTTGTCTGTGTGACAAGTCGGCTCACAAAAAAGGTCACATCCTCTCATCTGAAAGGTCAAACCGTTCTCAGCTGCTCCACTCTGCCCTAACAGACAGCAGGCACAGAGTGTTCTTTGTCAGCCTTTTATCTTCACTTCATACACTTCAAAAACTAAAAGAAAATGGTGTCTGCAGTTTGAAAGAAGCATAAAGCACCTTAAGTGCACAGACTGCCCCCCTCTTACACCTGTAGATTCTGTCTGACTAAATTTTTAAGAGAACATGAGTATGCTGTTTTTGTAGGTGGTAGGAAAACCATTTGAAAGCAACTTATAAAGGGGAAAACTTATATTTTATCATATGCTTATATACACATCTGAATCTTCTCTCTCAGAGCTGAAAATTGTGAGGTCATGAACGCATAATGAAAGCTCATCTGAGTGTTTCTGTTTTTCTCCAGTTCAGAAGCCGGAGAAGCTCAGCTCGGTGTGTGTTGCCGGAGCGCTGCGTGACGGTGTTTGTGCTTACACTGCTCTACACACACATGCTCGCATGGCAGCCGGACACACACTCCTGGTCATGGATGGAGCAAGCGTATGTAAAAAAACAAATACAATATATCAAAGAACTGGACGTCTGGGTGACATAGCGGAGGAATATACTCACCATGTAACCGCAACAATCACCCAGGACGGACCCATCCAGAGACTTGTGTTGCAGCACGTGTTTCCGATCGTTCTCTACTTTTAAAAGCATCTAATTAAGACATAAAATGTTTCAGCATTTTAAGAATTCTACTAAATCTCAGTGTGCATGAAAGTGTAATGTTCCCAT